TTTTATAGCCAACCAGACTCTATTTTCCAAGCACCTCAATATTATGCCAGCACCTAGTGAAATCTTCTAACCCCCAAAGTACTCTACAACAGCTTATTCTGAAACAATGTTTGCATGCCATTCTGAGTGTATTAACAGACAAGAAAATTACCATATAAGAGACCAAACACAGATGTTTAGGAAAGCATAATTTTTAAATTCCATTAAACTAAATATATATGATTAAAGACGGGCTACTATCTAAACCTGATTCATGCAAGATGTTAATCAACCCAGTAGAAGATATTTGGTGTAGCTTAACCTCATTAAGATTTAGTTAATTAATTGTCTCTTAGGTTAAAGTGTCTACTGTAAACCAAGCCTGTTGCGGTTATTTCTTTTCTAGAAATAGGATCATCTTATATGACAAGATGAGTAAATAACCTTTTCATTAAGTATCTGTAGTTATGACAAAAAACCCCACACCTCAAACCCAACTCTAACCTTTAACTTACTTATAACAAAGACCAAGGGTGTGTTTGATTTAGGAATTCTTTTTGGGGGGCGGGCTGTTTGCAGGTTGGGTTTTTTTTTGTTTATTTATTTGGTTTTGTTACACAAAGCCTAATAAGGCAATTCTCAGGAAAATAACAAGGTGTATTTCCCAAACCAGATTGTATAATTTGGCAGTTGAATCTTTTCTTTCCTTAGTGGAAAAAGCAATACTCTTAGCATATGAAGTCACTTTGAAGGCATCTCAAATAGAGGACTGAAGATAGTCAGGACACTAATTTATCCTGAACAAAGAAAAGACTACTTTATAAAAGAATGCAGGCTGTAAAAATCATCCAAGAGGCAGCAGTTAAACCTCTCTTGGAATAGTTATAGTTGAGGAGAGAATGGACACCAACCACCAACTCAATATTGCATAACAGGTGACAGAAGCAAGCATACCAAATGGGAAACTATTATAACCCATTCAAACACAGATTTTTTCCAAACCAAGATTTTAAAGGAGGAAGAGAGTTGTGTAACATTCATTTTTTCATACCCTCCTTCATAAGATTCCTTATAAAAAAATGCAATTAATGAGAAGACTGTCAAGTGGTGTTAACAGTTGCAGTGCTATAGAGCATTATGTGATAGCTAGGGAGGAAAGGACACAGGGAAAGATTGTACCTTAGGTTGCCCCAGGTAACCAATTCATACTGGAGGCAATTCTTACAAGCTGGTTTTAGAGAAGACAGAAGTAAGCTTATCATAAAATTCTCTAAGAACCGTCACTGCTGATGATAAAAGGCACCTCACAAGAAGAAAGCAAGCACCATGTAGTTTGGCAGCTATCCATCATATCTGCACACCAGTGGATTTATCCAGTTGCCTTGCTGAAGTTCTGCAGAACTCCTGTGAGGAAGTAGAAATCTGTACTACATAGCTGATTTATATTTCTGGAGAAAAGAAAAAAGAAAACCCCAAAAATTTAAAGCATTCTGCAATGGACCTTTAAACTAAAAGGGCCATTTGCTGTGAAACCCAGAAAAAAAGCCAAAACTAAACCACAAACTCCTGTTTCATAAACAACTGCAGGAAACACTAAAATCCTTCTGTAACATACTTATCTTAAATCTAGAATACTAACATTTTATAACCCGGAATAATCCTGTTTAGATAGTCTCTGAAGTACCATTGCACTTCTTCAATAACACATAACTGGAGCTATGAAAAATATTTTTTTCAAAAGGTTTTGCTAAGCCTAAAAACAACATCTGAGCCACCAGTGTATATTTACAATCTTCCTATTATCTACTGCTTGTGGAGAAGGAATTTTTCTGGTGGACACAGGAGAGGTTTCGGATAACATAACATTCATGTAGACTTGCATGTATCTGTAGAATGCACCAACCCTACTGCTCCAGTTTGCCCACAGTGACCAAAGAGGATTTTGACACATAGGAACATGCAGCCTAAAATCATGAAGAGTGAGATAGCACAGGATGAGAAATTCCTCTGAGGTGACAGGGGCACTCAAGGCTACACAAACCAGCAGTTAACAACCCCCCACTGTTAAAGGAACAGATAAAGAAACATGAGAAAGCTCTGTCTGTGCTCAGCTTTTGTCCCATGCTGAACACCACTAAGCAGCAAGCTACTCCTGTTTCAATCGCAAGTATTTCCACTGCAATTCCAGGTAAAGATTTATAGAATGAGAGCCATAACCTCAAATAAATTTAACTGGGGAGGGCGTGTGTATGTGTGTGTGTGTATGTGCAAAAGGAAAAGAAATCAAAATAAATTTTCTCTTAAGTGCAATGCAGCTACGGTAAGAATCTGAGTTCCCTCATAAAGCCTTTGTCACGACAACTACACTGGTACAACTGCACTGATAGCGTCTGCTGGCAGAGAAACGGCTGGTGTCGACAGAAGATGCTTCTCTGCTGACATCGCAGTCCCATAATTTCAAACAAACTTTGTTCTTTCCTTTCAGAAGAAGAATTTTCTTTCAATATTCTGCTTCCTTGACCTGTCTGCACTGCCACAGCTGGGCCTGCTCCACCAACCTCTATGAACAGACTCACAAAACGTCCGAAGCGAGGGACTGTGTTTCTCAAGTCAGAACTTTCCTATTTTAACTTTCAACATTTCCTTTTAAACTAAACTTCACATTCACTAAGTGGGATAAATACCAATTACTGTGACTTTGATACCAACTAACAAAGCTGATTCTGGGAATACTGATGAGGCTCAAACTTAAGGATTTAATTTAACCTCATGAAAAAGAATTCTCTCTCAATAAATCTGTGAGCTAAGGAAACGTACAGATTTCAGAAGAGGAAAACGTTAAGTAACAAAAGAAACTGATAAGCACAAGAGACACTCCACTTTGATACTATATTGGTTTCTTTCCCCAAGCCTTCTATGCAATTTACATACTCGACTTCAAAAGTTTGAAAGGTAAACTTTACCTTATATTACAAAAGCATATTTTTCACTCTAAACGAGAAATGAGAAAAAATGAGAAAACTGAAATACCAGGGAAAAACTCACCTGAGTGTGATTTATTTTTAAAATACAAATAACTGTTCAAGATCATTGCTTGAATGTATCCTTCATGTACTGCAAGAAGATGCACAGCACTTGCATGCTGAATGCATTTTCAGGTTTTGCTGAATTTTGGGTTAATTACTTGAGCAGGGCACAGAGGCTGCTCATGCTCTGGGAATCTATCTTAAATACTGCTAGTAAAAGATGAGCAGAACAGCCTGCTACAAATATTTAAAAAATGGTGAATTCTTTCTGATCTCATTTCCTGGAGCTGACCTCTAAAAGGCTTCTTTACTTGGGTGCAACATACAACCTCTATGGCTAAAGTGCCTCTGCTGAATAGCCTTTACAGATCACTGGGGAACCAAGTAAAAAGACAGAATGGAACTGAGAAAACTTCATCTGCCCAGTTGCTACTGCAATGGACTTTCCAGGGTGGCTCACAATACCAGCATTTCTAAATTGTCACCCTAAACAGCCAGAATTTTGCCATTCTTAAAGCTAAATGTAAAACATCCAGACACTAGTCTTTCAGAAATCTGTGCAAAAGTCTGTTTAACACTCGTAGCCCTCTGACTCAGGGGTTGGGGCAGCCCAAGGTCTATCAATATTCTTAAAGACTGAGGTGAAAACCACAGTGGATGTGTTTGCTTCTTCTTCATCCCTCTTAGTCAGATGACCATCTTCAGCAAGTATCAGTCAAGTTTTTCTTTGGACCTACTCTTGCAATATACATACTTTAAAAAGCCCTTCTTGTTATCTGAAACAACACTTCCCATTTTCAACTCTAATTAAGCTTTGGCCTTTCGTGTCTTCTCTCTCCATAAATGAGCCACGGCTCTGTAATCTTCAATTTCACTTAAACCCAACACATTTCTCACTGGCAAATCTGATGGCAAATGTTATAACCACATTTCAAATAATGACTGCAAAGAGGGGAAGACAAAAAACCAAACAAACAGCCAAAACAATGAAGACTTTGGGCTTCAATTCTGAAATAGGTTATAAATTTTTGAGTAGTACTGGGAAAAACACAGCACAAACAGGAAGCTCAGCTACAACTACCATTCTTATACCTTTTTCCCCCCGTAGAAATAATACACCATGCTTTCTGGAAGCATGTTATTTACATTTCTTACATTTGAAGTAAAGAATGTGCTTTAAAGAACCCTAACTAGGAATCACTGGTCAACCACAATAAGCTATGACATTAAGCTGATACATAGCCTTTTCAGGAACAATGACAACAGGGTGGAGTGGTCAAAATGGTATTTATACCAACTAAAAAATATTTCTCTAAAGTTTACTTTTGAAGTTCTAGAATGTTGCCTGTTCTGGAAAAAAATAATTCTGCGCAAGTCTGCATTCTGAAGCCCACACCCAGAAATATGGTAACAAGAAGAGTGATGAGCTAGTAACTTTGAGAAAAATGTGTTATTTCAAACAGAGTAGCTGGATGCTGGTAAGAGCGTATTTTTTGCTGCAGTGATTTATAAAAGTCCAGCTCTCTTCAACGATCACTTCAGTTCTCCTGAGGAGGTTAACGCATGCACAGAGGAACTTGCACAAAGGAATGAATGCAAACACTGAACAACACAGTAATTTAGCATTTTAATACAAACCTATCTTCACTGCAGACACTGTTACATTTGCATGGACTGCTGCTGAAACAGCTCAGGCTCAGCTCAGGTAGAGGCACACTCACTACTCCACCAGTTTGGCTTTAAGTGCCCTAGCTTCAGAAATTTGTCCAAGTATGAGTGAGCTGAATTTACTACTCAGTAATTGCGCAGAAATGTCAGCACTGACATATAAAAAAACAAATTAAAAAACGTGACATAAATGGCTGGCAATTACGTACTGAAGAATAATCCATGAGATTATGTACTCTCCATTCATAATATAAAAGACTAAGAAATGTATGATTTCTTTCCCGCTATTTTCAAGTCTTAAACACACAAACTGAAGAACCACCTTACCTGACAGAGTTTTGTTTCCTGTTTTCTATTTTCATTAAAATTTGTACATCTGACTGAGGAGACACTGTATAGATTTTTAATCTGGAAAAAAAAATTAAATATGCAACAGAGATAAATAATGTACAATAAGTATTTCCTATAAATGAGGGCTCTAATTGCTAGTATGTTTTTCTAATTACTCTAAATAAAAGGTTCACTGTCAACCCCACTGAGTTTAATTGTGGTTATATTTTTTTAGAATTACAGTTGCTTTATTTGATCTTTATGCCACGAGTCAGTTTCTTAATCTCTTCCTGGTTTACATTTGGTGGCTGTACTCCAGGGTTAGGCAGTTGACAAATGTTAGGATGGTTTTCATCACAGGAATTAAAGATGCACTTCTGACTGGGAACTCAGCTCTGCGTGCTGAAAGTGCAGCTAGTTTAAACCATTTATTCAGAACTGTTCCCCTCTTTTAGTAGCGTGTTACATGAACTAGCCAGAAAAGTTATTCAATACACACCTTTGACAAATTACAGGATCTGACTCCACTGGATTGATGTATGGCTTAAGGATATCAGCAAGTGTTTTATCATCAGGCACCCTTTCACCAAAGATAAAAATCAAATACATAAGACATGGTTCATCATGTACACAAAAATCTGCTATCTGATTCACTTGGAGGAAGCTGTATATTTGCATGCTACAGTGGCACAACTGAACACCTTATGGAAGGATCACAAATATGTACCAATACAGCATAGATAATTGTCAGCTTTATCACAACTTCAACACTAGGACTTCACTGGCATATAGAAGGAGTAAACAGTAGGTATCTCTAGTTTCTAACCCTGCAGCAGAAACACGCTGTTCCTACAGCCCTAGAAGCAGACAAGGGCATAGTTCTCATCCCCCTTCAGGCAAGGAAAATACGATTTGTCAACAAAAGCTTATTTTTTGCCCTTTGCAAAATGTGCTTGTGGGCTTTCCTACAAAACAACCAATGCAGCTATTTCATCCTATATGGTCAGTTCCAGTGTCCAGATGAGGAGAGATGGCAAATCTTGCTGAACGTCTGCTCCATGAGAAAAGAATGTGTTATGTGCATGGGATACTGCCATGATGAATATAGAAGCTTCTCTGTTTACATAGAGAAAAGGACTAGCAATCAAACATTTAACCTGATTTGAAAACCCTGCTAGCTTTCAACTTGTCAATACACAGCTTTAAGTACTTTTTAAAAAATTTAAACGCCCTTTTAATTAAGACTAAAATAATATTCAAGTTTACCTTGTATAATAGAATAGATAAGAAATGATAAAATATTTTGCAGTTCAATTTCAGAAGACTAATTTAAACTTCATAAAAATCTGGTTTTCAAGCTTTTACCCTTTTAAAATGTATTCAGCATGAGAGTGAGGAAATATGAGCTTCAAGTGCCAGTAGAACTTTTTCTCTCTGAAAAGAAAAAGAAATAACATTCTTAATGTTAGGTGGTAACTACTACCTGTTTTGTCTATGATGAAATTTGGTAGCCTACCGCACAGGTGCAGAAGAAAATACACAGTCAAAGTTTTGAATGGCATTTTCAAAGAGCAAAAGGGGCACACAGACAAGTTGAGATGCAGTGCTCCCAGCTTCTGCTGAATTTCAAGTCTTTATGGGATAACTTGTTCGTTACAGACATCTCCAATTATATGATCAACAGCATTTCATGTTTTAAGAGCAACTCTCTTCCAGCTGACTTTCGATATGGATAAATGCCTTTTCATTTCAGAAAAGGAATCTGCTTTTCAGCATATCACCTGGGACTGGTTGCCAAACTCGTTCAACAGTAATAGCCAGATGCGCCAGTTGAAGCCAGGTTCTACACAAAATAGGGGACTCTCCTGTTCACAGCAGTGATGCCTTCAACAGAAAATGTATCATGGGCAGGGAGCGAAGCTGCATTTTGGCATGACAGGGATAACGGAAGCCAGAAAGAACATTTTACAGAAAGATCAGGAAGCTTTTTGTAGAGACCAAAATTGATGTCATGTTCCTCTCTCCAACTTGCTAGTTTAAAGACTCATCTTCGCTTTTCCTGCTAGCATAACTAATTCCTGAATATAGAAGCAGAGGGATTGAAACGAGATGATCTTAAGGTCCTTTCCAACCCTAACCATTCCATAATTCTATGATTTTATGATGCATGGTTCCAGTGCAGTATCATGTTAAGAAAGACAGTATTACTAAAAGAATACTTTGCTAGATTAGGAAATCTCTTTTTGTCTTCCTACTTGTCTGCAGAAATGCTGCTGAAGTCAATACTGACTTAAGACAAAGCATCATTCCTCTCATTGCTCAAAATTCTCCCGTTCAGTATGGTGAATGCAATAACATTTTATAAAACAAATCTCCTGAGGAAAAGCACTGTCTAAAAGGTACGTGCATGGCCCTTTGCTCTGGTTCAGAACTTTAACACTCATGATAAACAGCAAAGATCTGGAAGAGGAAGGAGGGTACTACTACCATCTAGAAATCAGAGGCCAGACATCTGTGTGAAGCAGAAGGTCTAATGATACTTCTCCCCCCTGGATTTTTTTTTGTTGTTGTTGTTTTAAGCACTACTTAAGATCTATGAAGCATTATATCCAGGATAATCACCACCAGTTATGCAAAGATTCAGGTACTACACTTAAAAGTAAACAGTATTGTTCCAACATGTTGTTTAATTTATCAGGTGAATGAAACATTATCCAGCAGGTTCTAGCTGGCTGCAGAGACCAGTGTATGTATATCCAGTAGCAAAACAGTAAACTCAGCTGCTAAGTTCAGTTAATAGATACCAACTTTTACATGCAAGGACTTCAATAAAAAGTACTCTTATCAAATAAACAATCATTCCCATACCTAGTTATTCCCAGGAAGAAAATAAGCTTTACAGCTGAACTACACTTCCTGCAGCATAAGTAAAATCAGAACCTTAGCTCCAAGGAGCTAATAATTAGAATAAAAAGAACTAATGAAGGCCAAGTTCCCCAAAGCAACATGAGATTCAGCAGAGTTGTGCAACATGCTTTGTGATTCCTCCTCTCTATCTGCTTATAATTGTTAACTGGGATTCTGAACACTGAAGATAAAAAAATCATTCCTTATCTAAAATTTCCACTTTGTGTCATGATTTAATCCCAGGTGGCAAATAAGCACCATGCTGCCACAATACTACTGATGATAATGAAAAGGAAGATAAGAAAAAGAGAGAGGAATAAACCCTAAGAAACTCAAGTGATGCAGAGGTAAATCGCCCACCACCTCCAGTGACTGGGTAGTGACTGGCAGCTCCGAGCCAATTCCCATCAGTTTATATACTGGGCAAGACATGCTGTGGTATGGAATACCCCTATGGCTAATTCGGGTCTGGTGCTCTGTCTCTGCTCCCTCCCAGCTTCCTGTGCTTCTCCTCACCAGCAGACCATGAGAGACTGAGAAGTCCTTGATCACAGTAAGCACTACTGAGTGACAACTAAACCACGGGTGAGCTACCAACACCATTCTCACACCAAACCCAAAACACAGCACTGCACCAGCTACTAGGAAGAAAATTAACTCTATCCCAGCTGAAACCAGGACACTTCGGAAAACCAGAAACTTTGATTTATTTTTTTCTCCCAGCAAGCTAATACTGAAACTGCAGCTAATTACTTCATGTCTCTTCAAAGTATTCTTGCTGAAAGTAAAAGGCAAGTAGGTAATACAGATTAAAAACTGGGTAGAGCCTGCTGCATGCCAGTTATTAAAGTGAAGCATCCATCACCATCAATGATCTCTGCCCAGTTAGAGAACTTGATGTCAATTGCAGATGCTATCAAAACTGCTTCACAACAAATTCTGATTAAAATTTGATATCCTGGCTCCACATCTCACTGACTTCATTTTCCATTATGGCTCACTGGGGTAGTATTTCCTTCAAATACAACTGACATGTACTATGTTCTTTTCTAAATGAAAATGCTTAATTGAGTAAGTCATAGGCAGTCGAGAAACAGTCCACTGCATGCAGTGTTCCATGCCGCTCAGCTGCCATGGAACACCACTCCATGGTTTTCTTGAATACCAAGGCAATGACTACTAAATGGCAGAGATCTGGATGAAGCACAAGCACATCAGTAAATGGGCTTGTGCACATCACACTGATGTCAGAAAAAGCATTATCACAGCCCATCCCCACATTGCTTGGCTTCAGATCCTAGTTTGGCTACTTCAGAAGCATGGAAACTGATCAGAGGGAAGAAGAGGAGCCAAGTACCTCTTCGCCTGCGTGAGATCTAGCTGCAAATTATGTTCAGAACTTCACAGGCTGTTTTGCAATTACTGTTCTGCTAAAGCAAATTAACTGTTTCCCTTTCATTTCACCTTAAACTGCCGAAACCTTATTTTCTATCATCAACTGTAGTTTTTGCAGAACTACATGTAAGTAAGTTTTACATTTTTCACAGCAACAACTGAAAGATTTCCATTTCTGATGTTACAAAGACAACAGCAGTACACACAGAGTGGCTGTTACCTCCAGTCAGAACAACTGCAAAACTTATCTTTCACAGATAAAGCAGTACCTTACAAGATATTTCAAGTACTGCAGGTATAGGCAGTACAGCTGCTGGGAATTAAAGGACAGATCTACAAAGGATTGTGGGATTTGGACAATATACTTAAGTGCCTTGGCAGATTTTTAGAAGTGTCCAGTGTTTACGTACTTCTTAAAACATTTATGAAGTATCTCATAAGACTTAAATTTCTTGTCCAGGTTTCCTCTGAACAGTCAATTTTGCCTAGACTGCAACAGAAGTTTTTAAGTACACAAAATCCTTCTTTTAACCTTTTAAAATGTGTGTTTATGTGTGTGTATGTATATATATATAAAACACGTACTGACAAAAAAATCCAAATACCAGTTGCAGTTCTGGCTCTGCAGAAGTCCTTTGCTGCCAGCCTGTCAAACACAGTGATTCACTGATGACTGGTTTCTATTTAGCAACTAATATTCTCAGAATGTTTTAGAAATAGTAGAGAGGACATCTTACATCAAAGCGCAAATACTGAGGTATTTCCTGTCTATGTTATTTTGAATTGACAAAAGAGGTGAAAAGGACATAAAGAAGTTTAACGAAGGACAGGTTATCCTTCCATTTGACAATACACAGTACTCTCACCTAATGCACTACAGTTTAATTGAAACACTGGATGTTCACTATCTATGCCTTAGGATAATGTTGCCTTTCTCAACTTCCTTAAGCAATGAAGATTCAGCCTAAGTGACTAGATTCTCTTGTGGATTAAAACAATAAATTAAATCAAGAGAGCACGCAGACGTATAATGATTTCACCCCCCTCTCCCCCCAACTCTGTGTTCCTAGAGCCAAACTGACTTTGTTGCATTTCTAATAGCAGCACATAGAGAAGATGACTGCATTTTGTTCAAATTTCATCAAGATAATTCCTGTCTACTGAAAGTTCATGTTTCCTAGTTACAGTAAACAGCAAGACAATCGAAGAAACTAAAATGCACATCCTTTGTAACACATATGGTCTTCTATCAGGGGCCTCCCAACACCAGATGTTACTAACCATATGTGTCGCAATAATCAAACATGCCAGGCTTGAACTAAGAGTCCTGTGTAAATCAAAGAGACACTGGCAAGGCCAAGAAACCCAAATTGTAATAATTTTATATGAAGAACAGGCTAAAACTACCATCCTTTTTAACTCTGAAAATAAACAAAATCACCATCAAATTCACTACGAGAATGAAACATTTGTTGCTAGAGGGAAAAAAAAATCTCAGGTACAGAACTCAGTCAGTACTTGTCTTCACATGGGGGTGTTCTGAAAAGCTAGTGATTTATCAAGATGCATGAACACCCTCCTCTCTGATCACACCAGAGTAGCATTTCTTTGCCTGGGAACTTACTTTGGCAGGTCTCAGAAAGCAAGCAAAACTATGTACTATGTAACTAAACTCAAGTTTAACAGCTCCCTTAGAGTAATAGTAGCCCAAGACCCAGCTCACGTAACTCCTTAAATTCTTAAGATCAGTAACACTTTAAACAATTTATTTTAATTACCCTCACCAAGCTAAGCATTAAAGCTGACATTATAGGGCTTTCAGGTATACCTCAAAGTAGCTTCTGTAACACTACCTATCTCTTAACTGATGCTAAACCCAAATCTCCACACCTTAGTTTGTTCTCAGAATTAAACAGCGATAAGGAAAAGGATTCCTTCTTCTCCCACATATATTATCTGTTCAGATGCTTCCAAGCTGCAGACATGCCTTCCATCAAGACTTGCAGCCCTCTGGGCAGGGAGGAGGTAAGATTTTGTCTGGGATGTGCTGTGAATGGAGTAGGGACGAAGCTGGATGGAGACATCTATGACAGTGTAAGCAGAAGGGAGGTTCAGAGCAGGGCAGCACAGACCACAGGGCTGAGGGAGCTGCGCTGTCCCATTTCAGCATCTCACCGCTGTCACCATCTCCTGCCAGAGAACCAGAAGGCATGGAGTTACAAGCCTCCCATTTGACCTACTGGCTGGAGCTCCCCAGTTCCTGCCTCAGCCCTCTTCCCAACCTGGTCATGTTTCTCCACTCCTTTCCCAAAGGCCCATTATTGCAACAGGCTACTTCAACTCCATGGCAGCATGCATCCAGAAGGGGAACTGTTGTTTCTACTGAAAAATAAGGGCACAGCAGGACAGATTGGGTGAAGCAACACATTAGAAATAATTCGCAAATACGGCATCCTAAACAATCTCTAAGTCAGATGTCCCATGAGGTCACGAACTGGACTCACACTCTACTTTCTATTGACCTTCCAGTATCTAAATATTCAAGGTTAGTCTAATCCATGTGTTGCCCAGCACTGGCACATACGCTTTCATGACACTGAGTGTAGTAAACAAGCTAATGGAAACTGGGAAATTAAATCTGGTTAACACATCCGAACAACCACTGATCTGTCCTCCACACCCAGCAGGGGCAGGTGACGACACAAGAATACGTCCTGTACTCCCTAGTTTTAGATTACTCTAATTCCTGACTTGCATAGTCCAACAGTTTGGCTTGCATGGAGAGCGTGAAGAGGACATCAGAGAAGCTGTGCTCAGCTTTCCATGCACATATGTTGAGCAGCTTCCAAACAACCTGCACCCTCTGGAGCAACTCCTCTACATGTCTCAACTGACAAACAGCATGAGAAAGGGTTCAGTTCTGCAGAACAGACACACCAGTCCCTGACCACAGTCAGGTGTTAACTTCATATAACATAACTGTTTACATAGCTTTACCCCATTTGAATGTAATATTCAACAACATGTTAGGGGTGTTATGAATTCATATGGGATAGGTGTTAAATGGCTGATATTCCTTGGTTCAATGAATCCTGAGGTTTGATTCCTCGGGAAACCATTTAAGGAGAGTAAGCAGAACATGCCAATTAAAAACAAGCAACCAACCAAACTCACCCAAAACAACCAACCAACCAAAACCAAAGGTTAATTTTTAATCTGCAGCACCGATTTCAAAAAGCTAATTGATGTGTGAGTATCAGTAGCCACAAAACAGTGGAAATGTGTCCTTTGTGTAGTACTGAGCATATTCCATAACGCTAGACAGCATTTACAGGAAAGAGAGGGTGATTATCATCTTCAGAAGAGAGAAGATTACATGTTCTTTCTGGTGGGATGTTAAAGTCCCAGAAAGGACAGCAATCCATAACAACAAAATTACCCCAGGGCTTTATGATTAACACAAACCAGTAAGGCATTCCCCCAGATAGCCTGTGAAATATTTGCATGCCCATTTGCCAGTAAGTTACCTTCCTTATCCCATTTTCTAGCTTTAAAATCTGCTTCTGTTAAACAACATAAAGCACATGATATGCATGAAAACATAATATGCTCAAAGCTTAACTGTGAGCTATGTTTCAGTGTGTACCCAAAAAGGCTTTCTAGAGAAAAAGAACTGAAAAACACAGAACATGAGGTCAAATGTCTGTAGCACAATACTGTACTACACCCAGGATCTTCCCAGCATCAAACCTTGCTGTATCCATACCTTTTCTGTTCTTATATCCTTTTCTTAGCTGCTGATCCCAGCATCCCTGGTCTTTCTGCATTTGCTCTGGCTCTTACAGGCTACTCCTCACCTATATACCTTAAAGGTGTTCATGTTGTTTTATCCACAAGGAAAATTAAACTCAGCTCTAAGACCGAGATACTTCAACAGCATGAGACTAGCATAAGATACCTGTAAATGACAGAACACGCAGCCAAGGCAAAGGAAGTCAGGGCAGAGGCAGGCAGCCCATGGGACTCACACTGGCCAGGTGTGGAGCTGCTGCCCTGCCTGCTCCCAGGGAAAGCCTCCGTGGTGTAACTGTGGGGTGACGGCGGAGAAAGTGCCCCAGCTTTCCCTTCTTCCCATGGTCCGCCCGGGGCTCTCCCTCGCAGTACCATACGTATCTTCACAGCGCTGGACATCCACACCTCCTGAGCGCCTCAGGCTCCGCAGCGCCGAGTGCCGCTACCCCTCCGTCAGAGAGCGACACCTGGTGGCCACTGGGTGCTCCGGCGCCTTAAGACATCGAGGAAAGCGCTAAAAAAGGCGGGCAGCCGCGCCGCCGGCGGCTGCCGCAACCTGAGCGGCGTTTGTATGTGTTCCCATGGTACATCGAGAGCAACTTCAGACCTGTTTCCTGCCACGGAATGGTTCGGGTTGGAAGGGACCTTAAAGCTCATCCAGTTCTAACCCCCTGCTATGGGCAGGGACACCTTCCACCAGACCAGGTTGCTCCAAGCCCCATCCAATCTGGAACGCTGCCAGCCATAATGAAACATTTTGCAGGGTTTTTCTTACTACTACAGTGAACTTACTTCAAAATACAAACTATGGATACTGTGAAAAATGCCACAGAGTGGATAAAAAGAAGAATACTTAAGAATCTTCCTAGCCTTTTTCCCAAATTCCCATCTGTCTGCCTCTCTAAGCTGCACCATCTCAAGCAACCGCATCATCCAGCACAGCAACTTCTATCACAACGATGACTGCTACTGGAAGCACCTCTTCAGACTTAAAGTCATCCTTTTCAGAGAGAGGCGCTTATGCAATCATTCTACATCAATCCTCTATCATAAACCTTTAAAGAAGTGTTTTCTTTTCCAGCAAAACTCAATGTTAATTAAATATGGAAAAAACACATTATCGACTCTTCCTCCAGTTATTCTTCTTGGTGCTCCTCCAAACAAAGTGTGAATTGCACAAGCCGATGATATCAAAGAGCCTAAAAAATGAAAACCTGCAGCACAAAATACCAAATCTAGATAGCTTCTGTAAAAAAATTATGCATCTAATGGATTTTAACAGCAAGCACACTGGAATGAATCCAGATTCACACCATTATGCGTTCAATGAAAACAAAATATTGCCGACTGTAACCCACTGAAGACTCACATGTAATTGAAGGTGGTTGAATTTTCTCTTCTCTTTGTAAATCCAACAGGCAGTGTTCTCAGGTCAATGTCACACTTTCGAGCTTTGTTTCTCAAGCCATACAACTAGCAAAAAAAAAAATAATTTTTAGTAAATATATGAATAATATCTTCCAAACCCAAAATTTAAACAGTATAAGAGTACTGCTGACAGGAATTATGGGAAAAGTGTAGAAAAGGCCATATTTAATGAAGTACTTTGGTTTAAAAAAACCCATCAAATGAAAAATTAATGAAGTAAGCCTAGAAACTATCTGAAACATTCTCAGGTGAAGTTTTCCCATGCTTAAAAACAACATACCAATGACTTCTTTATAATAAAAGTTTTTTAACACCCTGGGAAACACACAGACAACCAAACACAAGAGTTGGTTTTTGGACTACAAGCCCACTAGCAGAAGGGATGCACAAGCACCATCTTAGCCACTATGACAAATTCCAATTCGAAGGCTGCACTAAGGATATCATCTCAAAACATTCTAGTACCACACCCTAAAACCTGCTACCTGTGCAGCGTCTCACCACCTTCAGTGAACATTTTCAAGACATCATGGCAACCAGCACACGCACAGAGTATGACTTCAGCCTGAGAGAAAGCTGGAGTCTGAATTTACTCTGAATTCACCCTGTCATCAACCTGAGTTCTCTCCAACTGAGTTTAGTATTTGAATGTATCTTCACAAGACTGGAAAACAACATGGCCCTGATGCCTTTCTGTGATTTACCAACAAATCAAGTATTTTGGAGTAGATTTTGATTTTCTGTGGTTTGCGTGTTTTCCCTTTCTGGTCTTCACAGTTTATCGTCACAGAACTTTCAGGAAAAGCAGTAAATTTCTGCGATCTCATTAGTGCTTTACTAGAACTGGAGGAGTTGCAGCAAAAATCCCCTGTCACCTGTAGAAGGCTGGCTTTTACTTCATTGTTGTTTATTCTCTGCAGAAGTCTAGTTGTCTTCACTCGGTATGAAGGGAAGCATGTAATAGTTTTTAATTTAATAAATCCAAGTTCACCTGGGAATTCTGTATTTAAAAATTCAAAAAAAGATGTGGAGATGGGAGGAAACACTCAGGCTTTCTTAACATGCATTTGTCATCAAACAGCAGAAGTGGTCATGCATCACTTCTAAGAATAAAACACTGTGAGCAACTTCAGCTAACTTCTCATAGCAAATGGACATAGCCATCAATACTATTATTATATAAACCTTGAGACTTCTTTTGATTTCTGGCTCTAAAATTCAGGGTCATTCATACTTTCGTAAGAGAGGTATCAGCTCTGAAAACTGCACTGGGACTGCCTCAGTGGGAATTCATAGGTAGTCAACACTTCAATAAACCAAGCTACTAATTTCAAACTTACAAGTTTTTTTGCTGTTGGATTATGCACAGTAAGATGTCGAGCAGCAGCATCAGCCGCCCTTCCTACATCTTCCAGGAATCTATAATCTGGAGGTAAAAAAAAAAAAACAAGCGAGGAAAAATGCAGTGCCATCATTTAGCAGGGCAGGAAAAAAAAGGGAAAAACAGTAACGATAGGAAAATGAGACTATACAAAACAAGCGATGTGCAATACAATTGCTCACCTCTTGCTGACCGGTGCCCAGCTAGTTCCTGAGCAATGGCCTGGGTCAGCTTTCCCCTCCAGTCCACATGCTGAGCACAATGCTATATGGTGAGGAATATTCCCTTGGTCAGCTGGGGTCAGCTGTCCTGGCCGTGTCCCCTCCTGACTACTTGTGCCCCCCAGGCTGGTCGCTGATGAGAAAGGGTGGGAGGCTGAGAAGCCCCTGACTTACTGTAAACACTGCTCAGCAACAACTAAAGCATCGGTCTGTTCTCAATATTATTCTCATCCTACATTCAAAACATAGCACTGTACCAGCTACTAGAAAGAACGAGAACTCTACCCTAGCCAAAACCAGGAAACTAACCTTGTAAAACCAATGAATTTTAAAAAACACACGGATTGTTCTTACCACTCAAAAGATTCAAGTCGGTAAATTCATTTACGGAGACAAATGCTGTTTTATCCCTGACTCCATTACAGCTTAATGCAAGCTTATGCTTCTTCACACACAACAGACTAAAATGACAGAAAAGAAAAGCATTAACATTCTGTATTCAGGATGAGTGGAGCAAATAACCAAAACAGTTTAATTCAGATAACAGATACCTGCACGAATATTTCATGCATCGTGGACACCTGTACTTAGCTTCCTCTTGACTACATGTTTCACACCTGAAAGAAGTAAAAAGTATCTCCTAATAAATGCAACCCCCAAAGTCAAGGAACCTCTCAAGCACAATGTGGAAGCTTTAGAAATACAGATAACTAGTAACTTGTGGAAAAAAAAAACCAACCCTCTACAAATATAATCTTCTCTATTTTAATTAAGATATTACAATGGATGTTTCTCCTATTCTTAGGAAAGTTACTGATAACTGAAATAACTGTCACTTGTCATTTTAACTCTGATGAATGGGGAAGGGAAATAAATGCCCCCCACCTGCAAAGTTTTCAAGAATGGCACAAACCCACCCCTTTTAAAGGACAAACGTAAGTCTTGAAATACTGTTTTTCCCATCCCTACCACGCACCTGCTGCTAGCTAACAGCAGCGGTGTGAAGGACAAGCCCAGCAGTGTCACCTCCTGCAAGAAGGTCACTTTATACGCTGCCAAAATAATGTATTATAAGTAAAACAGTGTTTCGCATTTAGGAATAATAGTAGGAAACATTTCATCACCGAAAGGGTGGTCAGGCATTGGAACAGGTATCCCAGGGCAGTGGTGGAACCACTGTGCCTGGAAGCGCTCAGAAACCGTGTAGACAAGACCCTCAGTGACACGGGTTAGTGGTGGACTTTGCAGTGCTGGTGTAATGGTTGGATTTCGTGATCTTAAAGGTCTTTACCAACTTAGCTGATTCAGTGGTTCTATGATTCCATACACTGCAAAGCAGAAATAGATTCCTTTTTTTGCAGTATCTCCACCGTGCCCAACGCACACTGGCAGCTCAGCTGCTACACCATAGAAAACCTGCCAGGCGGTACCTGTGTGCAGACTCCGCTAACACCCAAGCGCAGCCGCAGCTACCCAGGGCAAAGCTCACCCCGCGCTCAGAACAGCCCTCTCGCTCCTCTGAAACGAAACTGCCCTGTAGGGCAGCGGCAGCGTCCACCGCATCGCCGGCTGCTCCTCTCCATACACTATGGGGAGAGGCGAAAAGAGCTGCAAGGACACAGGACAGGCATGCTGGGCACCGGGGGGCAGGCCCGGCCCGCAGCAGGCCCTGCGAAGCCCCTAGGGCAGGCCCAGGGCGCCAAGAGAGGCCGGCGCAGCCTTTCCCCTTCGGCGGCCCCCAGTTTTCGCGGAACCCGGGGACGGCGCTCCCGAAGCGGCCCTGCACCTTGCCCGTGCCCCTACCCCTCGGAATACCTCTGCAGGGATATCTTCCGCCCGCCCGCCGGCAGACGAGCGCTGTGAAGGCCCTCCCGCTCCGCCATTGCCGAGCGGCACCACCTCCCCACGCGGAGCCTGGCGGGGCGGGCCCAGCAGCGTCCTTTCCTGGGCGGCAGCGCCGCCTGGCGGCACTCGGAGCGCCGAGGCCCCCGAGAAGGGCCTCGCTGGGAGGGGCCTGCTGCCGGCTCTTTCACAAGCTCCGCCTCCCAGCTGGTTTTAAATGGGTTTTAACTACGAGAAATAGCAGTAAAAGCGTTCTGACAAAAGCTCAGAGCTTGCTCTAGAATTAAGGGTAACGAAATAGGTGACTACCTCAGAAACCATAAAAACATTAGAATCATGGAATCAACGAGGTCGGAAAAGACCTTCAAGATCACCAAATCCAACCTTTACCCCAGCACTACCAAGACTACCACTAAACCATGTCACTAAGGGCCTCAGCTACACGGGTTTTGAACACTTCCAGCCTCTTACAATGCCTGACCAACCTTTGGGGAAGAATTTGTTCCCAACAGAAATTTTTCCAAATAAGATTAATTGGAGTGTACAGGTACTTGCTAACATTGTGGGACAAAACTGCACGAGATCTCCTGCGAACACCTTTAGGAGCTCTGGTGAAGATGCCCGAGCACAAGAGGCTTTCCAAAACACATTTTTAAAATCGATGATTTCTGAGACACGCTAATATAAACCATAAAGTAATAAATAACTTCCAAAAACAGTGCAATGAAACTAATGAAAACAGACATGAAACAATATACATGTTCTACAATATTACTTTCTTACAAAAACCCAAACTTAATCCATTTGTCACAACATCAGCTCCACAGCCAAGCTACCAGCATAATATTGTCTGGTTGTAATGACCTGGAAAATGCAGAGAGAGACATATTCTCTAACCTTTAGATTTTCTCTAAGGGAACAAAACTGCTGCTTCCATATAAAACGTAAAATGTGATGTATGTTACCTTGTAAAAGTAAATGCAGTCACTGGCCGTATTCCATGGCACAAAGCATGTGCATTTCCCCGTGGTAAAAGTAGCATTGACACCTGACAAGTACCCTTCTAGAGGATTTTGTTCTTTACCAAGACTGAACTACACAATACGGAACAGAACAGTAATAAGACAAACAGATAGTTTGGAAGCTTATTTTATTATACTTTGGTATGTGTGGTTTCCTGTGGATCAAGACAGTTAAACAAGTTGTTTGAACACTCCTCTGCTCCCCAGGAGAGCCTGGTACCACCTTGCCGTGTACTACTGAGCACACTTTGGATTGATAATAGATACAGGGCTATCATTACGACAAGTGCTTTCCCTAATGGCAAAATTGTTTTTTTTTATTAATAAAAAAAGATGATTGAACATTTTAGACTTAATTAAAAAACAAACAAAAACACCCCCCCCCAAACAAACAAAAAACCACAAACAACAAAATGATCTAGTGTGTGAAAAATGGAATTTCTAGGTGGATGAAACTATTATAATTTAGAAGCAGCCATTCAGAAGACGTGTTGTAGTAGATTTTTTCACAAGTTACAAAATATATACACAATGTATTATCTTGAGATGCCTTTGGCATTAAAAATGTTAACTGAAATACAGAATCTAAACCTCAAAACTACTGTAGGTAGCTCTTCTACAATATTTTTTTACAATGCCTGTAAAGCTAACTGTTCTGACTATATGCATCCTATACAATGCACTGTCTCATATACCATTTCCACAACAGTACACAAAAATATTTAAAACAAGAAATCCACATAAATAACGTTTTCATTGTAATGAAGTACATGACCAATAATTCAAAATAAGCACCTTTACAACAGAAACATATCCTGATGTAACCAGCACATACAGTCAAAGATAAAAAGGGACTCAAATAATCTCTGCTAAGGCCACAAGCACCTTGTGTTATGAAGAGCACCAAGGCAACATGGACAGGAAACACAAAAGAGGTAGTGTGTCATCTGTTAAGATGTATGTGTCCAGCAAGGACTAGAATAAAGCAATGTTTCAGAAAAGAAGATGTACTGTACTGTGGCATAATTCACTTTTCATACATAAGCTATTGCACATTTAGGAGCATTAGCCAGTATTGCTCCTCAGTATTGTATGTCTCCACCTTTCCTCGGGGTGGCTTTGTTGCTGTGCTCTTAAAGAGATTGCTGAGAACACCAGAGGTCCTGAAAAAGTCCATGTTCAGGTACTCAGTTCCAGAAAATTACGCAAGGAAGCACCAATATATTTTTAAATACTTTATGAAAGCTGTAGTTCTTTTATTTATTTCTTTCCTTTTAAAATGCCATTTCTCCTTAGGAGGAAGTCCTTTTCTTCCTGAGGTTCTTTAACCAACATAATTTAAAATGATTCTTCAATTTCCTACTTATTTTGCCTGTAATGGATCATTACTTTTGCATTTAATCTATGCAGCAATTCCATGTTGATGCAAAGAAAAACCACAACAAACCCCACCAACCCCAGGACAGAAACCTTAAAGGAAGCACACTGAACCACCTTCTATGAAGTGCTGCTGTCCTGGTTTGAGGTGAGGAAGTGCATTAACTTGAATGACTGGAAGCTGATTAGTGTCCTGAGTGTGAAAAAAGAACTGTGTCTTATGCCAGCTGCCATCTTCCATCTGCAACACACAGGAGCAGAATATTAGTTTCTTATCAAAGACGCGCTTCAAAACACAAATGGGAATTGAGCTGATAGAATGAGAGAAGGAAGTGAAGTGTACAAAAACATTTCTTCTCCCAGCAGTTCATAAAGAAATGGTGTAATTTAACAAATGCCATTTCTCTCATGCAACACCATGGACACTCCTGGCAAAACTGTAACTATAAAAAAGCCAAGCCTAGAATCCAGCTGGAAGGGCTGGAGACATAGCGCGGCATGGCTCAGAGCAGAGCACCTGGCACTTTGCAAGCAGTCTTGGGCTCATACAGACTCTCAGATCTCTTGCAAAATTGAACTCCTAATCTCAAGAGTAGGTCTTGAACTCAGTAGGTTATGAAGTCTACAGGCACTTGAATGACTGTATAGGCCCTTGAAGAGTAATCATGGAAATGAGACTTCCATTTCTGCCATGAACTTGTTTATTCTAATCCTTTAAAACTCTCAGTAAAAAACTGATACCTCATAAAAATTATAAAATAGCACGATAACATTGTCTGAGGCTGGGAATATCTTGATGTTTGCAATTACTCCACTGTGTTCTTAAAAACCGCTAAGCACGCAGTGGATGCTGCTGAAAAGAAATCCCTGCAGAGAGGGAAATATGTAAGATTCTGCAGCAGATCTATACAGTACATAGTTTGCCACAGAAAGAGCAACAGACCCCATGGAATCTCACAGAGAAACAGCACTTTTCAGCAGCCATCACTGTGTGCCTTAATTTTTCTCAGGGATTAAAACAGTCCCAAGCAGACTGTGACATGGAGGAAGAGGGCTTCAATGGCCATACCTTATCTGTGTGACACAAGCTAGAGCATCTCATGAGCGCATGCTAGTAAAGGTTGAAAGCATAAAAGCTTCAAAGTGCCCCAATAAAAGCACTTTGTTTTGAGATTAAAAATCTCACTTGATACCCCATATCAATATGGAACCAGTCTCACATCTGTCATTATTGTAAATGAAAGTAGAGCTATAAAACACTGAAAGTGTAAGATGCATTTCATAGTGTATTTCATAGTATTCGATCAAGACCAAATAGCTTACATTTTGGTGACTGGAATAATCTAATAAGCATTAGAAAACTAATAAGCCCTTCTGATTTTTCCCAAATACAAATATGATTTAGTATTTTGTTAACCATGAAGTCTACTTCCAATCATCATTTTATTATATAACCAAACAATGTCTGTGAATTTAAAGATATTTAGATAGCCAAAACATAATTTCCAGCATGTCTGAACCTACAATTTTGTGTTAGATAACCTCAACAGAACTCTTACTGAAGTATGAATTTTCATTTTGAGAGTTACCGTTCCTAAAGTTTCCTGGAGGACTTCCTTATTTTTGTTCTGATCTCCCTCCAGTTTTCCAGCACAGTCTCAAAATATGTGACACCCAATACAAACAGCAAGTGTAAATGCCCTGTATTACTGCAACTGCTTTTACATTTGGATAGATGTTGAATTTAGTACCAAAAGGCTGTTATATAGAGACATATGCAGAACAAAGTAAGAAGTAAGCTTCAAGGGATGTGAATCTAAATTACTGTTATTTATTTGCAGAAAGTTAATAACGTCTAAACAGTAGCTACATTATGGTTTTAATATGTGCTAAAGAGCATTTACCATGCATTCATCCAAAAGCACCTTCGGTTCAAGCAGTGTATTTGCTTTAAATATTTGACCATTCCATCCTTTGAAGCTAACAGACATTTTCTGGCCACCTGCTTTATTTAATCCCCACATCGGTGTGTTCAGACAATGAACTGTGATGCTATGGGTTGCTTCTGAGCTCAGTAAATGAAGGAAGTTCATCTGCACTTTTCCAACGCCGAACTCCAGCTAAGTTCCAAGAGAAACGCATCGTTAGACTTACAGCTGGACTATGCCGAATGGCTGCAGCAATGCCAAGTGACATGCACATACATGCAGTGTTCAGGCATGGGAGCATGTTTAAATGTTTATACACTGGGATCAGTGCCAAAACATATGATTTGTATTTATCAGGAGAGCTGTTAGGTTCTATTACAGTGATTACTATAAACAGAAGCTTTCATAAGGCATTTTCAAAGCTCAAAAATAAACATTTGCTAATGCTTACAACATTGTTGAAATGCGGCTGGGCAGAAAACACTGTTTTTAAGTAAGCAAAACAAATGATTTTGTGATTTAGATAAAGATATTATAATCACAGTGTTTAAACTGCAGCCACATCATTCTGCTGTTTAGCTGTCTTAGACCACAGGCTTTGGCATTCCATTAAAAATCAAAAATTTCGTAAAGTATACTTTGATTTTAGATAGAACTCATAGTTACTCATTACTCAATGAGAATTTCTCCAAGACTAGATCATATTCAGGGGTTTTCCAAATGTAGGAATGAGTATGGAAACTGTAGGGTATTTCTGATGCTCTTCAATGACTAAGGTTTATATGCAAATATCCACAAATATAAGATTGTATTCCCAAAGGTTTTAGGACTACATCTAAAGAGGAGCATGGACTAATGATACAAAGGAAACCAGTCTCTTCCTAATGGCGTTTAGAAGTACCTAAGCATTAAAAAGTAGCCATAATTTTCTTCCTTCCCACTGCAATGACCTCAGCGTCTCTACAGTTAGCTGCCCTGAGTGATGAGTTACTAATGTAGCTTAGAAGCATTTCAGGCTTATTTTTATGCTTTGGATAAGAAAGTATAAGGCAAGCCAAAATAATTCTATCAACACAGAGGGTGAGTAAATGAAGTAAATGAACAAAGTGAGGGTTATACTAACATCTATTGTCTCCAGAAAATCTGTAACTTCTGTAACAGAATGCACAACATGTCCTTCCACAAAGATGCACATTGAAAAAAACCCTGAAGTCTAACATCTTTTCATGAGGTAAGTAAATAAGCATTCATTTGTTCAGAGTTCCAGTACAGATAAAGTCTTCGTGAAGCAATGCATACCTTTGTCACAGACAGTGGCGTTAAACATGTCTGACCACCTGCAGTGAAGTTGCAGAAAACTTCAATAGCATCAGAAGGACATCCAATATTTGGGTCTATCCAGTATTTTCCTTTTAGTATATATTCCAGATGGAAAATAGAACCAAAATATAATTGTTACTAAATAATTTACTAAAATATTAATGTTTTTTGGCAAGTATTAGGTATATCACCATAGCTTTACTAGGAAATTAAAGAAAAAAAAAACCAAGAAACTCTTTTCACTATTATAATTCTACTAATAACAGATACTGAGAAAAATTATCATAATCATTCAATTGTGATTACATAAATGATTTCTGAATACTGTCATGGTTTCAAAAATATTTTCTTTTTCTACAGCTACATAGTGAGAACAAACAGCTTTTCCAGTCTGCTCTTCCTGCACTGAAACTTAGCTTTTTTTTTTTTGTCTTTGTGCGTGGCTTTGCACAGAGAATATATTCAGGAACATAAAATACCAATCTAAGTTCTCTTGCTCTCACAGCATCTTGAAGAGCCTCCCTTTTCCCCATCAGACACTCCTACATAATCCAGTGATGGCAGTAAGGAGTATTTGTCATTGTGCATCCATGGGATTTGGTCCAGTAAAAGAAATGGGACACATGCAACTTAGATCAAGATTTAGCTTACCTTAATTTATGGTTAAATATAGGCGAGCCTGTGCTCTACAATTTCTATGTGGGTGTGTGTAATCCTCTGAAGTAGAGGACTGTGTCAGTGACCTCCGTGGTCCTAAAGGGCTGAGATTTATTTAGGAGAGCACAGTTCTAATAATGGTTAGGCTCATCTACTAGAGTCTTAAAGAACTGATCCATCCTTATATATGCCATAGAACAGTGACTGTCCTGTAATGTCTAACTTCATTTGCCATTTCCTCCTTAGCTTGCTAATGCTAATACTTGATAACAGGGATATGTACAGGTATTTATTATTTTATTAGCCAATCAGAAACTGAATTATGTCACAGTCTTAACATTACAGGTTTAAATACTTTTTTTATTTAAAATATGGATTCAGGATCTTCTGGGATACAACTGCCAGTGTATCTGACACTTGTACTGTATTGTATACAATTTTCTCATTAGGAATCTAGAATCTGATCCACACAGAGTTCATTGCAAGATTAGCCATAAATACTTGGGAAATCTTTAATCACTAAATTGGATTTAATTTCAAATTTTCTAGACACTTTTATTTACTTATACATATATGTATCTGTCTCTATTACTGATACACTATTAGCTAGCTACATACTTTCATCTTTAAAATTCAGAAATTTTATCTTAAATAAAGATAAAATGAAGATAGCTGTGACAGGCACACTGCCACAGAGCATGATAAAAAAAATCTACACATTACATTTTTAATGTAGAAAGTAAAACTTTGAAGCAACATATTCCAAACCCTACTTGTGTTCAATCTTTAATGAAAGTGGACACTTACCATCTGACACTTTATGTTCACAATTAAGCAAGTCCCTGCAGATGCGTGCTGGGTTATCCCGAGTGCCAAGAGGGTTCTTGATGCTGTGTAGTAAATTGCTAAGGTAGCGCAGCGTTTTGAATATCTCTGTGCTGTGATCTAGTAAAGTTACTTCAGTATTCTGGTATTTCTGCCAAGGGCCATTAGCAAATGCGTTACCACGAGGAAGTATCACAACAACAATATATGCAGTAAAAGTCAAATGGTCATTGAATAGCCAGAAAGAAGCAAAGTATTTATAACGCATGCAATCAGCCATATAAAAAAGGGTAAGAATAATATGTTCTAATAAAAAAAAAAAAAGTACGTTATTAAAATTATCAGAGCAGTGAAGTTAGAGACAGGCTAAGATCATGCAAATATATTATTATGACATGTTAACAGAAAAATGTGGATATAGGGTAAAAAAAGAATTTGCACATTTGTAAAGTATACTTAACAGTTTTAGATTTTGAACAGTGAAATCTACTCTTGCTGGTTTTCTGAACTTCAATTGTAACATACAAATCTCAGCATGTTTAGTCATATTCGACAGTAATTACTTGCTATACCTGCTTCATTTTAAATTAAGTCATTGTAAAGAATCCACGTTCTGTCCTCAAAAAAGAGAGTTCTAAATGCATTCCCTGTATGACAGTGTAAATACACTGAAATACATTACCTCCATCTGCAGTGCAGCATTTGACTCAATCAAAGCTTGAACAGCAGCATTGATGTCCACTTGTTTCTGGAAAAAACAAACACACACACCCCCCACCCCCCCCAACCCCACTTCAGAATATAGAAAGATGAACAGGAATACTCTAAAATACAGGTGGTAAATTCTTTGAGAACTGTAGTAACACACAGGATAGCTTCGTTATTTTGCCATTTTAGAAAATAATTCATTGTAAACACTTACTTTTAAAACAGGATCCTCCCTTCCAATTCCAAAGAATGAAAGCATGTGTACAGAAAAAGCATATTTAATTTTTATTAGCACCCCCATGCCCAATTTAATGATCATATTCCTGGAATCTAGAAAAAAGACACTGCAATAATTGCTACAGACTGATGTTCCTAGTTATTCCTCCCAGCCATTTAATTTATATCCTCAAGAAAACCAACCCAGGTAAATTGAATAGGTGTTAGTCCTTTACAGAGACACACACAAAGGATAATTTCAATCAGCCATCAGCAGCTGACAGACCGAAGTAGTCTTCATGATGCATGAACAAATACCAAGGCTGACAAACCAGCCTCTGAAGGAGGAAGCCAATGTGGGCTTCATTCTCACGCTTTGTATATATATACCAGACCCAGACAAGAGGTTAGGGTTTCATTTTTAAAGAATTAAGTCACCCACACAAACATCTAGTTCTTGCAGTTTGTTCTCAGGGGTGGGGCTTAAACCACAACACCAGATTACATATATTATGACATTTTTAGGACACTTCAGATATCGAGTCTGCCCTAACTGGCACAATCCTTTAACAAACTAAATCCGTGTGTGTGCATGTAGGGAGAATATCTGGACCAGAAATAGCACAAAATTTTCTGTTGTTATCTTTCAGACTGTTCAAATACAGATCAGGAGAAAAAACTTAGAGTGTGACAGAGTTAACCCATGTCAAAAATACGAGTATGTCCATGAGCATTGCCTGTTGAGGGCTCAACAGTATGCAGAACAGAACTGACAAGTGTAAGATGAAGGTTCAAAAAATGTATCACTGTAGTGATGGAAACTGTCGAAAATGTATTTGCATTTCATATGTAGCGATGGAATAAGCAGTGCATTTGAAGAGGGTCCTGATATTTTCACTTTCAAAAAAAAAAAAAGTAGATTAGGGTTGTGACAGAACTTACTCTGGGTCCTGGTGGTCCAGGTGGTCCCTGGAAGATGGGAGAAGCTAGATATTAGAGGCTTCATATGTACATAAAATGCAATTACAATGGGAAAAATATAGGCATGGGTTTTTTTGGGGGGGGACTTACAGGTGGCCCTGGCTGACCCTGAGGTCCCTGAGGCCCCTAGAAGAAATGGAGATAAAATGCAACAGTTATAGATTAACATCTCTCCTTCTACATTTATGTATTTTTTAAATCATAACATGCCACAATGCATACCAAGAAGATAACGTGATACAGACTTTGGTAAAGCTGTAGATCAGCAGTTACTATTGATAAAGTACTACACTCTGTTAACATACGAGTATTCCTGTCAGAATTGCTGGGTTGTTTGGTTACTTGTTACCCCAATTACTTCTGGTATTAAGGGAACATTAGAAGTCATACAACGTATTTAATATATAACGTGCTACACATTATGCCAGCATTATATGCATGTTGCCCATACAAGTACTACAAGGGATGAATGATCAGAAACGCATTGTAAAGTTAAGGGTAGCTGTAAAAAACTAACTGATCTGGTTTACTCCATAAGTGTCTACTAGGCATTTATTAGCTCAATTTTTTAGCAGTGTAATTTTTCACCTGAAACAGCTTGTGTTCACTGTGTTACTGTGATATTGAAGCTTCCTTCATAGTCAAGAATTTACAGCTTTATTTTCTCATCATAAGTAACATCATTTTTATGTGTAGGATGATGCAATGGGGAGGAGAGGAGGAGAAAGAACAGCCTCTTTTCCCTAGCCTACAGCGCCTACAATGCACAGTCTTCAATCTAAGTTTTAGGCTTGCTTCAGGGTTGGATATGGACCTTCCCCAAAATAATAACTCCATCCGAATTATCCTTTCTTTGAGCAGCTGCTCACACTAAGATGGTATGATTGAGTATTTATTAATATACAGTGATACTTATGTCACTATTAGATTCTCATCTTTAATCTCTATATACTCAAAGCCTCTAGGAGCTGCTGTAACATAAACTACTGTAAGAACAATGAAGAATAGGTGGCAGTGCCTTAATATCAGCAAAAGAGAAGGGATGAAAGGCATAGGCCAGATCTGCACCACGTAGTAGTAAAACCTTTTAACATAACCGAGTTAATTAAAGCAAAACATTCTTTAGCCAGTGCTGCTTGTGCCCATTATGTCAGCACAATAAACTGTTTCAGCAAAAGCCTTCCTACAGCAGTGTGGTCACACTAGTACCAACTCTCTGCCAAAAGAGAAATAATCTTATCTGACATGGTCATGCTGACAAATATTGCCAAACTGATGTAGTCAAAGAGGTATTAAGTTGTAAATCACTTAATATAGTAATGAGAAGTATTCCTGCTGTGAGATTTCCCAAGATCTGTGTGAGTGTCACTGCATGTTACGACTGCAGAACTTGGGCTGCGCTTCAAGCTGCCACCACCAAGGGCTGCTGGAAATGGCTAAAGAAAGACCAGAATCAATCTAACATTAATTCATGTATATTAAAAAAAAAAGATCTCAAAGCAGATAGGAGTGATTTACTTAAGTCACTGGGGTTGCAAATGTATCAGTTCTCAGGGAGAATACCAGCTGCATCTCAAAACAGATTTGTAAGGTAGAGTACATGGTAGGGACTGGGGAATGCATCTGTCAGAGGTTACAGTGACTTCCACAGCTGGACAAAGTAAGTGTGCCTGAACACCACTGGCCCTGGCCATGCCAGAGGGGCTCAGGTGCTGGACTGGGAAGGGTGTCATAAATGGGGGCCATCGTGTAATTCCTAGCACCAGATCTACACCAAACAAGGCTCTGCTTAGGGACTGCAAATAGCTTTGAGGCCAAGACCCACGCTTTCATATTCTTTGGAGAACTAGGGAGAATCAAACCTGAAGTGATTTTTGGGTGTTTAGTGAGATGGTCTTCTGATACTTAACCAAGATGACCATATAAGTCCATATAAGCAATATGGACTGTAAATGTTGTCAGCTTTCAACCAACATCTCCTGACCCTATTTATTTATGTTTCATCCACTTACACCTATATAAGGGACTCTAAGCCATTATTTAGGTAAATATTTACTGGTATTTTATAAAGACATTAATGATTAATGTTGGAAAATGGAAATAAAAAAAAGTAATTTTAGCATATTTAGTATAGAAATCCCTGGCAGTTCTGTGGCAAGTACCTAGCTTCCTTTGATCTGAGTTTGATTATTGCCCTGCTTGACATTTTCTTGGAAATCCTGTTACACCAACTAGGTTTCACAGAGCTAACCTGTTGTATGCCAGCTAGGAGGGCCAACCTCCGTAGTTAATTAATTGCACCAGCAACTCAGGTGCTGTTAGGTTGCTGGAGGATACAACTTCAGTCGCATGTGGATATATTACTGGACTGTCTGATCGTGCATTGTGAAGTATGTTTAGTATAAAATGAAAGAGTGGAAAAGAAACTTGAGAAATGAATTTGACAGTGTAAGGATATGTTTATCTTGGTTCAAGACTTAATTACGCAAATACCAAGTCAAGGGAAGGCACAAAATCTTCAACAGTTTGTCCCTAAGTAACCACTGCTCTCTGATGAATAGATGTCCTTGTTCTGAGTGCTGAGATTTAGACATGCCAGTGGATTTTTCAGATGACTGAATGCTTCAGTTAATATTCCATGTTCTTGGCATGTGTCACAGCTTTAAGACCCAAAAAGTCTTAGGACAAGAACAGTTCTAATTTATAGTGCTTTCTGTGATAGAACTGAATATTTTATAAATCAAAATCTGCACTGTTCCAATGAATTGAAGGTATTTTGCAAAGAGAAAAGTGATTTGTCTTGATTCACAATTAAGATGGTTAACAACAACATGAAGTAAGAAACTAGGTTTCCTCTTATTCTGAGATAGCAATTGCCTCACTGTCTCCTTGCCAATAAAGCCCATGTGAAAAAGAAAAGGTAAATATCGAATGCTATTTGTTAACTAGAGTTAACTACTTTTGGGAATATTACATTTCTTAAATGCTTTAAAAACTTCATAGGGCTGTATCAATTACTTTTAGAAGCCTTTAAAATAAAACTGTTGCAGAGCAGCACTTTTCATGGATCAAGTTAATTGCTAAATGTTTTACTGCAATGCATAGGGATTACCTTTACAAATCTACTTACTTTATCCTTTGATCACATTAGAAATCAAGTCGGAAAAGTGTAATTCCAGTCCATAACAACAAAAGTGGAGAATAGAACAGTTTGGTTTAGTATGCTCTTTGATTCTTTAATCACCCAATTTGATTGATTGCTAGTACAGAAGTTCAAAGGCCAACCCTCCCAGTCTTTTCTTACTACCGTGGAACCCTGGTTTTATATGCAGTGATCCATATGCTTAACTTTGGAAACATGAGCAATCCCAAGGACTTCCATATTTTCCATGACTTTTGAAATTTCCTAAGAAACAGAAAGTAGCTTCAGCAAAAATTATTAACATTAAGCTGACCACTTCAGTCATTTTGATGTTATGTCACCATATCTCATAGAGGGTAAAGCCTAATAACATTGTGCAACAGGCTGATACACAATGCAGTGTAGTAGCTGCCATTAATGATAGTAAATCTAAGATAAAAGATGATTATCCAATCTCCAGCACTGGATGTTTTCAAGATCTGGCTGAATAAAGCCCTGAGAAATGTAGTCTCATCTCAGAGCTGATTCTTTTAAACAGAAGGCTGGTCTACAAATGTCTTGAGATCCCTCACAACCTGGATTATTTTATGTATCTATATTATAATTCATTATGTGACATGCCATGAAATAAAAAGAAAATTAAGAAAATACACGCTTTCAGAAATGTCAGAACTCTGAAACAATATTCTAGAATATATTGCATGTTTTTCTAAATGTTTCAATCACAGTGATATGAATATTGAAAAATAATTTGGATTAAAATTCTTCAAGCTCAGTTTCTGCCTCTATGAATTTTTCTCCACAAATAGCTTATACAACCTGAACACAGTTCACCACTGACCTCAAGTAGGTTTCTCAGTGAATAAAAGGACATTTCTTCCTAGTCATGAACCCTGTATCTCCCTGACAGACTAAAAACTATAACTAAAACTTGGACTGCTACAGAAAAGTTAAAATCTTTATGATTCTAGGAAGAATGCCAATGTAAATTTTTAAGGTATAAATTTAAGCTTGGAATACACAGTTGGACGAAAATAATTTCCTCTCCTTTGTATCTGAAAATAGTTGGGAATAAATCTTTTCTTGGCTACATAATATAAACTAATGCCACTGTGTAAGATTTAAAATTAAACCTTCTTCTGAACACAGTTTTAGAAGATTAATTCATCTTGATGAATTCAATAACTTTTTTAGAAACTACTTCTTAAACACCAGTACCAATAATGGAAAGGGGTGTTTCTTGTTCACCATTCTGGATGGCTTTTATTATTAATTTTTTAACTGTCAGCATTTTTAGCTCTATGCTGTTATAGCAATTCTCATGGATAAACAGTAGAAAAAAAGACAGTTAAGATGGTTAACAGCAGCACAAATTAAGGAACCAGTTTGACTCTCATGGTCTCCAGAGCATTAGAATCAAAAAGGAAAGTTCCCCAAGACACGTGCAACAACAAGCCGAATTCCAAGCCTTAACTCTTTAAGCAATTTTGAATATTTCTGATACATTTTTTTTTTCCCAAAACTCTTATATGGCAGTTAGAACTGTACGCAGGTGGCTGCTAAAAGCAAAATATAAGAGAAATAAAATGATTTTAAATGAGGTAGGGTGATACAGATGTATGAACATGTGCATGCATGCTGTGCTGTGAGGCACTGGAGCACTGACCACAAATGAGATGAAGGATTTTTCTTCTGCATCTGAATTGGGTCAGATTTGGATTATGTGATGCTGTATGATCAGGGGCCATACTGCCTGACAGCATACAAACATTGGGCACATCTACATAAGTCAACTTGAACAAGAAAAGGACAGACTTCTGGCTCATGCTGCCAACTTTCAGGGCCAGCACTGTCCAGGAGCACAGCATGACTGGCTGACATTGACAGTATCCAAGAGTACGTTCAGTGTAACGCAGAAATAGTTTTTACACAGCCAAAAAAATGAAAGCACAAAAGTTGTTTCATCTTACCATTTCACCCCTTGTGCCCTTTTCACCTCTCAGTCCCTGTAAGAAAGAGAAGCTGTTAATCCAGTATGCTTTCTAACCGTCTAAGACTGAAACAAACAGATTAATGTCCATGGGTTATACTGCTCACATGAAAAGTCCAGTCTCATCTGTGGAAGTTTCTACAACTCTGGGGCTTTAATTTTCCTGTACTATTGGAAAACTAAATAACTTGAAAACATCTTGTAATTCCTACATGCGGAAAGCTGTTGTTTTCTTCAGATTGTAAATGTTTTTTTTTCTCAGTAATTTTATCTGTCAGTGTTCTCCCTATCAACTGGCTATATTCTCTACAATTTGATCTACTATGATTCATCAGTGCTACACCATCTTCAGAATAGAGATCAAAATTCTGTTCTCTCCATCACTGAAGAAATCCATTGTTTACATATCTGGCTTTATTACCCTATTAGTTCTTCACTCACAGTCACATCAGACACCGGTTTTCTGTCTCCATGGCATTTTTGGCTAGTTTTGCACTTAAACTGTGTTTCTGAACACAGGTACGATCTTATAGTTCTTCTCTGGAAGAACTGTGTGTCTTGATGGCAGCATTTCATAACACGGAGAAGTAATCTTCAGCTGTAATGCTTTCTTAATGATAATGCAAACTGTTACATTCAATATGAAGTCTATTAAAAGCCTTTATAAAGTATAGGCGATTTTGAAGTTTTCCTCTTGATGGGTATTGAAAAGAATGCAGCAAGTGCTGTCTTTTTCCCAACAAATGGGAAGAACAGTTTAATTGTAGAAAGAACATTTCCCTTCTCCTTTCTTTTTCACAGTAAATATTTCTATTTACTGATTTTATTGTACATTCCTGTTATTTTAATGATTATTAGCCCAAATCAACACAAAGAATAAGCTACATTGAAAGGGAGTGTGGATACTCTCTAGGTATGTCTAGATATGTATGCCTTTGTACTTACACATAAGGCCACTGCAATGACATTTCTGTTGTTTTTTGTAATTTTTTTCTCTTGTTTGTATTACAGATGCTGGAGTCACATATATTAGCTTACCAGCATGGTATAACATGAAGATGGTCCTGCTAGTTGTTGTTTGCAAATAGAAAGATGGGAATGCTTCAAGCTGCAAACCCGAGGACTAAAAGTAAGGGTAGGGGAATTATGTAAAAGAGAAGGGAAACTTACAGGCCTGCCGGTTGGGCCTGTTACGCCTTCTTGACCAACAGGGCCAATATATCCCTGTAAACAAGCAAAAAATTTATTAGTTTGCTATGTTTTCAAAATGAAGAAAATCCTCATGACGTGCCCTGGTTTGAAGTAGCTCAGCACACAGCCCCGGCAAACAGCCAAAAGATCATGGTGATATCCTCTTTCTGAATATTGAGTGTACATTGCTACAAAATCAGCAAGGTAATTATTTTAATAACTAGTAATAGTGGTGCATGGAAAGCCACACACATTCTTTTACGTGAAAGTCAATGCACTAAAAACAATGGAAACTAACTACTCTGATTACCAAAGACCACATATTTATTGAGCTACAATCAACTGAATCTTGAGCTGTATCATTGCCCACAAGTAATCGTGTAAGGCTGCCAGTAAGTGCTGCTAAAATGTGACTTTCTTGTTCCATTTCACATAGAGGAAACGGCTCATTTCCAGTGTTTATTTGCATAGGAATGCTTCGAAGAAAAGAAAAAGTAGCTATTAGAACAGGCCCCTAAAGCTGCTACTCTGCATCTCGTTAACTGAACTGGTTCACTTCTTTGATGGCAACGGCAGCAGCGAGAGAAGAACATTTTCAAGTAAGGCCTTCCAGGCTACAACCTTTCACTCTGTGCTGTAAAAGCTGGATGCAAACTCCCCAGTATTACAAAATGCTGAAGATCCTTCCACATTTTTGCTGAACAGCACAGTAGAAAGTAATGAAGAAGGTGTAATAAAGAACAAGCTAATGCAGATTAGTAACTGTATAGATAAAAAAGAAAATATTTGTTAAAAAAAGACTACCTATTACTCAAGAATGCCTGAGCACCTCTCTTTCTTGTTGCAGGCAAAGTCTGACCCTTCTCTCTTTTGCTGTAGGACAGAGTTACATGATCAGCATTGTTGCCAGTAAGAAGAATTTTCAACCCCAACAGGCAAAGATATGACAGCGATAAGGATACTTGGGTAGATGAAATTACACTAGGAGAGCCACACTTTGTCAGCAGGGCTTGCTTTTTCCCTTTAGGAGCTCAGCTCTGCTTGTGTACTGTACCCATGCTACAACCACAGCAGTGTTGCAGTGCAAGCAAAGGGCTTCTAGTGGAGTCATAGTCTTAAAGAGAAAGGTTTGGTTAGAAGGTTCCAGCTTTGTTAATTAAAATAAAAAAAAAATTAATAAAAACATGTGCCACTTGCAAGCCATCCTGACCATCTCTTTCATGAAGTGAAACACTTACAACTTGGCCTGTTGGACCTTTTGGGCCCAGAATTCCAACTAAGCCAATGTCCCCTGCAGGACCCTGAAAATGCAAAGGAACAGTTTAATCAGACATGAACATTACCTATCCACTTGTTTCAATCTCTTGTAATCAGTGAAAGGAAGATAATTTCTAAGAACAGTATCAGCGAAAATACCAAAGCACACTGACCCTAAATGTCTGTCCTTAGGCACAGGGTACACAGTTCTGCCTACAATATTCCAACAGTTCAGATAGATTTTGAACAAATTATCATTAAAGCTGATTAACTGGATGATTTCCTAATGCTCTCATTCTGTAAATGGCTTAAGATCTAACAGAAAAGAATAAGCACATACTTTTGGACCTGGGAATCCTTGAAACCCCATTAAACCTCGCTCTCCATCTTCTCCCTGTAAAAGGATCAGGTATCCTTACTATTAGTTCAAGTTGGTAACTCTTGGACTACTTGTTTTGCATAAGCAGCTGTGATTACTTACAGCTGGTCCTTTCAGTCCACCATCTCCTGCTTGTCCTTGATCACCTTGTGATCCTGGAAAGCCTCTTTTGCCTCGCTTTCCTGGATGACCCAGAAGCCCTTTCTCACCCTGTCAATAGGAAGACAACATATCCATTATTACAATTATGCCAGTTACAAATGTTAAAGATAAGACTACTGGTAGAAGTGTGGATCACGGTTTATCTTTAAGAAATAGACCTACTCCACTAATTTGATTTCCATCATGAATGTTTTCAATAATTATACATTCACTAAAATGTAAATGTGACTTGATTGTTCCTTGACTTGGAAACATAGAAAACTCACACATGTCAGATCATTTCCAGTATGGTGTCGCCCTGTGTAAGCACTCAAATTCACAAAATGAAATACAGAACAGGCAGGTTAGAATTACATTTAGAAAGTAATCCTCTGAGCAAGGCACAGTGTTTGTGGAACTCCTTCCTGTTAGACTAAAAGTTTACATCAATTCAAACGGAAACTAGAGAAGCTCATGCAAGAAGAATCCTCTGAAGACTATCAAATACATAGAAACCATTGCCTAGCTCAGAAGGTTACTGAGCTGCAATTAAGGCTGTGAATATACACTTTTCATTCTTGCTTTGTGCTTATGCTCTTTCTTAGGCATTACCTTTATGCTCTGACAAATACACACTTTTGGCCTGACTCAGTATGTCCAATCTTGACACTTAATTTGCACTATGTAGTAACAGTTTTCCCTCATCGCATCTATTTCTTATCTTTTTCAGACTGCAAGCATTTCTTAGCAGGAACTACCTCCTACAGCTCATTGTCTAGACAAAGGAGTAAAACCCAGACCAGGATCACTGGCAATAAACACTGCAAGTAGGGAATACAGTTTATATTAAAATATTTTCATGAAAAGATGACAAAGACAATATTTCCCTCCCCCAGTTTTCAAGTGAATGAAGATTTTAAGAAACTGCTTACCAAGAAAATCTCAGAGAGCACTGCAAATTATGCTTTTAGATGAAAAAGCCTGTTCTAAATGGAGAAAATGATCTTTAATGTTGCATTCTTTGCTTTCTTTACCACTGACATAAGTCTAATTAATATCAGGTTAGACTGATGTCAGGTACCTGGAATTCCCTGGAAAATGGAGCACTCTCAAAGGTTTTTCTTTTTGACAGGGCTAAACAGTTTTAAGTCCTGTGTAAATGGATGTCCCAGACACACTTGTTAGGCTTGAAATTACAGTACTTTTCTGCTAATACATGTTCAAATCATCCAAACTGTTCTAGTATTACCTAAGTTTAAAAAGAAAAGTCAGGAAACATCTGGCCCTAAAGCTTTGAGTGAATATACATTTGAATGGCATCTAGAGATGGGAATAGCATCCAGATGGATGGGACCTCTGTTCTCCAGTTACAATTCATAGAAGTGAGGTCAGCAAAATTTGCAGCCTTAACCTTCAAACAAGTTCTAATGTCAGTTACTTATATGATTAATAGTAGCACGGTGGCTCCACAATCACTGGAAGACTAAACAATATTAGTAATACTGTATTTAAACAAAAAGATCCCATGTGTGTACCTTTAGTCCAGGTGCTCCCATGGGCCCTGGCATGCCTGGCAATCCCTTGGGACCTCGAGCTCCAGGATAACCTGCCAGACCTGGCAAGCCTGAGTTTCCTTTATTACCCTTAACAAATGGAAAAGAATTGATTACAAGCAGAATAGCCAGACATGTTTTTTCATTGTGTGTGAAAACAGGAACATAACATAAAAATCAAAGCCAGTTAATACTTTCTGTATACATGGATATACATTTACTGTACATGAAAATATATGGAAAGGCAATGAACAGCAGTAACATCTTGATTTCTACTAATATTCCAAAAGCATAACCCCATCACACTTTGCAACAAAGCTACATGTTCTTTAACTGTGGCATGGACTGAAGTTTCTGAAGAGTCAAGTTATTATAGTTTAGCAAATCACTGACTGTCAGCAAAGCAGATACCACAGCCCACTGCAATTGCTCAGTTCAGTCTCATCTTAAACCTTGTTCTGCCTTACTGTAAATATAGCCTGACATCAATTCTGTGGGATCACCTACCTAGACCTTGAAAGGCTGCTGAGAACATTCAAGAAAATGAGTTACCTCTTTGAGCTTATGCAAAGCACCCTCCTCAAGAGGAACAGCTGCCCAGTTGGATCACCAGTTTAAGTACCAGTGACCTAGAAAGAGTAAGAAAATCTTCTGCCCACAGTAGTTGCGCATTCAAGTATATATGGAAGCACTCGCATACTAGTGACGACTGCTTTCACCTCCCACAGGGAATCATATAGAACAGTTTATGTGAGACCTGATTTTTTTTCCCCAGACCTGAACATTTGCATGTTCAGATTAATAGCCATTAGCACTGATTGCTATTTCTTTTCCAGCTCTCTGTGGAAATATGCAGGAAGAGAATACTAATCTCAGTTACAGAAGATGACTCCTTGAGATGGTTCTTGGTAAAGTATTGGTGAGGTCTGAGGATTCTGAGCTTACAATAAGGAGCTCCTTCTGATGAAAACAAGATGCTGAATTAATTCATAACAGGTGGGCTGAGATTCACAGTATTAATTTTTTCAAGGAACTCCACATCAAGAAACAAAATGAGAGTACCTTCCCACAGAAATGTTCAAATGTTTGTAAATATCAGACCTACAGATAATATTAGTATGGCTGTGTACACTCTGTATGGATTCATACAAAATAACTTTACCACATTAAGAAAGACCAAAACATTTATTACAAATATGCATGAGAACGTCACACTATAAACACAAGAAACTATTTTTAATGAAAAAACATGTTTACTGAGTACATGGAGTTAAGCCAATTTTGACATGTTAAGAAAAACAAAATTGCTGCCATCCAAATGAATGCTTCTGTGATGTCATTTAGCAGAAACATACATACATAGATATATATTTTTCTTGTTTCATATGACATTCAGTTAAGCATTCATAGAAATAAAAGTTACATGACACAGGATTTTTATATTAAATGCGATTTTCAGGGCTTTGAAAATGGTACTGTGGCTTACAGCCTGATGGACTGATAAACTTACATAGCAAAAGTTCTGTTCTTTTTACTCACTGTGACAAAAATCAGTTACAAGCCTCTCTTTATTACAATTTATAATGCTAATATATATTGTTAATATGGAGTAGTGGAGTCTACTTTTAATACGAAAGATGACATTTTGAGTGAAAGGCAAAAATGTGAGTATTCTTTGGGGTGACACTCCTAAATCCAATTCCAAAGAATTTCAATTACTTGGAAGAGGTTCTGTAGGACTTTATCTGAAACTGGAGAGGCTTGAACAGGGTACATCTGCCCCCTACGGGTAACTTGTTTCATTTTCTCTTTGTTCAACCAGGCAGGAAATTTATACTTGTGTCTCATTTGGCACCTTGAGTAATTCCTGACACCAAATCTAACTTGGCATCTTTTTAAAACAATGAATTGTCCATCTAACTAGAACTACTTGGAACCAATTTGATCAGACTTTCAACAACAAGAACAACTAAAGGAATTTTCTCCCTCCTCTGTGGAGCGAGTAAGCAGAGATGTGTCATTGCTCCCAGAAGTAGCAGGTCACAGCAAAGAACAGAAAGATGAAAAACCTGCTTCCAAAAATGCTTCCAGATAGCTCAGGTACCTGATACTCTTTTTCACTGGTTTTGTGCAAACCTTCAGAATCGCTTCGGTAGAGAGACATAGGTTAGAAATTCAATGACAGTAAGGAAAATGTGGGATTCTCTCTCAGCCTGAGAGGAGACACTCTCAGCTGGGACCTACAGCTTTTTCAGGAACAAAGCTGTGAAGCTTCTCTGATTAAGAAAACACTTTCACTTAGCTCCAGTTACTACTAATAAATGCTACTGAAATAGTTGCTCTCCCAGCACACATCCCTTATGCTAATTTTATATCCTAGCCAGAAAAAAAAAAGAGAAGAAAACAAAATAACTGGTCTCGTTTTCAAGATACACAGGGAACTGAAAATTGTTCCTTCTTCTTAAACACAGTAACCTTAGAAAATTTGTAAAGTAAAATGACATAAAGAGAGGTATGTAGAAAGCAACCTACCTTCAGGCCAGGCATCCCTGACAGCCCAGGCTTGCCTGGGTTCCCAGGAACACCTTCTGGTCCAGGATACCCGACTGCTCCTTTTTTCCCTGCTGGCCCTAGTTTTCCCTTAAAAGAAATTCAAATCAAATATAGCACTGTTGGCACTCTTCATTTTCACCACCACAGAACTAGATTTTAGTCACAGTATTTCCTAAACCCTACATAATAACAGACCCAGTGAATGAATACTTGCAGAAGGAGCTCCGAGTTAGGATGAGCTCTGAGTTTGGTTTAAAATGCTATTGGCTTCACCTTAAACTTGGTGTGTTGTGGGATTTGAGCAACCTCAGCTGAAACTCTGGGGCTGATCCCTCTGTGTACCAGGCCTGGAAGATGGCTGAGTGTTGATTCTTAAACTGAAGCAAGGAAACCTGACAAAGTAATCTATTTATCCCTTTAAAAAAAAAACAACCACATACCTTTTCAGCTTTTATTTTACTAGATACTCTGTCCTGTACATCTGGAAATTGATGCTATCCAAATTTGAACATATTAAAAAGAGCGCATGCAAACTCCTAACAAAGCAAGTTTGTGCTAACTGTTGCTACACTTGTATGAAAAAGCCTCATGTCACATCCATCACAGGGCAGTGATTTTTTCTTTACAATTATTTCCCTTTAGACTGATAATACACTATATCTTGAGGGGCTTGGAGTTATGCAAGTATCTCTGCATGAATGAGTTTCTCAGCAATTTAAAGTATGCTAACTACAACACATCTTGTTTGAAAAGGTACCGTTAACAACTGCCATACAGAATATAAGAACCATACCATCTTAATCTTATTTCTAACTTCTGGTTGCTCAAGTATCTTGCACTTGGGATGTGCTTGGAAACTTCCTCAACTTCTAGTTTTAACTGTCTTCTCCTGCTCACTTCTCGTATGTCTTGCCTTTCCCTCTTTTCCTTTGTCTGCTGAATGACACACTCCCTGCAGTCCCTCAGAGGAAAGAGCTGAGTATTTACAAAGGACAGTTTTGTCCTTGCTTTAAAAAGGCTCTTTTTGCTCTCTGCCCAGCAGGTACAAGCTCTGTAAAGCAGCTGTGTTTCTCTGGTTACTGACAATGTTTTTATGTGAGGTAGTAGAAGTTATTTACAATACATGCTTGTGTTGTACTACTTATTAGGGGACCAAAATAGCCTTGATGCATTTTGTTCTTGGTTATGTTTACAGAACACCTACTGCTTCCCGCTCTTTCTTTTCCCTGAGGGAGAATGGGATGCAAGTCAGCTTCCCTACAGTAACTCAAGAAAGGACATGAAAAATTTCATCCCAAGGCAAGCAAGAGAAAGGAGTAAAACTGAAGGGATTTGCCAGCCATATCCATCACGGACATATGGATCCAGGCTTCTGTAGGCTGCAGCTGTTCAAAGAACTGATGGGAGCCAGGAGGGAACAGCAGTACAGATCTGTGCAATATAGTGGGACAACTTCCACATGGGCTACAGGTCATGTGCAAAATGACCTAATCAAGTAACTTTACAAGTGGGGAGGATCGTGGTATATTAGCTGCTCTTTGCTTCTATGTGCTGTGTAATCAAATCGAATTCAATGCGATTTAGCGCAGTTTCGAAAATTACTTTGTATTTTCACAAGGGTTTCTTTACATTTCCTGAACACTAAGAAGGCTCTTTCGAGTGAGTGCAAGACCTTCTGGTACCACTGGCATGACTCAATTTTGGTTTTATTAGCTGTTATTTTCTTTGTTTTATAACCTGAAGACAAAATCTATTACTTACAGGAATTCCAGGTTTGCCTGCTTGACCCATTGCTCCTTTCTTCCCTGTGGGTCCCTAAAAGTTACAAATACTTGTGAGCTGACAAATGTCAACAGAGTTGCACTATGAAACTTCTCAAACGAAATGTCTCATTTAAGTTGCAATTGCAACTGGTATTGCAAGAACACTTCTCAAAAGCCAATGAAAATGACCCCATGAGAGAATATAAAATGCTTTGGGCAATTTTCGGCACACCACCAAGATGAACTACTATTTCTAAAGGAAAAGATTTGGTCTTTGATACTTTTCATTACTTGCTCTGTAAAGGAAACCCAAAACACCAAGTTTTAGCCTTATATAACAGTTTTCCAAGGATAGTCAGCAAACAGCAAAAACATAAAAATTCCAGTTAAGTACAGTTTTGCTTTACTTTTTTCTACTTACTTCTGAACCTCTTTCTCCTTTTGGTCCTTGCTCTCCCAAGTCACCTGGCTCTCCCTTTGGAAAGAACATATATTAAATAAATAAAGAGAATCATGCGAATACAGCTAAACACACATTTGCAACAGCCAATAGAGAAATCTCACTTGTTTGAAACACTTACTGGAGGCCCCTGCTGTCCAATAGGTCCTCTAAGCCCTGGAAGACCTACAGGACCCTGGGAAGCAGAAAAAATAGCATATTGCAATACAAGCAACTCAGGATATCACACTTGGCAAGCTACAGATTTCCTTGTAAAGGCCATCTTGAGAGGTTCTGGGTGGCCTGAGCTTCCTAACGTGACCTAGATAAAGTATGCTCAGCTCTCCTGACATCAGACCTTAGGAACTACATATTGTTTAAACATTTCTGCACTTCTGAAAGCATAGATTGTATCCATTTCATTGATTTATTACTGTGTCTATCTTTATTATCTGTGTAACTTAAAGAGGATGTTCCATGTCAAGGGCTGTCTCTTTCATACTTCAGCAAACAAATCATTATCAGTGATTATTGTGATTAGTTACAATCCAATTTGTCTATGCTAAAAGGCTGAATACGCTTCATGAATAATTATTAGGCTTAGCTCTACAATGAAATAGTGCTTAAAATTCAGAGAAAAATGTTAATTCATTCAGTATTACAGAACCACATAATTGTTTAGGTAGGAAAGACCAGGTAGAAAAGGTTGTGCAGGAACATGCCGTTAGATTTTGAGCATTTCCAGAGATGGAGACTCCATAACCTCTCCGGGCAGCCTGTTCTGGTGCTCAGTCATCCTCACAGTGAAAACTGCTTTCTTGTGTTCAAAAGGAATTTCATGTGTTTCACTGTTGAGCCCTTTGCCTCGACTTGACCTGAAACTGGACACTACTGGGACAAGTCTGACTCTTTCATTTTCATTCCCTCTCATCAGGTATTTCTAAACATTAAAACCACCTAAGGCTTCTCTTCTCCAGCTCGTAAATCCTAGCTTCTTCCCAGCAACTTCTCCTCCTAAGAAAGATGCTCCAATGTGTTCAACAAGCTCACCAGAGCAGTGAAGCACAATTTCTGCACACTTATGAGATAAGATGATACTTCTGCTACATTATGTATGCATAGCATGCCATGTTCAAATAAAAAGAATAAAGCAGGAGGCATTAGCATTACCTTGTAACCCTCATCACCAGGTTCTCCTCTGTCTCCACGTTCACCACTAGGGCCCTTGAAAGAAAATCAGAGAAAAATGTAACAGCTGAACTAACACTCTAATGAAATACAAAAAAGAAGATGGGATTTCTCTCAAAACAGACTAACCAGTAAGACAGAATTGAGGATTACAAATACTAAAGTTAGCTTCTCCTAAGGAATAAACATTCCTCTTTTTTCTAAACAAAATGCACTGCAGTCAGACAGTAGCCACTGTCTGAAGTATTTTGTAACCGAAGACTGGAATCTTGAAAATAGATCTAACGTGAGCATAAATGAAACAGGAGTATTGACCTCAGTATGACTTCTCCAGGTTTGTACCCATATGTATGATATCTGAACTAAAAAAATCTTCATAAATAAATGAAGAAACTTTGTTTTTAAGACATGCAAGGAAAAATCTTCTACGGATTCTGTAAGTTAACCCATGAAAACTTGGGTTCTTTTGTGAAATCACTTGCTTCTGACATACTCAGAATCTGCTTTAATTTTGAATTTTGTCCTAATAAAAAGGTAATCTCAATTCCTCGTCATGCTTTGCACATATAAGAACTGCACAGGAGCAGCAGGAATAGAATGATTTTTCTGAGTCACATGGTACTTCCTGCTTCATTCAGACACCTCACTAGCTCTACTTCAGGGAAATGCTCTTACTCCAGTCTCGCAAGAAATGGGACTTTTCCCCAGAATTTTAACTCTCATTGCAGCAAATCTCAGTCAAAGGAAATGTAATGGGATAGGAAGTCATGCCCACAGGAAGTAAGAATGGCCAAGACTTTCCAAAAGACATCCAGCCAAACATTAGGCGAAGTAATAAGGGATTGGTTTCCCACCTGTCTTAAGTAAAAGCATATAATGAAAAATTGGCCAGGCATCACTAACTGCAGTGTATCTTTTACAGTTCATAAATTAATAGACTAGCCACTTCTAGGGCATATTCACCAATAGATGTTATTATGCAATTGTCTGTATACTCTCCAAGGTTTCAGCAGGCTCATGTCATGTTTCCTAAAGGGAATCCATAAGGTGGAAAGGCCCTGCTTGCAGTATTTGTGCAGTCATCATTACAGGGATAGTTTGGCTGCAGCAGAATTGGCTAGAGTCTCTTCTCTAATGTGTTACCATAAGTAAATTAAGAACCTAGTCCAGACTCTGTCTTCAGTTACATCAGGGTCTTAGAAGTCCTGCCTTTTGAGAAGGTGGGGTATAAATATTAAGATTAATCTGAAGATAAATTGGCTGTACAAGCATTGTTTCTGGCACAAGCAAAGCCTGAACATGAAACACTTAATACGATTTTGAGATGGCTTTTTTTTTTTCCATGTGTTTCTAATTGCTGCAGAGAGATACCCTACATAGGAGTTCAGTAAAAAAAAGGTTACAAAATGCAATTCTCTCTAAACCAGCTAAACTAGCTTTGTAGTGATAATGAAATAAATCAAAACACAGTTCTGGTTAGTAAAGCAATTAGGTACAATTCAGAATAAACAGAAAGGGAAAAATTCTGTTCCAAAATGTGCTGGTCTAAACACAGACTAACGGCATTAGTGTAATTAAACACAGGGCACATGCACTTACACAGGAAAAAGCACATGACTGCATTTTTCAGAGAGGGATTACTGATCAAAGGACCATCATTCTGCATTTTTGTACAAGGGAGTACTGAGTCCTGAGACATCAATACAAAGTTTCAGGAAGAACCTGCCCTGCCTCTTGTCTTCAGAGGCACTGAGATATTTTTTTTGAGAAAGAAAGACCTACTGGTTCACCTATGGGCCCAGGCGGTCCAAGGACTGTGTTGTCTTCACCTGGGTAACCCTAAAACAAAGATATGCATTAAAATACATTCGCTCAGAAATTCAACCTCATCTACCATGCGCATATGCTCAAATGCTAATAAACATGCACAGAGCATACTTTATAGATGCTAAAAGTAAATGTGATGATTATGGTTTTAATACAGTGGAAATGATAACTCCATTTTTATATGCACATAAGCTTCCCTAAAACATTTAGGATTAAAAAAAGCTAAGTATTTGCCCTGTTCTCAAAGGCAGCTATAAAAAGTAAGTATTTGAACAATGTCCATGTAATCATTCCTTTATTTAATAAAAGAAAGGATAAACAGGATATTTGACAAAAGGAAAAAAAGAAAACTTCTTCCACTGTTTTGAGAAACATGCATAATAAAAACAAGTGTAGAGAAGACTCCAACACTCAGCCTGAACTCTGTTAAGCTTTAAATATGAAACAACTGCCATCCAAACTAATAGACAAAAAGTTATCTCTTCCAGATGATATTTACCAATATTTAATGCGAAGAGGCTCATGTCTGAAATACGATTAAGGGTTTCCCAAGGGCAAAGTGCCTTTTCAGAAGTGACCAAGCAAGCTAGACACCTAGCTCCCAACAATTTAGTTTTCAGTTATATCAGAATCTATTTGTAACATAAGCCATTCATTGCTTATTCGTAATATTCATTGCAAAACGGGTCCTAATACAAGAATGTATTTCCCATCAAGTGCAATTCCAAACTAATCTTCATGAAGGGAAAACCTGTACCTGCATGGAGCCACACAAACTTCAGTCAGCATATAAATTTGTATGCAGGATTAGAGGCTTAAAAGAACAATAGTGAATTTGACACTAAAATAGCAGCACAGAGGCAACATTCTGCCCATAACATTTTATATTAAGCACAGACCTTTGTACATCTTAGTTTGACTTTCAGCAATATCTGTGGGTGTACTCACAGGCTTAAAGCTACAAAAATACTTTGCTGGTTTCACAGTGATTTCTGTCTGCAGCACTCACTAAGGGCAGGGGTGCTATCTGCTACAACAGAATGCGTTTCTTACAATGGATACCTTCTGTTTAGAACCTGAAACATCTCAACTGCATAATTTGGAACTCTTGCTCTGAATGATCTGTTTCCTTAGTTTTGCATCTTGTTCTCATATTTTTTCACAATACTAATAAATATTGCAAATGGTGTTTTTTGCTGCATGCTGTGGAAAACAGTGAACATGCAGGAACATTTTACACTTTGAGTAATTATAAAGGGAGAAGACAGTATAATCCATCTTTATACCTTTTCTCCTTTAGGTCCTGGAGGCCCTGGAGGCCCTGGAGCACCTTGGTGTCCCTAAAGAAGCAAACAAAACAAACATTAATTAAAAAAAAAATTATTTAAGAAATAATTCTCAACTTTTCTTTTAGCTGCCTGTTACTATTATTTTTCTGCTGCTTGCTAATAATGCTAAATAGCAATGGGGCACAAAATTAATGGGCCCAGACAGAAAATGTACTGTGTGCAGGAAAAGCTCTGTGCACAGTGGGAAACCAAAGGTTCTGGCAGGGTTTGATGCAGGTGAGGGGAGCCAGGCTGGCTCTCTTCAGGGCTAAGGCCACTGATGGGGTTTTCTGTTTGGTCTTTAAGAGCAGGATTCAATCCATCTATGATAATGACCATAAATTATTTTCCAGTGAAAGCCACGATATCTTTATGATCTTCAACTAAGCTCATTCAGTTTCTGTTACTGAAATAGAAACTGCCTGGTCAGATAGTAAGCAGAGGTGGTGGGGGGTGCTGAACAATCTTTATAATGGATAGCTGTAGTAGTCTTATAGGAACTTTATTCACAAGGGGTGAGATACACAGGACAAACAAGAATTTCAAATCTGTGGTAAAAACAACTGCTAGTGAACTCACAAAAACCAGTCAACATAGCTTAAGACTAGTATTTCTGAATGGGCAATGCCATGCCATATAAACATATGTGAGATCTGACACTCCAATAGATATTTGTGTATTCTAGGTACAGATCCCCATGATATCTGAAATTATTTAGAGTACCACAAACTTACTTAGGGATGTGTGTGTACATAAATTCAATAAAAAACTCACCCCATAACCTGGAATTCCTGGCTCTCCTTCAGGTCCCATTCCTCCTAGGTGTCCCTGTTAATGGAATAATCAGTGATAGAAAAATGAGCTCTCATAAAATGTTACAACAATGCTTACTTTATAAAAAGTTATGAATTGGAAAAAGCTTCAAATACTGAGATTTCAGAGCCACAGACAACTTCTTTCTTAGGTCCAACTTCTTTTGGTAAAGAATGGATTTGCCATTGGCACGCATCAGGATGAACAGGCTGGGAAAGACATAGCCTATATCTCCAGCTACATCAAAAAATATTTTTATGTGCTATAGCTGTGACTTGCCTCTTCCCTTGGAGAGACACAATTCTGCTAAACCAGAAATACATGAGCTCTTTAAAAAGCATGTTTTGTACGAACCAAGGGGCCTCGAGTTCCTCTTGCACCTTTGGGACCAATTTCTCCAGGCTGGCCAGTGTCACCAGCAGGTCCAATTTCTCCAGGAGGGCCAAGCTGTCCCTTTTCCCCCTGTTGGTGTTATTGTATTGAAAAAAATAACAGATTGATACGAAATTTCAAAATGCAGCTTATGCTTAACCAAATTGTGTAACAGCATTATTTAATAGGAGTATTACATTTACATCTATATTGACATATGCATTTACTATAGTTCTTGGAATGCCTGAATCTAGAACTCTGCAGTGAAAAAAAAAAACAACAGCTAAAGCCTATTACTTTTGTTTTAGCCAAAGGTTAACGTTATTTGACAGAAGCAGAAACTTATGAGTTGCAAAATCAGATCCTGATACAAATTTAAACCTCCTAAGGTCCTGAATGTTATTGATTGCAGAATGATGACAATTCTGATTGCTATGGCTAGAAAGAAAAAATATTGGCTTGAAGCATGACATAAACCAGGGATAGACTTTGTACAATGGGATTATTTTGTAATGTAAATTTGAGTTTCAGATAAGAGGAAGAGAATAGGGCAAGAGAAAAAAAAACACCACCTTCTTTCCTAAACGGCCCCTCTGACCTGGATTTCCTGGTGTCCCTTCAGGGCCCTGTAAATTTATTAGAGAAAAATACATGATTGAGAAAGGCCTGGAAACATGTTTAAACTGTGCTACAAATTGGATAACTAAGCAAGCTTTTTGTAACGCAGAGAGGTGGGAGGAAAAAAATCTCATTAACTGGATGTGAGCAAGTTAGTAGGACTGTTTCAAGCTAAAGCAGAAACAAGAGGGAAAGCATCAGTTTACCAAACTAGTGAAAATGCACTGAAAATAGGGGACAAAACCCCCCCAGTAAATCTTGTCCACCCTGAAAGTATTACTTTAGGAATAACATTGCTTCCAGAGAACCACTGGATTTAGATAAATACAATACACAACCAAAGAAAAACTAAGATGGCTGTGCAGATGAGGGGCGCTACAGCCCTGCTGCCCTCTAGGTCACTTCAAAACCTGACCGTCCCAGTGTGACCACTGCTCACTGGTTTCAATTTATCCAAAAGCTCTGTGAATTAGAGAGGGTATTTTAGCTTCAGTTTTGGATAAAGAAAGATATATTGGTTTTGGTTTGGGGGCTTCTGGGTTTTTTAAGTTCTTGTGGTGATAGGCTGGGGTAAATATAGTTTAAACTGATTTGTGAAGCTTATTTGTTGTTTTGTAAGTTTTATTTAAGGAAAACGTAGTATTACTCTAATCCCAATAAAAGCCTTATAGAATTGATTATAGGAAATGGATTTCCACATTTATACCTGTTTAGATCTGTCCACATCCCCAGGAAGACAAACCAAAACCATTATGTGAACACTCCCAGACATTGAATTGCCAGACCCACCTGTCTCACTGAGGCACAGCAGCACTGCTGATGTTGTTTATGGTATACAACTATAACTACACACAGTGCAGATATGCCAGGGCTGAGCTGTTTTATGATAATTTCAATATATTAAACTTTCAAGCTTCTCCAGAATTGCCAAAACAGAAAAAAAAAAGTCAGGGTGATACTGCATCAGAAACAAAAATTGTTCTGCAGCACACACTAAGTGTGCTGACAACTAAACCAGCATTTTTTTCATTCACTAGTTCAGTGTGAAGAACCCAGGATTAAAGACAGCAGATTGTAACACTGATGCCTAGAGGACAGAGCAGGCAGTGCTCACAGCCACTGACAGCTGGCTCTCCAACTGATGTTTACTCAGGCTCCATCATAATGTAAGAGCTACAGCAAAGGCAGCCAGAGGACTGTGAATGAGAGCATGATGATTTTTGGTAAGAGAATCTGATGTCTGACTTAAGGCTATATAATGCTTTGGAAACTGTGCTCCAGAATATTAGTTTACATTAAGAAGTTGCATAAAACTTCAAAAATCAGCAAAACAGATTTTATAGATGGACTCCAGCTACTAGGAGTGATGTCAGAATAAATACGCAAACTGATCTAACAATGTTGACCATGGATCCCAATGCTTGTTTACTGTTTGACCCGGGTATGCTTGCTGCCATTTCTCTCCACCTGCAATCTCTTGAGTTGTCTGTGGCAACTGCTGCTCTCATGGTATGTTTATTTAATTCCTTTCACAGAGGTGCCACAATGAAGTTAATTAAAGAATAAATATCTTTTAGGAACAAAAAGGAATAATGAAATTCCTTCTTCGTTCTCCTTATTTTTTTACTATATGTAGCCCTGGGACAGTAAACAAAGTCATGAGTAGGGAAAGCTATACAGAACGGAAGATCTCACAGCACATTTTATGGCAATCTTGCCAATTTCTTTGTGTGTTTTTAAAATTTAAAGAATGTTCCAATACCTTGAGATTGCTCACAGTCTCCAAATGAAGGTGACGATAGAGACTAATGACAGAATATTGCCTGAAGAGATCTAAAGTGAGAGGCTCCAGATTGTGTGGTGTATGTGTCTGGATGACAAGTGGTGAGGAAGCACTATCTGTTAAGAGATCCCAGATTTAAGATAGGAAAAACATTGGCCTTCTCTCTCTACCAACCCTAAAAAGCTGAACCACTTAAAAAAGGAAGGAAAACCAATTTAAAGATGTTCATTTCTAATTGCACCAGCCCTGCAAAGTAAAAGAAGCAAGCAAAACTAAATGGAAAATTATTGGGAAAAGCAAATGTACAAGAAGTCCACTTCAACCTGAAAACACTTACAGGAATGCCCATTATGCCAGGCTCACCAAGGGGTCCAGCAATTCCTGGTAACCCCATCTCTCCTTTTTCACCACCTTCTCCAAGAAGTCCCTGGTCTCCTGAGTCTCCCTAAAACAAACGGGAAAAAGAAAGCCAAAACAAAACCCCAATTTAGTCAAGCTTCTGCTCTGGAATTACTTATTCTTGAGAAAAGCGAATTCTGAGTCTTCAGGTTTGACAGAAAGCTCCCTAAAGCTGATGGGAATTTTACCAGTCAAATTGATGTCAGGGTCCAAGTTAGGGAATTTCCATCTCATTCATACATTTTGGCAGCCAGATTTTGCCTCACTCACCATGTATGTCCTCTGGGACATGCCCTGTCCTGGTACCTGCCACAGTGCCTGGCACAGCACTGATTTAATGCAGGGAATGGAGCAGCCTTGGGCTTATTCTCTCCAGCATGATAGTCGCTACAGAAATAAGCTGTACTCAGTTCTCCAGCTTGCATTTCTGTGTCAATCCATTCAACTTTGCAGCCCCTGCAGAGTATTTATGTGCCTAAAAGGCACAGGAAAGCCTATAATATATAGGGCCTCCTATGTTAAAACTAAATGCACTCAACTGGCTTCTGTTGATCTGGTGAAATAGGAGAAAAAGAAGAGACTTTGGTCCTTAAGTTCATGTGACTGCTTTGTATCTGTTACAAAAAACTGCATGTACCTTTGAGCCATCCTTTCCTTGAACGCCGTCTTCTCCTGGGGGTCCTGGTTCACCCTTATGAAAAGGAACAGGTAAAGATACTGGTAACTTGCAACTTTTGATGCATATAGTAAAAAAGCAAATATGAACTGCCCTATACTAAACGTAGTATTTCAGACACAGTGGTATGGTTAAGTCCAGAGCACCCACTGTGGATCAGTAACAGGAATTACTCTTCTCTACGGACAGGCAGGACTACTAAATGCACCTGGTTGGAGATTTTGGGCAGGAGGAACACACAAATGCAAGGAGCTGATTGAACAAGAGAGCTCAACAGTAATACATATGTCTGAAAGGATATGGTTTATACTCTTTTAAAAGTGTCCTTGATAAAATCTGTTCCTAGCACTTTAAAAGGTTTTTTCAGCCTTCAAAGGTAGGCAACTTTTGGGGTCAGATGAGGGGGGTAAGATGCACAGGAAGAATAAGCCGCAGCACAAATGGTTAGTAAAATTAAGCTCCTAATAAGCCATCCACAGCACCAGAAGCAGATCAGCTGCTTTAGATGCTGGTACAGAGAGATTCCCTGCTCTGCTGAGACTATAATGTTCCTATTATCTCACCTAGACTGAGTATCCATACAGAGCAATATCGTGGGCTGATACCTTAACAGCTGGGCTGGACTCCCTTGGATTTACCTTCATGCTCAAAGCCCTCATTCATGTCCCTCAGGGACATAAGACATTTAGAAATATTTCAACATCAAAATCAACACTCTCTTTACCTTTCTACAGTATTACACATTTTTATTTTTTAAAAAGAATATCAGAAAATAGCTTCTTATTGAGCCTTTCGGCCAAGTCAAGATTTCTCAACCTGTATTTCTGACACATTTGTAACATACTTCCCTTCCCTTTAGGGAAGAAGATTAGCATCCATAGCTTACCCTTAAACCTTGGTCACCTGGTTCTCCAACTTTTCCAGCAGGTCCTACGTCTCCCTGAAATATCAAAATTAAAATAAATCACTGGATTTTAAGGGAAAATATTCTTAACAATGAAAGGGTTTACAGATAATTCAGTCATCACGACAATATTCCTTAATTGCTCATTTCCCATGTCACTACCTACTTGGCTAATGAATCAGATGACTGATTTGCTTTTATGGAAATCTGAAAATTTAAACAGCACAAGAGAGAATGATTTCAACGTTTACCTTTGCACCTGGTTCTCCCTGCAGGCCAGGTTCTCCTTCAGGGCCAGGAGGTCCCTGCATGGCACAAGAACTACTGTTATACACAGTCACCAATAATGATTTTGCAACCATCAAACACCACAGCCAAATCGAAGCACAAAAATGCCATGAGCCACTGGGAAAGAATCATGTCTGAAAAATCAAATTAAGGTAACGCAGTTCTTTGTTCTTACAAGAGCCCAAAAGAAGAAAAAGAAGGAGAGTATAGGAAGAGTTCAAGGACTGCACTGTGGGTCAGGAATGTATTGAAAACTCAGCAATACAACTAAGTCTGTACCTTTCATCATAAATTAGTAGCAAGCTGAGCAAACACCATTCTTTTGTAAATTTGACTGACAATTTCAACACTGTTTAGGCTTGGAGCCAAATAGAGATAGCCTTTGGAGAACAAAGCCCTTTCTGGAGTCTTCAGCCCTTAAAGACTTAATGGTATCAGATTGCTTCTTGTAAAGTTTATGTTTAAACCTTTTTTTTAATAGTCAGAAGACTGGATTGTGGGTGACTGAAGAAAAGCATTTCTTTGAGGAAGCCAGATCTGTTCCGTTCTAAGTGAGCTCATCCCTCAGTTACTTCATTACAAATGTGGCTAACAAGTGCTGTCATATTTCCTTCAAAGCAAAAAGTAGAAGCAAAAGTTAGCAAGATGACTGCCCGCAGCTGCATTTCTTCCTCTCCCACTTGCAAGGACATATGATTAATGCTGTTCTGCTGTCTAACTGCAAGGAGAATAGGGCTTCCAAAAAAAGCTCAAGTAAACATTCAAACATTCACCTTTGAGGTGCAGATGTCATGAATGTGCACTCAAAGACAGTGCTCATTTTTCAAGTAAGAGAGTCTGGAAGGTTGCAATAAAAGTAGTTTCTAAACACACTGTCCAGGCTTATTCAGCTGCTGGAGTGTTTACAATTATGATAGAAATTATTAAAAGCTCACCTCAAAACCCATTTCTCCAATAGGGCCAGCTTCTCCAGGTTGTCCTCTTAGACCCTGGCATTAAACAAAATTTTGGATGCATCATTCAATTAACATTAAATTATATTGTCTAGTCTTGACTTTGTGTCTTCAGAATTCTTGCAATTGGCATGAAGAACTGTATTTCATTGGTTTTACTCCTGAATCCAATAGTGTATACATGCACCTTGGTGGTGTACAGTACCAGAGACCTCACTGCCAACCCTGACACACTGAAATGGACTTCAAATAAGAGCAGAGATTTCTTTTCTTTTAGACCAAAAGTAAATTATTGTCTAAGCTAAGCTCTCCTCTTGATTAACCGAGACATTGTTTAATTAAGGTTTGTTAAACTGTCTGGTTTGCTTTGTGGAAAATCCTACAGTCTGGTATGGAATTAACTGAAAACAACTACTGTGTGCTTCACTGTGGATTTAGCAATGTTTATACAGAACAACCACTGAGGTGTAATGGACTAAAGGCTGGAGCCTTTTGGTAATATTAATAACTATACTATAAGCATTTTCTTACCAACCTTTCTGTAATTAATAAATTCCTTGCAGTAACATGTAGTGTTTGAGAGTTTCCTAAAGCAGCATGCGCAGATTCTCTGCACATGTTAGATTGTCCACCTCTGCTCACAGAGTTGGATTTGTGCACTGGTGGGTAGAAGTTGCCTGAAACAGCTTACACCTCATTCCATAGCCACTGTGAATGTATGTCAAGACAGATCAACCCTCTGGATGTATCCAATCTTTGAACTTTCAGAAAGTTCACATTTATCCCTTTGGGACTCATCTGCGTTTAAGTACATTCTAAATTCAAAACATGTTGTTGATCTATTACTCTCATGTAAAATAAAGATACTGCTACCAGTATTTATCGTAGAGGGCTTTTACACAAATATTTATTCCTTTTTGTTTCACTTCCTCTTACAGACTCCACATATGGTTTTACTCCTCCTGGTAACTCATAACATGAGTATATTCTTCCCTTGTTACAACAACGTAAATTGTGTATTACTGAGAGGGTTTCAGCAGATGCATATATTTTACCCTATAGCTTTGGTTAAGTGTAACTGAATTTGCATTTAATTTCCTGTTCAGAAGTCAGCTGGTCCTAAACTAAGTTTTCTGGCTTTCAATTGCATCAACTCCATGGCATTCCACTAGGCAAGTGTCACAGAGCTTAAGTTTGATTCATGAGTCAAGTATTTCTTCATAGTATTACTATGGAGCTATACATGCTGGATTGGTGATGGAGCTTTCCCCTGAGACTTTCAGGGAATTTCAGAAGCCAAAAATTTATAGCAATGTAGGGACTCCTTTTAACCATTAAAAAGAGGTAATTTGCAAAGAAAGGTTTTACTGAAATACCTGACAAGTAAGTTAGAGTATAACTTAGATAAAGCGTGTTACTACAAATAGTTCTAGTTGCTTCCATTTTTTGCTTCTGCACCAACAATTAGGGGTTTTCTCCTCTGTGGAGAACCAGTGACAGGGACAGAGAAACTGCTTCAGCAGCTGTCTTTCATGTAGTGACCAGCTGACAGAAGATGAAATCAAGCTGCTTGGATGGGCAAATTAAAGAGTCACACGTTTCAGTCCATAACAGCTTGTATAATTTTTGTCACTTTTTCCTAGCTCCATAGACCATTTTCTGAAGACACTTTAATCTTTCATCACTTGAAAGAAAAGATACCCTCTTCAAAGGCTAAGCTTTACTTACTTCTGACACTGCACATTTAGATTCTAAGATGATGAGCCCAGCAGAAATGTAGGTTGCTAAAGAGTAGACCACTTAGATTAGATAAGGCTGATAGTCATTCTATATATAAGAAAATTCAGATTTGACCAGAAAATGGCAGGAATTTTATGTATAAGCCTTGCATTTTAAGGCTCTCAGATGTCACAACATGAAGATTAGAGAAAATAAATGGAAGCGATAAAGTGACAGAAATCCAATAATAACTGTTAGAAAATACATTTTCTGTTGAAACATTTTGCCACTCCTACAAGTTGGCAGCTGTCCTGGGTTCAGCAGTAGCAGTCATGTTTCTCCTTCTTGGTAGTTGGTGCAGTGCTGTGTTTTGACTTTCGGCTTGGGAACAGAGCTGATAACAATGATGTTTTGGTTTGGCCAAGGACTTTGTGAGGCTCATGCTCTGCCAGGAAGGAGGGGAAGCCGGGAGGAAGCAGAGACAGGACACCTGACCCAAGCTAGCCAAAGAGGTATTCCATACCACAGCACGTCATGCCCAGGATGTAACTGAGGGTTACCTGGAAGGGCTGGGGGACTGCAGGGTTGGAGGAGGTATCGGTCAGAGCTTGGTTGGGCTGGGGGAGGAGTTATCAGTTGGCTGGTGGTGAGATGTTGTATTCTCTTCCCTTGTTATTTCCTTTATCATTATTATCATTGGTGGTAGCAGCAGTGATTTGTGTTATACCTTAGTTACTAAACTGTTCTTATCTCAACCCGTGGGAGCTGCATTCTTTTGATTCTCCTCTCCGTCCCTCTGGGAGTAGGGGGAGGGAAAGAAGGGGGGGGGGAGTGAGTGAATGAGTTGCCTGACTGGGTTTAAACCACGACAGCAGCTCAAGTGAAGTAGGCAATTATACCCAAAGGAAAGTTTACCAAACAAATACCAAAATAAATGTTGGTATTTTTCTAGACCCCAAAATGTGCAATGGATTTCTGTAAGCATGTCAACCTATGGCTTAGTAGAAATAATATTTAATAATAATAGAAATAATAATAATAATTAGTACAAATAACATGCTTTATAGCAACAGTTCACTTTCAAGATTTGAAGTAACTATATGTAATATGAGATGCAAAATAACATTTCAGAAGTTTGACAACTCTAATAGATTTCTGAACTATAAACCAGCAGCTTTCTCCCAAGTACCCCTAGGACAGCACATCCTCTTTCACTGTATTTATTTAACCTGATTTACCCCCAGAGAAAGCGATGCAACACTATTCCTCTCATGGTTGCATTTTACAGCACTTTGCATATACTTGGCTGCAGACTCTGCATGAACGTCTGTTACAATATTGGCCACATAAAAGTGAGTGTGGCTTGAAATAGTAACAATCAGAACAAGAATCCATCCAGCAGAGAAATGTCTGAGGTTTATTACAGCAGCCTCTTTTTCGTTGAAAATTCAACCTGCCAAATAGATGTGGTCCCTGAGTTACTCAAGAACTATCCTAAATTTTGCCCCTCAAAAATACCACCAGTATCAGTATTGGCACATATTGACATAATCCATAAAGTAGATGTCTACCTCGATGCAGTGTAAAGCCACATAATATTGTGGTCCAGCTTCTATCACACTCTCTCATGCTGTGAACCCCTTACGTCAGTGCTTCTGAACACGATTAACAAATCTCCTTATGAACAAGTTAGGCTAAGCAAAGGAGGCAGACCCTAGGCTTGCAGTTTTGCAACAATTACCCCACAATTCCTATCTAACCACAGCTTGAGTTACCAGGGACGTCTGTATAATACGTGGAAAAATTTTTAAGCAGGCATAAGGATCAACTTACTGGCTCTCCCATTGGTCCCCTGTCTCCTGTGGTTCCAGGAGGCCCAAGCAAACCCTAGAAGATTAAAATAAAATAAAAAAAAAAATCAGTGGAAACAAGCTGTTTCATATTCTGCAAAAAGCCACTTCCTCTCTTATTTCTCCTCACTCAATAACTTGCTCAGAAAGACTCAAGAAATATGTGCAGCCCTTTCTTCTGGTTGGTATGCACTGCCACATTGCTAGTTCTTATGGCAGGTGAGGGAGCTCTGAATAAATCCTTCCTCAGTTTCTCTTACGTAGGGATGGATCTTGGCCGACCCACCATTTACCAGTTCCTCATTCTTCTTCTCAGACTCATGCGCTGCTTGTGTGAGAAACTAGACTTAAACATAGTGTTATGAGTGTTCTACCCTGCAAACTGTGTTTGACATGATCAGTAAGATTAGAGCTGTTTTCTTTCTGCTCAACCTGGCTCATGGCATCTCTGTCTTACACTCTTCTAGAAACTGCAGCTGTAGGAGTAATAGAGCAGCACCTTGTACTTTGCAATAAATGTACTAATTCCCATCTATTCCAACCTAACAAGGTTTTGCTTCATTCACTTCTGTGTATATAAATGCACCTAACAGTCCTACTGAATGAAGAGAAACGAAAACCCATTGTTTCAAAGGTGAGAGGCAACAAGCTCCTAAATCTGATCAGATACTGTATTCTGTAGACCATCCTTCATGGAAACCCTGGTCTTGTAGCAGACTACACTATGTTCACACTCTCACTTCTGCCCCTTATTCTTTATATGAATAAATGCAAACTGAGCTGTCAGAGTTTTCCAGCTGCTCTAAAGTAAACAAATTCCCTCATATTCCAGTGTTAAACAAAGCGTGATGTTTTGTGGAATTGCTTTTTTTTTTTTGTGTAGAAGTAGCAGAGAATTTCATACTCACCACTGCTCCCTGATCTCCTCTTTCTCCTGGATTTCCAGCTTTACCCTGGTCAAAGAGAAGCATTTAAAGACAATGCTGGATTCAGAAAATTTACAAACATAGCTCAGAAATTAGTAGTAACCGTGGTAAGGCTTACTACAAAGACTGGGTTTGATACTTACAATATACCCAGGAACTCCTTTCTTCCCTGGATTGCCTCTTTCTCCCTGATAAATAACCAACAGTGCGTGAATTCTACATGCATTTCCTAGATAAGCTACGTACAGTTGCTGTCAGTTTAAATACAGGGTAACTGCAGGAAGTGCAGATTCAGGCTTAGATGGGCTTTTACCATAATAGGGAATTACCTGAAGAAGGCAGAAATTCACAAATCTCCCAATGGATTAAATGGAACTTTATGGCTTCTGACATGCTGGGTTGTTTTTTTTGTTTCTTTCTTTCTTTTCTATCTTATCTGTTATGGTCTCTCTAGATGTTTTATTTAACATTAACCAATGAACTCACCTTAATGCCCCGTGCTCCTGGTTCTCCTGGAGGACCATCTAGACCTCTTGGCCCCTGAATAGTGAACCAAGTGATTTGGAATATTAATTATGCATTATTTGTGGTTCTCATCAGGGCGATGGGAACATTAGGGGAAACACATTTTGCTAGCACAAAAACCAATTTTCACTGTAAGTTAAGTGTGAAATAAAGTTTCAAAGAATAAAATAAATTCTTGGTTTGCTGAAATATGAATATAAGAAGAAATATTGTTTGTAAACAGAATGTTCAGGGTCTCTGTTGGTGCCAGCTTGCAGGCTGATACTTTCTACTCTCCTTTTCATGCAATTTGTATGCATGTAACAGACACAATTTAGATGCACACTGGTTATATGGAGCATTTTCTTTAGAGCATCAAAGTTGTATATGCAAAAATCCAGCTTGCTAGTAAGACTGATAAACAAGCAGATAAAGTTCTTCCATTAGAAAGTCAGTTTGAGGCGATATTAAAAGCAGCTTCTAATCTTGCATAATGAACTGCTCTATTGTTAGATTAAAATCTCTCCTGTAAACTGACTTTATAATAAATAGATGAGTAAGATAACCCGTTATATTACTGTATTACAATATAGCAAATATTTATTGACAAAACATTAAAAAATGATTAAGACTGGAAATCTAAATCTATTAGTGATCATTAGTAAATGAAAAATCCTTAAAAGACCATGAGAAAAATGGAAAAGAATATTTTATCCATGCTGACATAGAAGGTTATTTCTGCATTTCTAAACACCATGACTGTTTTGGCATAGAAAACCTGTTGTTAGCAACCTAAACCGAAAGACTACTTTAAAGCAAGAGCCAGAGCCAGAGCCAGGCTTTTTACAGCAGTATCTAGTGGGAGGATGAGACATTAACAGCTTACTTGGTGGCACCTGGGCTGGAATCAGAAGGAACTAGTACACTGCTAAAGCACTGCCTAGAGGTAAATGAGCTGCATTTTTCCAGGTGCTTTTCTGAGTTGTGGAGAACCTTATGTCTTGGGTCATGGTTTATAATGCAGAGCAAGCAATCATGACTGATTTCCAGACAGTTGCAATACTGTTCTAACAGGTAATAACAGGGGTTTGTAAAATGACTTTGGTGGAAGCACATCTGATTTTTGTACATTACCTCAAAATGTCCCTCAAAAATGTATGGGACTTTCATGTCTCCCTTGAATTTTTGAGACAAAACTTAGCATAAATCTGTTCTCTCTGACTTGGATTTACTGATGCACATGCAAACCTCTGTCAGAACAGGCAGTGAGCACCCACACACTTCCTTCTGGAGCTACAGTGAAAATATCTGACCGCTAACTCAGGAACAGTGTGTATTCAGAATCATTTAGGCTTTTCTCCTGAAACGGAAATCTCTCAAGAAAAGGCCTTTCCTGTGAGCTGATACATAATAATCTGGCCCTGCAGAGCCAGAAATATCCCACAAGAAGCTTATCTGTCAGCATTTCAGCACTGCTGCTTCTGGCCAGCAAGAGGGAACACAGGAACCATAGGAAAAGGAAAGTCAACAGGAAGGGAAAGTTGTCTGAATACTTTTGATACCTTAGTAGTTTCAGACACAACTTTTGTGAGACAATCCCTGAGTTAGCCTGGCTACCTTTCTTCTTTTGGTCTAAGCCAGGACTGAGTATTTACATATAATACATAAATCATATTAACAGATAAATTCTTTGAACACTTGTGACTTCCTTTTAATCACAAAGAGGGTTATAGCCCATAGTTTGAGAAAGAGTCCTGTTACGAGACTGCACAGGATTCTCAGTCTATTATGCACACGACACACTAAAACCTTTCTGCTAGTCACACAGCTCTCCCACTTGAATGGGGTTCACACCAACTGCCCAGTCATTAGGAAGGGTATGACAACTGATTATATCACTAATAATCAAGCTAAAAAACCTATCGTTCAAAACACCAACCTTCTACTATATAATTCTGAATTAAAAACAAAGTAACAGACCAACATGATGCTCAGATTCTAGCTCTGGGATGTGCCTACCTTTAAGCCAGTCACAGAACAGAACACAGGAATCCAAGGGAAAGGCAGTTCATTATTCTAACAAAAGCACACCATAACATTCCTATAAATAGTGTGATGGAACTCACTGTTGGCCCATGTAAATTGCATCTGTAAATGTCCTACTATAGCTAGCACAGAATGAGAAATACAAATGATTTGTCTGCTGTTACTTAATTCAGGTTGCAAAAGAGCTGAGCAGTAAAGCTGCCTAATGATTGCTGCTACTACTTTTTTCTTTGGCACAGGATCAGCTTTGTTTCTAAAATGGAACACATCACATGAAAACCCTAGGATGATAAGCTGAGAAAAAGTTCATCCAAGAAGGCAAGAAGCACCAATTAACTCTTTGTTCTTTTTCATCCTGCCTCCTAAATGGAAGAGCGAAAATAACACGAACATACTAGACAGCTACTTCTCTTGTTTGGTGGTTGACATATTAGAAAATGACATCAATTTTTGTCTCACTTCCTTTGAATAATTAAGACAGATAAACACACTTGGCTACTGATGTATCACAAAGCCACTGGTTTCACATAACCCTGAAGTGCATATATTTTTCGAGGTGCCATATTCCCTGCCTTTAGAGGTATGAAAAATATCACTCATTAAAACAGTGCTGATGCCCTCAGGTAACTGAAGTTCTTCATGCCAGTGCACTTTTTACTGCTATTGAGCTTTAAAACACCAAATATGAAACAATGGCTGCTTACACTGCTACCAGTATGTCTTCCAGACAAATGTATTTCTTCCTTCTACTCAGAGAGAGAAATTCCTTCTCTTAGATACAGGTATTTCCACCTCCCAGAATGTCATTCTGCCACTGCAGTATCTACAAAGCAGTCTCCCTTTGTGCTTTCGTAAGATTAATACTAAACAGTAAAGTGTGGGTCACAAAAGGGTGCAACCTTCTACACAACTCCAGCTGAAGCACATCATGTCTCCAGCACAACCTAAGGAAGCTCTCTTGTTAGCACTATGGTCAGTAGCACATCCCCCCAAATCCCCTGACAGTGAGATACTCCATAGACTCTTAAAACAGCCTGGCTTCAGCAGGCCAGAACTCCTGGGTGTACTGGAGACTGAGCAGCTGGATGCTCTCAGGCAGAAGTAAGCTGCTGGTAATCTTGGATGTGAACTGGTTGCTGAGAGGTCCAGAATTTATGAGATGAAGGAATTCTACTCTGTGACAGTACAGAAGCAGAGGGTCAGTGCTCCTAAGTCTTCCTGCAGATACCAGCTGTGAAGATGGGATATGTTCTTGTTTCAATATACAGCAAAGGGAAATTTCCATATGATTCTATTTAACTTCTGTATGTGACAGTGGTATGCATTTTTCCATGGCCTGCCACACAGAGCTCAGGGTTCTGACACTTCTCTTCCTGAATCCAGTGATGACAAACCTCAGCTTTCAGGGCCCCCAAATATTTTCCTTATGCTAGATTCCACTTTGGGTCTGATATTCTCATCTTGAAAGCAGACAAAATTCTCACTGGCTTCAGTGGGAGTTTCTTCGCAGAGCCTAAAGAGCTGGGTCTGCTCCAAGACCCCCTTTCGTGAGGATTCCCAGTCATGCTGGATGGAGGCAAAGTCATAAACCACAGCACCAAACTGGGACTTCCACAGAGGTTGGGATGTTTGGGATTTATTTTGAGTGATCTTTAATTATAAGCAATGTACTCCATGATGTGTTGCCAAAATCACAGAGACAGACTCCCTCAAAGATTCCTCAGTTGGCAGAAGATGTGACACTCCTTAAATAAAAACTATCTTCTACCTTCAGAATAGAATCTAAATTAAAATAAGACATTCCCCCATAAAAGCAACCACCAGGTAGCAGATGGTTCTGGGAGGGAGGAGAGCCTACAGGGGAGGACTCATGTTCATGTCAGCAACTTGGCTTTGAATCCAGCTCTGGTGATGTTGGCAGATGGACTTGCCAAGAAGGAAAAATCAGAGAAGTTTAGAAGGGAATGCTATGTTCAGAGGAATTAAAATGTACAACCTGCAATCAGTACTAATTTCAGAGACAACTATTTACACCAAATTACTTTTGAGCTAGCCACCTAACTGACAGCATCCTACAGGCCACCAGTCAAACTGAAACTGGTGGACCGACAAAGCCCAAGGGATTTTCCTTTTTAGGTGAAGCTCAAACATCAGCATCTTACAGTGAAAAAAATGGGATATGTGTACTCCTCATCTGATGTCACTGGCTTGTGTGTCCTGACTGAGCATAACACTTCAGCATGTATTTCACTTTCAGACATGCTCCTACTGAAATCACAGAGAGGTACAGCAACCATCTGTTTCATTGAATCAGGCTTCCCAAGAAAAAGTGCTACCAAACTGCTGCTACTTTTCAGCCTCACAACTGCTTTGCATTTCTGGTTCGATTTACATTTTCAAACCTGCCTGTGAGGCAAAAAGGCCGTTTTTCCCTTTGCTCCTCTAAACCAAAGCAGATTCACACTCCTGTCAGAAGGCTGCCTTAGTTACTAACATAGGGCTCCCAGGAGCCCCTAGAGTCACTCTCCACTGAACAGATTTGTATAAGCACCTCTTAAACACTTCAGGAACTACTTCTCTGCCAGCTGATGCTCAGGTGGGATGCTCCTGCTTACACCAATTCTTGCTAGCTCACTGTGCTTATCAATGGGGGTAGATTCTTACTCTCTGCAGCTAATTTAGGCTTCTCTTTGAATTTTGTTACATATGTTGCACAAACAAATATATCTGCATTTCATTTTTGCCTGATAAACAGCCCTCAATAAACTCATTCTGGGCACTGGCAGATTACATATGACATACTCAGTTCAGAAAATAAGCAAGTTACCTGAAGAATGTGGAAAGCATTTTTTTTTTTTTTTTTTTTTTTTTTTTTTTTTTTTTTTACAAATAACTCCTTATTAAATTGTCTGTTACAAAAAATAGCAAATTAATTCCCCAGGAAAAAAAATTAAAAAACCTATTAAATAGGCTTTTAAAAGACCATCTATTGTAAGGGAAAAATGAAGACTGTTTACCCTGATAATGGCAGGTATGTGCTTTTCCATGAGCTGCTGAGAACTTCTTTAATCCTGAAACCCAGACTCAGACAAATCTCCTTCTGATAGGTACTTAAAACTTCTTGTACTTGTCTGAAGTGTACGCTCAAATCTGCTTCACCCTTTTAAAGAAACTGAAGTCTGGGATAAATTATACTCTTATGCTGAAACTACACAACAAAAAAAAACCCAACCATTGCCAGCTGGAAAACTCTCTAATACAGGGTAACCCAGAATCACTACTGCAGACTTTTAAGAGAAATGAGACATTTCATATGCTAAATTTCATAAACTGTTCCTACAAACTGCACCATGAACAAAGAGCTAAATTAAAACAGATTTCTGAAGAGGAGGAAACCATACTAAAGAAGAAAGACTCATGTGAAACATGTGAAGTTTCTCCCATGAATAATCCTGTAGTGTACTTTAAAGTTTCTAAGCATTGTATATTTCAAGTATACCTGATATTCAAAATATGGTCTCAAATATGGTATATTAATAATCAAATATGATATATTCAGAGATATTATTTTGAATATACTGAAAATAGAACTTTTTACCTGACCCCAACAGTTACTCAATCATGAAAAAGTAATACAGAAGAACATAAAGTTAATAAAGTTTGTATTACTAAATTTGCTAATCCCAATATTTTCTAATCTAAAATCTTACTTTAAATGCAATGTGTGCTTCTCAAGTACCCATCTTTAACCGGAGCGACACCTCCAGAGCTTACAACTTTTCAAATTTTATCACATATTTTCTTCAAAAACATACATATCGTGATAACAAAGGAGGATAAAGGAAGGCTGTAATTGTACTTTGCTGAAGCAACAAAGGCTTCTGTTTCCTACAACAGAAAGAAACCAACAAAACAATCTCACTGACAAGCATTCAGGGAACTCATCATGAGTAAGCGGTAAGCACTGCCTGATGCTAATGCCAGCTGTGAAGACACACCGGTCCAGCCACTGGTATGAGTTGTACAGGTCTCATAGGAAGCCTGGATATGTTGTCAAACTGCTAGGTAAGGCTGATGTTAGATGGGTGCATCTTCACTGCCCTTTTCAACAAGCTCCTTAAATCCAGTAAGAATAGGCTTGCTCATGCTGCAACCAAACCCATCTGTACTATGAAGTGGCAGTGTTTTCCTCAAGTCACTTTGAGCTCAGACTGCAAAAACATGTCCAAAAGAACTCCATACAGGAAGTACAAGTGATTGGAAGATAAAGAAAATAGTCTTAAAATACTGAAACAGAGCAATGGTAGCTATAAATGCCAATATTTGCATGTTTATGTATACAGAAAATAAGGTTAGTGTTCTTTCTGTCTGTGGCCCTGTTCTCAGCTGACATCAACGGCATTTAACTGTAATTTGAAGAAAAATGAAGATTCATATTGTTTCTACATGGAAATGGAAGTTTCATCTGTCTGATTTAGTACTGGCTTAAGTCTGGAGGACAGAGTTCAAAGAAAGCACCTGTACATGGGTCACACATCAAATTCACATTAGCAACACAATAATCTCTGCTCAAGTAACAGGAAACAGCAGTATGACTTACTCTTCTTCCCTTAGGTCCCTGCGGCCCTGGTGGTCCTCTTGCCCCAGAAGGTCCCTGCACATCAAATAAACTTCTTATTCATTGCCTTCTATACACAGATTTCTGAAAATTACAAGGCTCATGCACAGTGACCAGCACTCAGTGCAACCAATACAAATCAATACTTTCACTCATGGTTCAAATGCAATCAATTGTGTTAGTACAATTTAGCTAGAAAAATCTAAATAAGAAACTCTATGTAACTTTTTTCTGAATAAAAAAAAAAAATAATCATGATATGAGACTGTTGGATAAATGACTTCTATCCAACACCCAAAAACTGCTAAAGGATACTTATATTTCAGCAACATTATGTTAAACCCCCCTAATATTTTCTGATAGAAGATTCAGTTTTTTGTTTGTACTGAAGAGACATATTAGCTGAATTATAACACAATTATACACAGCGAATTAGAATACAATTTGGTTTTGGTTAAGAATGAAACTAAACACAAAATGAACATATTTAAATTATATTAGTCATAAAGTAATTAAAAATAAAATTTTTGCACAATTGCAAACCACCCTTAAAAAATCTGATTCTCCTACTTGTCTCAGCTGAGTACTTGTTTTAAATAGATGAGTAAATGATATAATTAGTTTTCCTGTTCCTCATGGATCACCCTGGTAAAGAGCGGATGAACAGACTTTGTTTATGGATAACTTTTCATGACAGTTTTACAGACTGCAGTAAATACTAGAAACTGTTCTTAATTTCATCAGAGCAAAAAGACAATTTGAAATTGGTGCACTTTATGTCAAACTAAAGAACATTCTACACCTACAGGTAATCCTTCTGGCCCCACAGATCCAGGGCCGCCTGGAGGTCCTGGGTAGCCCTAGAGTTGAAACATAGGAAAGACAAAACAGTTTTAGCAGAACTGTTATTATAAGAACAATAAAAATTCAGTTACTTCCCTGAAAAAAATTGAGGTAAGTTAATAAAGCATTTAATCTTGCAGAATTTATTCCCAAAATTTTGTTTAGAAAACAGATATTTGGATATATCACAACAGTCATTAAAACAACTGTCCTGCTTTCAGCTGGGGTAGTTAACTCTTTCTGAGTAGCTGGTACAGTGCTGTGCTTTGTGTTTAGTGTGACAACAATGTTGGTAACACAGATGTTTTAGTTAGAGTAAGCACTACTTAGTAACAAGCCCAGGACTTTCAGTCTCTCATGGTCTGCCAGTGAGGAGGGGCACATGAAAGTGGGAGGGAGCAGACACAGGACACCTGACCTGAACTAGCCAGAGGGATATTCCATACATAGAACATCATCCTCAGGATAAACTGGGGGGACTTGGCCAGGAGCCACTAAGCACTGCCTGGGGGGACAGGCTGCGTATCAGTCTGCAGGTGGTGAGCAACTGACCTGTGCATCACTTGGTTTCTTGGGATTTATTCCTCTTTCACTTTTTCCTATTATTGTTTTATTGTTGTTGTATTTTATTTCAAACTGTTATACTCAACCCATGGATTCTACATTTTTCCAATTCTCCCCATCGCACTGGATGGGTTGGAGAGGAAGGGAGGGAGCGAGTGGCTGCATGGTACTTTGCTGCTGGCTGGGGTTAAACCATGACAGCAACTAAGAACTTTCCCCACACACAGGCACTAGCTGACAGGGATGTACCAGAACAAAAGCTGCTGAGTTCTACGTGAATTTCAACATCCTTAGGTGAAGGCTCTGACAATGAGAGAGTCCACTGAAGTGGATTTACCTATGGCAATAAGCATTACTAATAGTTGAAAAAAGTAGTTAAGATTGGATCCTATATTAATAAACCCCTTATTAATCTCCTCAATGAGATTTTTTTCATGGATCAAATGCAGCTGGTTGATGATAAATCTAGATTAGAGAGATTTAATGAGGCACAGAATGCTTAAAAAAAATATTGTCCTCTGATGCATGGATCATTGGTCTGCAGCCTGAGGGTAGTTGGGACTCTTTCTTGCCAATGGATACCCCAATTCCCCACTGCAACATACTCAGGCCTACATCTGTAGCAAAATGCAGCACATTGCCTATAATCTCTGTCATCTCCTTGTAAACAGTTAAGACTTTAATTGTTCTCTATACATTCTAGAGCTAGCTTGCAAACACACAACAAAACCCTACTAACTTTTCCTTGAGTACTTCAACACGAACTTGACAACAGGCATGTGAGTAGTATTTTTTACTTCTGTACCATATCAATCTACCTAACATGACAATGGCTTCTGGACTGCCTAATGCTGCATGTAACATTGCAAGCTGATTTATGACAAGTGCCATTGTTGGAAAGCCAGTCCTCCGACAAGAGTGGCACACAGGGATTGTTTGGGTACTGCTGCACAGTAGAATTAGACATGATGATAGTTACCAGTCTGTTCATTAAAATAACTTCTGTTACCCCAGTATACACAGGAGATTGTTATTTTACTTTCCTTCCCTTACTTGTCTCTTCTTTCAACTGTGTTTAATTTTGTAGTGTAAGGCTGCTTAAAGCTATTCTTCAAAAATGTAGTTGCTCTGCTGCTTCATTCAGTGGGTCACTTTGCAATGTCACAGATGGGATGAAGCTGCTAAATAAGACTTACTAGGAACAATACATCATAAATACTACACTTTTCCATAAGGCTTGCACAGTCAGAAGGGTGAGAATTTATTACTGTTTTGGAAGCTAAAGTGCATTTGTATCACACTTATGGATTCTACCTTACTGGCAACTTACCATGATACCTTTCTCTCCAGGAGGACCTACTGGTCCTGGGATTCCTCGCTCTCCCTTTAACAAAAGGATAAAAAGAAAACAACAGTTAAGTGTTCTTTCTCTGACTTGTTCCATGTCCACTGAGCCAGGCATATCTGGCCAACAAGGGTAACCTGAAATAACAGCACCCCAGCAATCCAAGAGGTCTTTCATGAATATTGTAGCCTGTAGTCTACAAGAGATTCGTCACTAAAGGGAACCACTTTTTGCGGAACATAACACCACTGGTTCAGGGACCACCCTTCACAAACCGTGCAGAGAACTGCTTTTATTGAACTTCTGCATTCCATCTTACAAGCCCACCTACGTTTTGAAAAGATGGTAAAACTGAGTTTCTGTGCCTTCGCTTTTCCTTGAAGTCTGAAGAGATCTGGTACATCAGCTCCTGCAAGCTGCAGTTAGCAGACCCCTTTTTCTCTCTGTTGGGTACATCACGTTTACAGTTATGTTTTTAATCCATCAAATTCACCACGGCAAACAAGGAAAGAAGAAGATTTTGTTCCTCTCTCCCTCATTTCTTCAATATGTGTTAGGAAAGCACAGCTCTAATAGGGAGGCCAGCCCTTCAGCAGCTGCAGAAGCAACTGAAGTACGGGAAGTAGGAAAGGGCTCTTTCTTGTCTTTCAATTTTTTTTACCTATTATTCATACCACATCCAGCCCAAACATCAGGCTTGGATGTATATTATATCCCCATACAAAGATTACACTTTTGTTGCAGACAGTACACATGACATAGTGATAACACCGTATTTTATGTTGTATACTGCAAATATACATTTCTTTAGAACAATTATGCCGGAAGTATGTTTTTTAAATCCACATAGCATGAACACTGGTATTATTGAATAGATAAAAGAGGAAGACAAACTCTACAGAAAAAGCATAGCAGTGGTAACAATTCTTGCACCATGAAACAACTTGCTTCCATTTGAGGATGATAGATCTTTTACTGCCTTTTCCCTCCTACCTAAACTATCAGCACTACCCTAAGGTAATCTTTGTTGTGCCAAGCATAATTATAAAGAACGAGAATCCTCTGACACTGAATTCTAAGAGGATATTATGATTAAAACCATATGAGACTTTTCTAAATTTTATTTTTTAACAAGCACTGCTTTCTATTGATGTATTTCCTTTCACAGATTATATAAACTGCAATTAAGATTTTAATGGAAGTTCTAATACATTATTAAGAATTCTTCAATAAAATATCCAAATAGTAGCTAATGATCTAGGTAAAATAACTCAGCCCTGCAGGGAAGAAATACAAATGGTGCTGGATCATTCTGACAAACAATTATGGGTTTATTATAATTGAAGCCGACATACAATTCAGTAATAGTTTCCTGTTTTTCAGTTTTAAAATACTTCACCTAAATACAACCATGTCAAATATGCTTAAACTATTTATACTGTTCTAGTCACATTAAGTCTGACAAACTTTTGCCTTCCTAACACAACTATTACTGCAAAGCAGATAAAACTAACAACACTGTCCTCTTCACTCAGTTACGGCATACAGCAGAATTTTATCTTTCTACTTTTGTCTTCATTATGTAGCAGTGCAAAACCAGTGCCTACTGTATAAAACAAGCATATTTTGTTTCTTGAATCTGTCATTTTCTGTGATTCAACAGCAGTGGATAGTAAAGTAAGCGACATAATCTGAACAAGATATCCACTCTATCAGCTCTAAATTAATTACAAAGTGAAATCAAAAATACCAGATGCATACCTCAAATAACAGCATTTGGGTTACCATTTATTACTCTGAAATAGCTACAGGAATATTAGCTTTGCCAGTGATCAGTAAACAATCTCTCACCAATGTTTTATCTTTCAAAACTGGTATTTGCTGCTGAGTAGTCAAATACGTTACTGTACCTTTTCACCAAGGCTTCCAGATGGCCCAGTTTCTCCAGGTAAGCCAGCTGATCCCTGTACAAAAAGCAAGAAGACTTATTAGTGTGATGTCTGTACTGATCATGGTTGACAGCTCCCCAGCAACTGGGCAGCACAGCACATTTCTTCATCCCAGAGAACCACTGGTCTGTTTTAGTGGGGAAGGGAGGACTGCACAAGCTAACCTGTCTTACAGTCCATCCAGGAGAATCACTGCATCTAAACACACTAACTTAAATGTCTACTCTTACAACAGAAATTACATTACCATCATACTGTCTTAACCACCTAAGTTCTGCCACCAAGCCCAGTCTTGCAGCACCAGAAACTTTATAGACGCACAATTAAAGGTGATAACTGCTCTACTAGCGCTTCGGTTTGACCACAAATTTCAAAGGAAATAAATTAAGTGGAACAAAGTAAAATCCAGTCAAAACAAAAATTACATCAAATCAGGTGTTGTCAGAATTTTCCCTTTAAGAGCTGTAGCCCCAAATGCCTTTGAAGTAGATGATCAGAGCCTTTCAGTACCTCAAAAATGAAATAACTCTCTCCTGAGGCTCTCCCACAAATTTCCACTGCATAGAACAAGTACCAGTGTATGGGGGTGAGAAACATGAGAGGGAGTACTGTTAAAAAGCTTGTTGCAAGTGCCTGCAATATCCTTTTTATTATGAAACTAAAAGAAAAAGAAAAAATATAGTTCAAGGCCCCAGCTGAGCAATGTATGAGGCAGTGATCTTGGAAAATAAAAGCAATAGGTGCCCAGAGTAACCTGCATGACTGCTCATGAAAGACAGCAGAAATGTGTGTGGAAGCACCTAGTAGAGACATAATTAAAGAAAACACGTATAAAATGGCAATTCACACAATGGCATTGCTACCTCTACATGTATAGGAATGTCCTAGATTTAGGAGCACTACACTAGCAAATAAGTTTTTTTCCTAAAAAGTGTAACTTCTGAGCTCACTAGACTGCTCACATTACTTTCAAGAGCCTAGTAATGATTTATTCAATCAAAATAATTTCACAGCAGATAGACATTTCAATCTGAGATCTCTTCCTTTCGGGGGGGGGGGGGGGGGGATATACTTAAAGTTTTGTAGCTTTTACCTGTATACTTGTATAATTTCAATACAATTCACCCTCAAGTACTTTAACATGACGTGTACAAAGTAATGGATGTTTTATGATTTCTTCTTATTTTCCTGGATTGGTAGCTACTCTGGAAATCTCACAATTTAAATATATTGCAATGAGCACGGATACAGCTGCCTTCGAGGCTCACAACACTGGCACAAACTACTTTCTGGAAGGGAGTAAAGAGATAAACAGGCATTTCTATGTCTACTGGACTACTTTTTTATGTGTGAGAACTTGTGTATTTTATGTCAGAACTGAGATGTCTCTTGGCTTGGCAGCAAAGACTTCATCCTGGCAACACAAGCACTAGGATGATGCCCAGACGTCACTGGCAGGAATGAGGGACGTTCACGATGAACTCTGAGAGTGAAAGCTACCACTGCTACCAGTCATGGCCAACAGCAGACCCTGGTACCAGACAGAAACCTGTGAGACAAAGAATTACCTTGTACTCTTGCTCATCAAGATAAAGTGTGTGGAGATATGGTTTCAAGAGTCTGCAGACTAATCACTTAGATTCTCTTATTCCAGAAAGGACAGAAGACATAACCAGAGCCAAGATGTAACTCAGACCTACTCTGAACCATTCTACTATACAGCCTCTGATCAAGTCCCCTTTTCAATTCAAAAGTATTGTCTTTCTGACTCAGTTTCTCTGGTCTGAAAAAGTAAAAATGACTAGGAAGCAGTGACTGTGAATGTGCTGTTGTATTACCCAGTACATTAAGACTAGCCTACAATGGCTTCCAGACTGAGGACAACAGCTGGCTATTAGAGAGTTTCCTAGAAGCTGGCTGTTCCTCAGAAGAGAGTAGTTAAAAAAAAAAAAAAATTAGAGTAAAAACACTAGAAGAAGAAAGTTGGTTTTCATTGATAGAAAAAATGGGAAAGAAACTGAATAAGAAGTGGGCATGTATGTAAAGTGAAACAGTAGCCAAGATGAAAAAAATAACTGAAGCCAGTGAAATGGTAAAGGCAATAAGAACTTCAAGAGGAATGAAGGAGTAAGAAGTTCATTACAAGTTAATTAAATGCTCTTCCACCCCTCCATTCAAAACAGAGTTAAGTGTCCGATACTGAGACAAAGCTAGGGCAGGTATGTGTAGAGGCACAAAAAAAAAAGCTTATTTAAGAATATAATTTTGTTTCTTAAAACAATTAATAGCATACAGTGAAGAGAAAGTGCAATCAGAGCAAAAACATCTTGGTCCACCAATATATTAGCCATAAAGTAATGCTTTCCCTATGGACTTTTTAAAAGATCACATGGCTCCTTACATCCCAGATTTGGACTGGCTTATTATAAAGACCAGCCACTAGTACTGGACTGAGGTTTCAATTCTCCCTCTTACGTCAGCAGATACATACAGTCCAGAGCAGGTTTGTTGAGCCAGTGTCTTCCAGCATCACTTCTATCCGTTATGGAGTTGTGGTGGATTCCAAAAATCAAACTGAATGTACTGGGCAACAGAAAAGTAAAGTAAAAAAAAACCAGAAATGGTAAAAAAAAAAAATAAATCTCCTTATTGAAAAAAATAGCAACAAACTTTCTTTTACAAGAATTTGTGTAGAACTCTGCATGACAATAACAGCATTTTAGAAACTTTCCTGACAGGAGCATTTTTGTGGAAAATTAATCAGAGACCAGATCTCACAAGTAGCACATGCTTGAGAAATACAAATAATCTTTCCAGGGCATATGCTCTGTGTCAGAAACCGGACTGTATCTGAAGAACTGAAAACATGTTGTACACTTAATGCAAACCCAAGTATGGAGTAACCCATTGAAAAGCTTAGTAGTGAGAAATAAGTATGCAACTGGTTGCAAACATTCCTGTGAAGGCAGTTACCTGTCAGTTTGTATGCTAACACACTCTTCTGTGGCAACTGAAAATTTTCCAGCCCAATGCTATTTAGAGTTCTGCATTTCCAAACATTTTTATTCAACATTATTTAAATAAGGTAGCATTATTTTAATAAGGTGACATAAGTAAATTTATTATCTTGACTCATTAACACTTTCCTATGAGCTTTTTTGGTATTTCTGATTAATTTTCATTAAAATCTATCCTGAATCTGTGCTGAATCACTTCATCCAGAACCAGCATTCAGCAATATCATAATCTCTGCCTGCTCATTAAGACTCCCACTTAAACATTTCTTTAGGAGTCCATCAGCTTCATATTTCATGAAGGACTTTATTTGTACAGTATGTAAAAAACCCCAAAATGAGCCAACATTTAGGTTTGATTTTAACAGATCAAAATCTACTTGAGGATCCTTGAAAATTCAACAATCTATGTTTGAAAGACAACCAAGGGTGTTGTACAGGAGGAGGAAGAAAAGTGGATGCCCTAGCAATCAGCTTCTACTATTTCATACCCAGATCACAGATAGAAAATTACTTCTACAACTCAGTGTTATAAAAATGAAATTCTAAGAAGTAAGTACTGACCCAAGCTCTGTTTTGCTAGCTGGACATAATGGTAGTAACAAATATTTTTAAAATCAATTTATTTGTACCCTGCTATCGCAGGCATTAATACTGGATCTGTTCAGGTATGCCTCTAACAGATGTGAGCCAGATCAGGCCTACACAAAAATTAGGAAGAAAGCATGAGGCAGGTTTTATATTGGCTGCTATTTGGGCTTCACAGCCTCTGCAGAACAACAAAAGGCAGCCGACCTGTGAGAAGGAGGTGTCATGTTAAGTTGATAGTGTATGCTCCAGAGCAGGTAAGTCTTAGATTTCTGGGTGAATTTGTATCAGATCAGTGCTTTCATGTGACTTTCTTCAATCTGATCAAAACCAGTATATTACAGAACCAAAGACTTTCAACAGAGCCTTTGTACAGAACATTTCCTTACTGCTGTAACAGTATCAGGTATGAACTGAATAGAGTACCTGTTAATGTCCTGCACTTAGAGGTGAGAGTTACCTGAAGTGCTAAAAAGAAAGCCCTGTGTTCAGACCACTGGGAAAGCTCAATACAACTAACCAACAAGAATAGACTTGAAAATGGTGCCACATTTGAACTCGTCATCTGAGGAGCTCCTGCCTGGCAGCTGCTAAAACCGCTGTGTGCCACATAGCAATGGGTTTGTGTGGGCCTTTTTTCTTATTCAGGCTGGTGGCTCCACCCCTAAACCTTAGAAACTATTTCCTACCTCATAACCACAGTACTAAAAATGTTATGAAGTGACCATGAGATCACCCAGGATTATGATGGGAAGCATAATATTTGAAAAGCAGATGTTATTTTCTTCTTTTTGACATTGAGATCTGTCCAGCTGTTTTGTTGTTTTTTTTTTTACATCTGTTGAGAAAGTTATTTGGCAATCAACCAGAGGTGATAATCCAAGTGAAAATCTCTGTTTTGCTACTGCCAGTGGAGCAGGTGAACGAAAACAGACAAGCACCATATTTCTACCTCACAGATGACGCTTCACTCGATTTTTTTTAAAGGACTAAGAACTTCCACTACCTGAATATTTGGGAAACAAAATGTATTGACACCATTTCTTAACCTACAGAAGCTGTAGGAAAGAAATAAATTGGTTAAATTTTACTTCAGATACACTGGTGTAAAGAAGGGTAATTCTGTTTGACAGTGCTATGCTTAGAAGCACTATCAAGTCCTTCAAGAAAATGGGCATCAGTTTAAAAAAGCTAACCTATGGCTATTGTAACCTATTTCCCTACTATTCTTGAGGAAAAAACCCTAGCAGCAATGACAGTATATCAGATCATCAACAGTAACACCAAGAAGCACAACACAGACACAGAAGTATCATTATTATCATTCACTGTAAAACCTTCACATAACTTACCTTAACCTGTATCCAACTGCTTTCTGAAGGCAGTGGAACTAGTTCCCTCTTCCAAAACCCTTGGCAATACCCCATGAATTCATCAGTCTTTTTAAAAAAAAACACGTTTTCCTCAATTGACTTCTCTTTTGACCTATGGCTTACAGTTCTCGTTTGCATATCCCCAAAGCCCAGACTTCAAAGAACGCTTTCTAGTGAGTATCCAGCAAACAGCAGTTAAAGCCCCTTTAGTTTTTTCTTTAAGCAAAAGTTATCGCAGTTTCCATTCTCCATGAATTAAGCATCCCTGGTGCCTAATCCAGCTGATTTTTACCTCTGAAGGACATTTTCTGGGTCTTTGAAGATAATTTTTCCAGGATTTGTGCTCATGAGCTCTGTTTATTTCATTTCGTTTTTTTGACACCAGCTGTATGTGCTGCAGATGATAATTCTACACTTGTACTCTGTGTTATCATATGTATAAATGGCAGTGATTTCTAATTCATAAGTGTATGGGCCAAGGTCTGAATTTCTGTAATGGAGCTGGCAAAGAGAAATTGGAATTAACTTGCACTTGGTTATCCAGCATGACCCAGTGTGGGTAAACACTAGCACTACCAAACAATATCACAGTCTTGACAAGTAATTATTTAATGTTCAGATCAGTTCAATTTTGTGCCATAAAATTTGAACAATAAATCATTTTCTTAAATCATCCCTCACAATTGAACACAGGTCATTTTTATGAGATGCCTGAAGCTGGTTTCAGATATTTGCTATCCACCACTGGATAACATCTGATCTAAGCATACAAAATCCAACTACACACATCAACATATTTCCTCCTCCAAATATAAGGACAATTTTATAAGTAGCTGAGGTGGTTGTTTCCTTTGGCATGACTCCCAAAGGATTTTGTCTCATCAGCACTGTAAATTTGCTCTGTCTGATGTCCCCTACTATTCACTATCTTAACCCCTTGTGCTACAATTGGACCTGATGGTCATGCAGTTAATGGAGTACCTTGCAGCAAAGGACAGCTGCTGAGTCTTACTGCAGCTTTTGGCTCTGCTTAACCAAGCAGCACTACCCAGACCTACCCACCTTCTTCTTTAAGGTCTCTGTTGCAGACAGAGAAACAGTTTTTGTTGCAGGACTTGATTAAGTAATAGTGTCTGAAGTTTGATCTTAGGCACTTTCCTGATCTAGTATTAAGATGGATGTCATTTTAAGCTTGTGAGCATTTTATAAAGTTACTCTACTCAGTTTCCACACTGGACAAGCATCCAGAAACACTCTGGCAGAAATGTGCTCTGAGTCAGCAGTTTCATGTGACCTAAGAAATGTTTGACAATACAGCTTCTAGCCCACTGTCAAATCTGTATTTCAGTACATATCCCATCAACTACACTGAATAACCAAGCACTATGGCCCAATCTCCTGCTGCTGAAATTTCCCTGCTTGTGCACAGTTGCCATCTGTATTTTTCTAAGCACATACTGAGCAGTACTTGACCTGAAAAGCTGCTACAGAAAAGCAATAACTATTCTGGTACCTCATGCAGCAGTGACAGATATATTAGTCAAAGACAGAAGATAGATGATAGCAAGAAAAGTAAGAATATAAAAAATGAATTTTCTTTTGGAGAACTGCAGTACTGAAATGGATTCCTCATCGCTAAAAATAAAAACAACCCACAAACAACAGATAAGCCAGAAGGGAGTGGGTTGTGTGCAGAAGGAAGAAGCCATACACAGAATTCTATTAGACACTAGACTTCCTATCAACATTTCAGTAATTTGTTTTTCTCTTTACCTTTACTATTGAATACAGCAATTGCACATTGTTTAGTACTATTTGTGTGTGTGTGTGGCATGTTAGATTCCAGGGATGTTCTGGAGTCATCATGTATGCCACCAGAGCCAACACTGAATAGCAGGGGATGGATTTACCTGTGAATGAAGAAATGTGTATTCTCTCTGCACACCAAAGAAAAGAAAAATTACTTGTCATGAACAGAAGCTGGTGAGAATCTGGAAGTAAAAACTGCATCCAAAGTGTACATGTGATTTTGTGTCAGGACTCACATCTGGAAAACCACTTTCTGCATATGAGAAAAGCAATCCTCTTCCTGCTAGTACTTCTCAACTAACTTAGGAAAAGCTTAACTGTTACAGATTACAGTGGTGAATAAAGTGAAGGGAAAGAATTTTGAAAGGTCTTCTGTGAGTTCTGCTGAGTGTGTTTGAAAGGCTGTCTCTTGTTCTTGATGGTTTACCATTGGCCTTAACCAGAAAATGATAGATACTATCCCCCTAAAGACCAGTGGGTGTTAGTTCTCTGCTGCCAGACAACACAAAGGCAATACAATAGTATCAAGGGCCTATGAAACTCATTTGATTAAAATATGTACATAGAGCAGAAGACATTTTACAATTCACAAGTAAAAATTAATGTCAATAGCTCAGAAATAACTTCAGCTCTCAGGTATCTCATGTCATCCCCTCTATCGCACACAAATTCTCCAAACTGCAAGTGTGGGAAGTGGTAATTAATGGGCCATAATTATCTTTCATTATAACACTAACAGGGCTGCAACACCCCCTCTTTTGGCACAAAGACTGTTTTTGGTATTTTATTCCTGCAGTCTGTCCCTGATTCAGTTAGGTAGGTAGTATGATTATTTTATTAATCATCACTGCAACATATAATCATTGATTATATATTTGAGCTAGTGAATTGAATTAGAATGGAGCTCATTTAGCAGTGAAACATATTATGTTCATATAAAATACCTGAGTTGTGGAAAATGTGTTCACTGAATTCGAGTTCACTGAGGAAAAAGCCCATGACAAATCCAGAAATTTAAGGTTAAATAACCAGCTTCTGTGACTGCTTATGCATTACTATTAATGAAGTGACTTACAACTTAGCTTAGTCTTTTGTTGAGGATTTTGGTGCATGTGGCACTGTGCAACAGAGTAAATGCTATAAATTTTCCCTAACACAATGCAGGCTGAAAAACAATCCACATGTAATAAGAGCTTCAACAGGAGATTATACTACTTTGTCCCAATACAGAGTAATTTCTACATTTTTCCATAAAAGCAACATAGTGTTACAATGTCCTATCTGTTCTGCTCTACAGCTACATCTTCATTCTCCAGTACTCACCCAGGTTTGCCCTAATTATTCAGCAATATAAAGAATCCCAGATTTTCCAAATGGTATCATAAGGAAACTATTATCTTACAGCTCTGATTACAACCTAACAAAATGAAAGTTTTGCTATGCATAAACTGCTGAACAAAGCTAAGCATCAAGCTGCTGCTAGCTATACTCGCTAGATTTAGAGATATGCTGGCTGACCATATGGTGTTACACAGCACTATTGGTTCCTGTCTAAGCAGACACTTTTAACTGACTGAGAGTCCAGGTTCTCAGTACCCTTCCCTGGAGCACAGCCTTCAGAAATGCACAGAGGAGCTGGTCTTGACTTACAAGCAGTTCAGACAGTTTTAGCAGTAACCAATCATTTAATATGCTGCCTGGAGTATATCTGCCTGGTGTTTATCAACAATGCAAAAAAGCTGAACAGTGTTTATGTTAGTACAGAACTGAGCCCAAAACAGTGTGCGATATCTCTCCTTGGCATACATTAACTTAAGAAACAAGACCAATTTCATCATCTTCTATGCAACATCTGGGTAACTCAAGCATGGGTCAATAAGCACACACCTGCTCATAATTCCCAGACACAAGGTAAAAAACCAAAAGGGCAGGAAATGAAATTAAGCAGAGATAACTGCAAAACAGTATGTTTAAGTGATAATTATCAACTACAAAAGTGCCTACAGCAGAAGAAGTGGGAAAGGCAACTTTTAAAAAGGACTGGAGACTGTGGATAAAAAACTGAATAACAACACGCTGTTACAAAAATGTGCATGTGCATCTGTTTTCCCTTTCTCTCAGCAGTCAGAGCAGTTTGGGCAGTAAGCTGGGGTCACAGATGTTTAGGTGAATTAGAAACAGTCTACAGGAGGGCAAGAATGTGACTTACCTAGAAAACATGAAAGGCTAACTGAATTGGGACAGTCCCAATTGGAGGCACAGAATAACAAACATCATTTGTAAAATGCTTTTTGCAGAAGGAAGTCTGATTATACAATTAGAAGAACGTTTTAAAAATAAGGATGGAGAAGCCCTGGGCTGCCTACAGGTCATGGAGCCTTTGTTCTTGGAGCTTTTTAGTAACTGATTATCCAAATATTTGTCAGGAGTGATACAAAAGGAACTGATCCTGCCTAGGCAGTAGAAGATGGAGGTCACCTTCAGTGGTGTGATTTTATGAACAGGAGACAGAACAAGTCTGCAAAATACATCTCAGGCTAAATGCAGCCTCTTGAACAATTTAACTGGAAAAGGATCATCACTCACTCTCTTACCTGAACGTGCTTTGGAAGATCCCTACAACTACCTATAATGTTCATGCAACCTATTAGGAAAAAGGCAGAATTGACTCTGGAAAATCATGGGGATTTTCTTTAAATAGTACAATTCTGAAAGACCACAAAAGGTATAGCCAACATCCTACAGCTTCAAAGGAAAGCAAATTTCATCAGAAGGTCACTGCAACAAATTACTCATTCACTCTCAAATAAACAAAGAATTAAAAATAAAACTAGAAAGGGAATTCAAGCTTACTGCTTCACCAGTTTTCCCAAGCTTTCCTTGATCTCCTTGTTCTCCCTGTTAAATGTAGAAAACAGATGATGTAGATCATCAAAAATGTAATTTCTTTCATATGTGTATACTGAAGTCCTCTATTTTCCTAAGAGCCTCTTTTATTTTCTAGATTATATCTGCCAGTTAAAATTTTAAAACCCAAAATTAAAGCAACCTGCAAAAATTTAATTTTATCAGTGGCTAATTTTGATTTTGTAAAAAGATTTAGGACTTGCCCACAAAAATGAAAACTATGTATTAAGGGCTCACTTAATACCTTAAGTCAGCAAACACTGCAAATAAATGATTTTGTTTTTATTTTACTCTTCCTTTCAGAAAATTTCATTCGTTATTTTACAGCTACTTCAAAAGCAAATGTTTTTTAAACATAAAGTAAAAAGTAGATGGACAAGGGGCAATAGGTTAAAACTTAAACAGGGGAAGTTTAGATTTGATATAAGGAGGAAGTTCTTTACTGTGAGGGTGGTGAGGCAACCACCCAGAATGGGTTGCCCAGGGAAGCTGTGAATGCTCCATCCCTGGTGGTCTTCAAGGCCAGGTTGGACAGAGATTTGGCTGACATGGTTTAGTGTGACGTGTCTCTGCCCGTGGCAGGGGGGTTGGAACAAGATGATCTTGAGATCCTTTCCAACCCTAACGATTCTATGATTCTATGAAATGTTATCTGTGCACACGATTAGTAACTTTAACTTTACTAAGAAATAGTAGGAAAATTGACATTCTGAATTTTAACAAACCTTCCCTCCTCCCAAAACCCTGGAACTGGCACTAAGTATTCAATTAGTTAATTACCAGTATGATATGTTACACAGAAGCATGTGTACTCACATCCTTTCACTGCCATGCCATTGTACGCAGCAGTGTATAATTTTACACAGTTTATACTTCAAACACATTTTATTTCCGACATAAAAACATCACTTACCTTCAAGCCTTCTGGTCCAGGATCACCTACATAACCTTTCTGTCCTGGCTTTCCCTAAAATAATGATTAGAATAAAATAGTGTAAATACTTCATTTTAAAAGATAATTTCATCCCAATTTCTATATTTATCAAAATACATGCACTCAAAAATTTACAGTTTAGCCATATTTAATACCAATGCTTGAAGCAAGTATTTTTACAAATCTGCACCTGAAAACACACTCTTGATTATTACAGCAAGTACTTGCCCAGTAATCAGAATGTGTCAAAGGAGGTGATCCTGCCCCTCTACTCTGCTCTTGTGAGACCTCACCTGGAGTACTGTGTGCAGTTCTGGTGTCCTCAACATAAAAAGGACATGGAACTGTTGGAACAAGTCCAGAGGAGGCCACAAGGATGATCAGGGGACTGGAGCACCTCCTGTATGAAGACAGGCTGAGAAAGTTGGGGCTGTTCAGCCTGGAGAAGAGAAGGCTGCGTGGAGACCTCATAGCAGCCTTCCAGTGTCTGAAGGGGGCCTATAGGGATGCTGGGGAGGGACTCTTCATTAGGGACTGTAGTGACAGGACAAGGGGTAACGGGTTAAAACTTAAACGGGGGAAGTTTAGATTGGATATAAGGAGGAAATTCTTTCCTGTTAGGGTGGTGAGGCACTGGAACGGGTTGCCCAGGGGGGTTGTGAATGCTCCATGCCTGGCAGTGTTCAAGACCAGGTTGGACAAGGCCTTGGGTGATATGATTTAGCATAAGGTGTCCCTACCCATGACAGGGGGGTTAGAACTGGATGGTCTTAAGGTCCCTTCCAACCCTAACTATTCTATGATTCTATGTCCCTCCTCATTGCAGGGGGTTGGACCAGATGACCTCTGAAGGTCCCTTCCAACCCAGACTATTCTGTGATTCTGTGTCTTAACTCTTAAAGCATTTGACACTGAAGAAAAAATAGTCACAATCCAAGAATCAATCATATATCAACTTAACCTCAAAAAACCAATTGAGGAGACAAAGAAAAGGCAAGGTCACATACTCTCCTGACTAATTCCAGCAGAATAAGGACTCACACTAATAGAATTTGATGTCTAGATGTTAGGGATTGTTGTCATAACTGTCCTTCCTCAAACAGACAAAATCAGCTTAAATCTCTCTCCTCTTTATCAAATTGATTAGTTTAAGCATCATCTCTCTCAACTACCATTTTGCTGCTGGTATCTTGTGGCTATGATACTCTGATAATAACATATTGTTACCTGGGTGAAATATAGCAACACCAATCAGAGCAGGAGGCCATGAAGTGCTGAGATCTTTGAAGCATTTTATAATATACATCCCTCCATCTGCCGTCACTCACACATATCCACAAAGGCATACAAACCAGAATGCTTCTCCTGAATTTTCAATTAGGTGCTTATAATTTAATTACGTCTCAATTTCGGGAGGTAATTTTCCTTTCAGATATACTTTATTTCCTCTACAACATAAACCTTGGCCTGACCCTTTGGTTATCTAAACAGCATAGCCCTGCTTAGAGAAACTTTCCCCATCTGCTCTGAGGCAAAGACCCTAATTCAAAAGTAACGGTTCAGTGGAGCGGATCTGGCGCTTGAGCAAGTTGCTAATGAGATTGCTGAAGCCTAACAACTGGACAAAGAAAATTAATTCAACATTTTAATGTTTCCATATCAAAAAGATGCGGATTTCTGCTAAAAGGAAATTATCAGCTGTCGTTCCAGCAGACTGAATAATTGCAATTGCAGGACTCTGTAATGAGAGCTTTCCTTTCCACATCAGCTGTCCCGAGACAAGAGCAACTAAATCAACAGATAAACAGGTTTCTTCAAAGAAAATGGGATTTGTCCATTTGGCTCCTTTGTTCTGGCTGCTCTGTGCCTGCCTTTCAGAGCACAATGTCTACGTTAGTTTCGGAGCATCTGATAAATTCTCTGTATGGCTTAAAATTATATTGTCTTAATAGGTTCCATGACTTCTCATATGATTCCCTTTTTATCTCTCTTGTTCTCTCTCTGCCTGCCTGAGTGATTTCATTTTGCCCTACAAGTTCCAACAAATATCACTGCTTTAGAAACACATATTTGCTTTTGCCAGTGGATTAAAGCATAGCACAGTCAGGAATGCAGGCAGAAAAGACTGTGAAAAGAAGCTCTGAGAGACCCATATAAAGCAAGTCATGTCTTTCCACAAGGCTTAGCAAAGTGAGTGACAAAAAAAAAAACCTCAACAAACAAACAAACTACCAAGTGACGGCTTCTGCAGTTCACTACATGCTGTTTAACTACTTCACTGCAAGGAACCTCAAGGTCTTTCTAGAGAGTAAGACTGTAATGTAAAACTGTTTGAAACTAAAGTAACTGAAATTAATTTAGTGACCACTGTTAACCATCTTGATAATTTCAGTCCTGAACTGGAGTTACAACTTGTAAAGGTTTCTTGGCTGTAGGACCCAAGTTATGTACTAGCTGCAAAGGGCACACAACAGATACAAGTTCATCAGAAAATGGAACAAATGGCTTTAACTAGTAAAGCTACTGGAAACAACTAGATTTGGCTTTAAACAGAACTGCAATACCACTGTAAATTACACATGGAGGAAAAGCCACTGACAGAAGGTTAAACTAGGGATGGCTGCTTTTCTGCTTGCAAACTCCTGAGAAAATGACTCTTCCAGGGCAGGGTAATCCCAAAGGAAATGTCTGCTTCCTAAAATATTAGCTGAAAGTTCTGCCCTTCCTCTTCAGGAAACAGCAACCTCCTGTGCTTCCTTTCACCTCACAATGCACCGATACAGGTGCGTATATTTTAATATAAATATCTCTCACTATCACTCTATTCACAGCCCTCCACAAGCTCCTTGTATGTCTTCAGCCCATAGGAGGACATATACCACCTTCAGGAAACACTGCACTGGGGAAGCAGGGCAGCTTTGACCGAACTTTCTTCCACCTTCAGGAAGAACTGTTCACCTTATGTCTAAACAGGTACCAGCTTTTGTTTTATACATCTCTCAAAGTAATCAATCCACGACAATTCCTCTTTATGTTCTAGTTTAACACAATCCCACACCTTTTAAATGCATTTTCTGATAGAATTCTTTTAAATGCATTTTCTGATCCTGCAATATAGATTTAAAAAAGATAAATAATAAAGTGCACCAATGATTGCACTGACTGAGGTGAGCTACACTGATGGGTAGAGTGTTAATAGCTGGACAGTCTTTGAGAAAGTGAGTTAACTGGGAGGAAACTGAATAAACACAGTCACTCTTTAATGTGGCATCTACTGTATTTTGACAGGAGAAGTAAGCAGATACTGAAAAAAAAAAGTAAACCAGCTTTTTTTTTTTTTATTTAGAAAGCTTAATATAAGGTAATATATGAATGTGACTTTTGAATAAATGGATGAGAAAGTTGGGAAAGGGATGAATGAAAAATCAAATTGTGTAATCAGATTCAGCTCAAAATCCTCCCCCTAAATTCAAACAGGCTGAGCTCTGTGGAACCCTAGATACATCCCAAGTGGGGAATCATCGTCAGTTTTGGCTCCTGTTATTTTAGACACATGGTAGTTCTTCTCCAAGCTGGGACCTGAGGATCAGACTGCAGGTTCATACTCACCTTTTGTTCCAGTAGAGAATGACCTATTTTGCTGTCAGCATTGGTCAGGTGGGTCCCAGGGGTTTCTGGTCTCATGCATGTTTTTTAAAGCAAATGTTAGAAACAAAGGCAGTGATGGGGAGGGATGGGAGAAAATGAGGTGGAAAAATTTATGGCTGCCTGCTTGGTGCATACCTAAACCTGAACTGGGGGCTGAGTGCTTTGACCTGAAAACTACACAGTAAAAGAGATGAGGAATTCCAGAAGGACCAGAAACCTGCTCCATTACTGTCCAAGAGAAAACTAGAACTGTTTCATGAGAATAGTTGCAGGTTTACAATGCATCACCTACAAAGATGTGTTATCTCTTTAGACAAACCCAAAGGAGGTCAGGATAACAGCGGCTGAAGAGAGGACTAACCTACTAATAATGCCTACAAGTAAGTCCTGTAGGACAGGAAGCAAGGTTGTAGCAAGAAAGTCACAGTTGGCTAGACATTAGGAAAAGTGTCAATAAACTGGGCAAAGCAGGGAAGCAGATCGCCAAGGAGAATGAAGAACTCCACCCCTGGAGGCTACACAAAACAAGTTAGAGACATCAGTCACCTCAAGGCATAGCTTGACAACTGACAGTGCCTTGGGAGTATGCATGGCCAGAGACCACTTACTTGTTCAGGTTCCTCTGAGACGTCCCCTGCTCCCAGGGCTATTTAATTAGTACAGCGACCACAAAGTTTTGATAGCATTTACTTTCAGATATAGCATTTACTTTTCTGAACTCCTTTCATGGAAAATGGAAAGCCTGTGTAAATCAAATGTATGTGAAACTGCAATCAAGCAATCATAATTTAAAACAAACAGATGTGTTCAGCAGCTTACTGGCTTGGTCCTGCTAAACCGTACTGGATTCAACAACTTCATGACTTGGACTCTCTCTTTCCAATGTAATCACACAGTCTATGTTTACAAGTGGGAGTGAAGAAGCAAGGACAAGCAGAGATGGTAGCACAGATCAGAGCAGCAGTGTTGGCCTGGAGCTGTGAAACAGCTGGAGCCAACTATAGAAGCTACAGAATCCAGGAGAGCTCTTAGACAAGGAGGGAAAACAGGCAAGGCTCCCCATCAAGCAAAATTCCCACTTTCCCTTACCTCTCATTTCAGCAAGCTATCAGAATGTGTGGAGACAGCAACCCTGGGACCCACCTTGGATGCACACACTCTTAATAGCTTGTTTGTAAGAGAAACCAAGGAGCCATAAGACATGCTAACAATATGCACATTTCCCACTGAGACATATCAAATCCAAAATAATTTAGGTCGAACTGTCCCAAAATAGATTGCAGATATTTCAGTTTGCTAGGTTACACAGAGATTTTTCCTCTTGGGTCACTTTGACACCAGCTGATGGTGGACTGTGCATGCCTGGTGACACAGGGAATGTGAAGGCAGGTGTCTCCCTGGGCATGAGTCACCCGCTGCAGCATCTTCCTTTTCCAGTTACCACAACACAACATGGGAGATGCTGTCCAACCATGAAGCCCTGCCCAAGCAGGAGACTCAAAATAGGATGCAGCCAAAATAAGAATTTCCATGAGGCTCTTGGCAGATGCTCAGGAAGATTAAACTGAATATTGAATTGAGTCACAAAGTATTTTGAAATTCTGCTCAATTTTTTTGCATGTTTTCCTTAGCTGAAAAAAGTAGTCTGTTTTGTTTTTAAAAAAATTAATCCATGTGGCAAATGAACATTTTAATATTATTTCTAACAGAAAGCAAATTCCCTGCTTTGGCTAGCTACTGAACAGGGAAAATGACATAGGAATATATCCACTCCAGAACTGGGAAACAACGGGAAAGACTTTCGCAAGTTCCTGCAAGAAATGGGAATTCATTCAAACCAAAGACCAAGCCAGTGATCACCATACATAAGCAAATCAAGCAAAGGCAGAAGATCATATTGCTTTCAATAAGCTTAGTGACACTCCTATAGTCCCTTGTGCAAGCTAGCATTCATTTTTAACTTTGATTTTTGCTAAAAATAAACTTCAAATACACTAAAACACACTTAGACACAATTATGCTTTCATAACTAACAAAATCAGCTGTTTTAAACTTCCAAAACTTGTCAGCACAAACAGCATTATGGCATTTCAGCTTCACTGTTTTCAGCAACTGTCTACCAGACCAGCCTGAAAATATGATGCTTTTCTGAAAGCATCAGTCCTTTATAGTTCCCCTTGTGAACTAAGCCTCAAGTTGCTTTTTTCACCAGTTTAAATGTTCTGATATATCTGCTGGGTCGGCCCCTACGAAGTACACGGTAGTTTCATCTGTCTCAGAGGAGCACCATAAGCAGTTTGTTATTGACTCTTTAAAAACAATTTTTTAAACCATGGCTGCAATATCCTTTCAAATCCTTTGTATGGGAAGCCATTTCTCCTCCTCCAGCTTTGAGCATATGCTGAGCAAAGACACATATTTATTCAGGAGATGCCATTTTAACACAGTCACTTCTCACAGTAAATTTACCTTCAAAAGCAGTAATTCCACTGAAAAATATTATTTCCTAACAAGATTAATTATACTTACTCTTGGGCCAACTCCTCCAATAGGTCCAGCTGGTCCTACTTCTCCCTAAAAGAAATCTGGACTTGAATAATCTTGATGCCAAGTCTAGCTTTGAAAAAGAAAATCTGCAGGTAACTTTTTGCATTTATTGTGCTATTTGTCTGCTTCATATGTGTTTGCATGAGTCCAAATCTGATAGAAACACTCTAAGAGAGACTAATCTGACTTCAGACAAATTCATGAGCCAGAAAGCCATGTCAGGTGCGTAAGAGAAGAAATAAGACACTGTGCCTACACTGCACAGTGCACAGATAGCAGTTATGCATGATGGGGAACTGCAGTGTTAACTGTTCAGGGTTCAGTCATTACACAGTTATATTAAAGCACGGATTTGTATCAATGCCATGCCAGGGTGTTAGGCTGTGATTGTATGATGGGTCACTAATCCTCTCAATATGGAAGATTTTCTCCAAGTTTTGGAGGAAGTGGTAAGCAACCTTTTCAACTGCAAACAATAAGAAACAGAGGAATTAAGAATTTGAATCTGCAGCTTCCTGGCTTCTAACTAAACAGATCGCTTTGCCACTGTTAGCTTTTACTCAGTATCTGTCATGAAAGCCCATAATTAAGGTGCTTACAAGTCTAGCCCCAGAATCAGTGATTATTTCTAATGTTAATTACTTTTAGACTAAGAGACATGAGTTTTTAAATTTATGATGATGGATTGAGAATACTCAATAAGTCTGTAAGAGGAGGATCCACCTTCAGCAACAGAGTTCTGTTTACTTATCTATGATACTGTAATCAAAATGATATATAGTTCCTATCTCCATACACCACCACCACCTCCCCCATCTCCCCAGATTAACTAAAATAACCACATCCGACTCTGGACACACATTATCCGAGATTCCACTAACATTATGAAAATAAATGACAGAATGGAAGCCCTGTAAGGCTGCTAAAATCTCTTTGCAACACCTGCCAAAATGCAGAAGAAACTTCAAATTTTGCATGACAACACCACCAACACCTAACCACTGTTGTCTAACCCTTTACCCCTCACAACCTTCTTTTAAACATAATCTCTCTATCAGGTAATTTTCCATCTTACCTCAAGTCCTTTGGGGCCTTGTGGCCCTGGAGGCCCTTGGTCACCCAGAAGCCCCTAAACATCCAAACAAACACAGTGAGAACGTGTATCAACTAACTAGTTTCCTTCTTCTTACAAATCTGGACAGAAATGTAAAACTCAGGAAGCAGAACTCACTTCTTACCATTATTCTTAGGATTTCTCTGGGGAAGCCAGGAGAAGATGCAGCAAAATTTCAGTATCTACTGGAAAACTACAGTTGGAAAACTACCAACTTCTAGTGCATAGACTATTCCGAAGCTTTTTTCTTTTGTTGTTTTGAAAAGGAGGTAAGAAAATACTGAAGCTTACAACAGAACAATTAATTTTTTCTGAAGATATAAAGCACACCATCATATTAAGATTAAAGTAGAACCAATATAACTCTTAACAGACCTTTCATTTAGGTAGTCTTTAGCATAACATGTGATGACAACAATGCAATGGAAATGAACTACAAGGTGAATTTAGACTACTAGCTTGTCCAAAACTACTTGTGATTTTAAGCCTCTACTTTTCTGTAAGAATTATAATCAGATTCCCACAGATAAAGCACCTTTTTCTCTGTCAAATCTGAGTTTTCATGACTGCTCACAGTAACATTTCAAAACTTTGTTAAAATGACTTTGCAGCTAGCAGTGTGTCAAAAATCTCGGTCATCCCAATTGCAATGGTAAGTAATTAGGAAAAGCACTTGACTTGGTGTAGGAAAAAAACACCACCTGTATAAACCTATTATAAATGTTCTGTGAAAGCTAGGCTTAACAATATCAGATAAAGCAACAAGAACAAAGAAACTGCCCTTTGGGAGAGATATGATTAGCCTCTGAATAAAGCAAAGGTGGGAAAGTCCCAAGTGTAAGCCTTATTAATTGTTTACTAATGAAGCTGAAGTCTAGACAGAGGTGCAGGCATTGGTCCAGTAACAGTTTACTTAGCATGCCAAATAAAATGGAGCAGAACGTGGAACAGGCAACTTCAAGGTATTGAGTTTCACCAGAGACATCAATCTGTGAAGGACCAGGGTGGACTGCTGCTTAACACACCACTACAAAAGGGAGAGGAGAGCTTTTAGTAGCACTATGTAAGTAATGTGCTTGTGTAGTCAGTCATAAAAATTTTTCATTGACAGCACTGATGTTTCAGTCTAATAGCAAAGCATATGAGGAGATGCAGCTTTCAGTATAATGTAACTGCACAGTGGGAATGATAGCAATACTGCTACTGCACAAAACATTCCACTGCACTTAACTGGAAAAATGTCCAAGACTGTAAAAATAATATTAAGAGCAAATGAAATTTCCATCTTCCCTTTGAGGTTTCAGGCAACAAACAGAAAAGGAAGGTAGTCATTAGAAGTGTACCAAAGGGTCTGGAAAAAGCTTGGGGAGTCAGCAAATGGGGGTATCCTGTAATTCACAAATATAACTTCCCAGTTGACCATCCCTTCCAGAACTGGTGAAACTCCTAATAGCCACTTCTATTAAATATGTTATCCAAACAAAAATGAGCAGAGAAAGGAAGTTCTCAACTACTTCCATGGTACAACACACGCTACTGGAAAACTTAGTTGTAGTCAGAATGTTTTGACTCTTTTCCTCTCACTTTTCTCTGTTACAGAGCATGAGTACTTGCAAGAATAACATAGGAACCAAACTAAATTATTTCAGAACTTCTTAAAAACATTTTTATTCTACTTTTAAATGTGAGTGTGCCTTATTTTTTTAATAAGCAGTGGATCAAGATCAAACACCTTCTAAAACAGTTTCCAAGCCCAGTAATGTGCTGTAGACCAAATTACGCAATGAATCCTTTGAACATTATTTCAGAGTGGTCAGATTTGCTGATTACTGCACTAATTTAGGGAAAATTGACAATCCAGAACTTCTTACTGGTATTTAGAGATGGCTGATCACACTCACAGAGCTTGAACTTTCCACCAAGAGGCTGAACTTCTCCCACACCAGCTGCTAAAAAATAAAGCTTACCCAGCCTTCTTGGCTTTTAAAATGGTATTGCTTCTGAGATAGCATAAACAAATCATGAGGGAAAGAGCAGCACAGTGAGAAGAGTGTTCCAAAAATAAAAGCTGGAGGAAATCTTTTATAACTGCAGTCAACATAAGACAGCTGGGAATCCCAAAAGCCCAAACATTTCCAGTGTTCTGCAGCACTTCTCCCTTGGTACGAGGAGCAGAGTAAGAATTTTTCCAGTTTGCTAATTTTCCCTCTCAAATGTAAGCCATCATTTCTCCTTGATCAGAGCAGGATGTCTAAGCTTTTTGACAGTACAGAGTCTTAAACTTTGTAGGCTACCTTTTAGTATTTTTGCTGTAATCTGCAAAAAGGCAATAGATCAGTAATTTATGTATTAAACATCAATCCAATTCCATCAAAATCATCTAATTTAACACTTGGGATATCATGTGCAATATTATCTCAGTGAAGAAATGGCAGCAGGGATTAGATCTCAACTACATCATTATCTATCAGCTTGGAGGATTAAGTATCATCTGTAGTTCAAGAACTGTTGTATTTCTCTTCTCCTGTTTCCTCTAGACCCTAGACACAGTCTTGCATCAAAAGTTTCTTTAAGTGCCCTGGTAATTTGGAAATGCAGGAGCAACTGCCACTGCAATGGTTAGATAAAATTCATTCACATAAGGCTACTAATATTATACATACATACACACAAACAAGTTAGCAAAACAATAAATCAGAACTGAAGAAAAAGACCATACCTCTCTCTGGAAATGTATTTTAACTTCTCACCAGTTTGCCACATCAGATAATAATTTCTCAGCCTTCCTAGTAAATGCATGTATGTGCTATTTTGGGACAAGGCTCTTAACACAGTCGAAGGATATGAGATGCAGAATGGCTTTGGCAACTGGATTATTTGAAATGTTCTCAAGAATTACTAACTTTGGCATGGAGGGATTGTTACACTCTTCCAGGTACAAATAAGACTATCTTTAAACTATTTACTGCTCCCTGTCCTATGCTTTCTTGAGTAGGCTGCCACTGAATTTCATAACTCTGTTGATGGGAACACTTCTAATTTCCATCTCTATTTATGGACAACTTGCATGTTTTGACTTTGAACTAATGATATTGTTGGTCTTGCACAGTTCTTTTGCTTCACCAATTTCTGTCCTCTGGCCTACAAAGCTCAAAAAGTCCCTTCATTTGGCAGGATAAATAAACAGCCTCTCAGAATACAGTCATTCAAGTATCCTTTTCTCCAACTAGTCCCACCTGATTGAGTTCTTCTGGAACACAAATGCCCAGAACTGTGTGTACTACTTAGATAAAGTCTTCTCATTGCTTCGTGCTGTGGCACCTTGCCTCACGTGTTCTAGAATTTCACTTAATTTGTAACTGCCTTATTGTGCTCTTATTTCAGAGAGAATTGGCAGTGCCCTTCTTGCCAGGTACAAAGTGCTAAGTTTACACTAGCATTTATTACTTTTATCCCTACATGTATCAGTCTGAAGTAACAAGTGGGGTGAATTAATACAAAGTGCAGTTTTTAAGATCATCTGAAGATGTTCAACTCTGTTTCATATACAAATTTCATTCCATCATACTTGTGCCTACAAGAACAGCCCCAAGGCTGCTGAGTGAAGAATTTAATTGGTGCTTGTCTTTCAACAATTAGCCCATCTTTAGACATCTTTAAACCATCTCCCTCTGGGTTAACTTCTGACCCACCTGCACTTTTGTGCTAGTCTCTACCTTTCCCATTCTAAACAAAAAATACCATCATGTGCTTTTATCCAAAGCTTCATTGAAAACTCTAGATATGTGAATTATTGACCAAGATTGGTCTAAAATATTAGTCTATTAAAGAGAAGAGGCTAAAATAATCTGGCACAGTCATTTTTTGGTAGATAGTTTTATTCATTATTATTGTTATTAAATGTGGTAGGTGAATTTTACCTATTTTTCCATATTTTTAGTTACTATTTCTTTCAAACTCTGTTTTAAAAAAATCTGTATGACTCAAGTGAGACTACAGAGATCAGCATTTGGCATGCATTTTACTTAAACATAGGTGCTACTTTCCAACTGCATAGCATTTTCACCAAATGACCTTACACTTAACTGGCCATTACATGCTTCCACCTAACAAAGGATAATTTTACCCCCGTAACAGCATTAAACATCAGATTAACTTCCTCATATAAACACCTGAGGCAAAGTATTTGTATTTGGACAGTAAGATTAGCTTCTCAAAAAGCCAGTGTCCATCTCTCAGAGCTTTTCCTCAGAAATTCATACTGTTTATTGTTAATATAAATAAGTTTTCAAATAACCTTACCTTAGGACCTTCAGGGCCATTTAATCCAGGTACACCAATATCTCCTGGAAAACCCTAAAGTAATCATACATACAAATGATTTCTAGAGTAAGAACATTTCCAATATACTTGTTTTGATCCTGTTAATTCATTTCACAAACCTGAATCACAAAAAAACCCGAGAAATAAATTTGTTCTACCATCCCCAAAATGTCAAAATCTGTTAAGTTTCCTTGAAAAGACTTGGATGAATGACAGATTTTTAGGGAGCTTTCATTAAACTCAATTTAGCAGATGTCAGTATGGGTTTCACTTCTCTTAGCATAAGACTTTTTATGCATTAAGTAACATGTGAAATTAAACTATTAGATTGGTCTTGATGTACAAGAAACCCACACACAGAGCAGTAAGCACCAGGTCCTGTACTCATGCACTCAAGTGTGTTTTAAAAAAAGCTTAGAGAGCAACTGAAAGCCTTTAATCCTTGGCTGCACTTTAAGGACAAGATCAGTGCACAATTAAGAAAAGGGTAGAAAGCTTTTTGCCTCTAAATCAGCAGGTACTAATCCAGGTCTGGCTGGCAGTAACTGAAGATCACCACCTTGTAGCATTTATTTAGAATAAGCCTTTGTTAAATAGTGTGCGGTATAGGTCCAGCTGCTGAAACAGCAAATACTCAAAGAAAATGAATCAACTAAGATTATGATCCTGAGCCATCAGGCCAGAAGGCACCAACAGGGACACTGTGAGGATGCTTCTATGTCAGAGGAATCCAGTGTTACAATGAGATTGCTTTTTAAGGAATAAGTGTATTTTAAGGAAACAAAAATGATGCAGCTAACCCTTATGCAATACAGTAGTGAGTTAAATTTCATAAACTTTCGGTGAAGAAATGTAATCCTTTTATTTGTAGGCTAAAGGAAGCATTGGTAAATGACTCTTTAGTTAGCACAGGGCTCAGTCACCTGCCAAGACAGTATCTGATCTTGTTATTTTTATAAACTTTTAAATGTCATTAAATCTTGCTTATCTGAAAATAGACTGCCACTGAAAAGTTCTTCCTTTGGCTAAAATATTTATTACTACATTTGTGCACATCCGTCATCTAACACTGGCAAAAACAAGCTTCCTTCTTCCTTAACAGAAAATGTTTGTAAATGAAAAATTATAAGCATCATTATTTGCATGCATACTTTTCCAATAATGGAAGTGAAAGCATATTACAAGTTCAGAACAATTTAAAGAACATCTCATAAAGAACTTCCAGCGTGAAATTCTCTCTGGCACCCTTCCAAAAGTGCAGGCTAATACATGTCATCCTTAAAGCTTCAAAAGTCATTTTTCAGGTTCTCTAAGCAGGAAAAAGGTATTAATAAAAAGAAAAAAGCCTCATTGTGGATCACAGTTAACCATACACTTCTTCAAGAACAGCTGAGCTTCAAATACAGGCAATAATAATTTATAATGACTATTCATAATTACTTGACATGAATCACAAAAAACTTTACCAAAAAGGTAAAGAGAAATCCAACTAAAGCAAGAAGTTTAGAAGAGTACATTACCTCACCCTCAACGACCACATCATAATAAAATTTAAGAAGTATTTAGGCTATGACTGTTTTTACTTGTAGGGCTTTCTTCTGTTTGCTTTCTATAACCTGTTCTTAACAGGATGAAGAGACTTCCAAGCAGAGATTTAGATGGTGTACAGATACTTTAGGTGTTATTTAATGTAGTATATATTAAATATATACACTAAATATATTAAATAAATATTATATATATAAATAATTATATATTAAATAAAAAAATAAATGAATAAACAATACTGAAAGAAAAAAACAGCAGACAAAAGCCAAACAAACCCAAACCCCTCCAAACCCCCAAGACTCAGCACTTGAATGTTAATAAGTACTAAAGCAAAAAAAAGAGTAAAAAACAACTCACCTGAGTTTTCAGAATAAGCAGAACCACCATAACAGCATTTCACAAAACACGGCGGTGGTAATTTCTTTTTGACATTAAGCTAACTAGTAGAGCTGTGCAACAGCTCAGCACGCCTCTAGGTGGCACAGAGCATACTAGTCGCATGTGCCCAAGTCCGATAACTAGTCTGACACTTAAAAGTACTCGCTTTTATCAGCCTTCATTTATATACAGTTCATAAGGGGATTTTTTAAATCTTGACCACACTTATCCACTGAAATACACTTAAAAGTTGGGAAAATTCTTTGGAAGTTGCTAAAACCCATCTTTTCTTAAATTTATTTACCAAACTTAAGTAGGTACCAAGGGTTGGGTTGTTCCATACATCTGTAAATCTCTAACTTTCTAATGTGTGAAGATGTGCTAAATGCTTACCCAGAGACATTTCCCTTATGGCAATAAACATTCCAGAACACAATCTGTCAAGAAAAATGTCTATTTATATGTCTTATAATTCTTATACTATTATGAGGAAAGATGTCTACTTTATTTGCAGAATTACTTCTAGAAGTAATTCAGTAATAATTCCCCCATCCCTGGCAGTGTTCAAGGCCAGGTTGGATGGGGCTTGGACCAACCTGGTCTACTGGAAAATGTTCCTGCCTATGGCAGGGGGTTGGAACTAGATGAGCTTTAAAATCCTTTGCAACCAAAACCATTCCATGATTTTATTAACTATGAAATACAAGCATTGACAAGGACTATCACAGTTAGAACAACCATGACCTTTGGAAACCTTTCCATATCAGGCAAAGTGTTAGGATGGAGAGGGCTACTGGCCTGAGAGCAGTATTATCAATTTATTCAGAAGTTTAAAACTTTCATATTTTTTGTCTTTGCTGTTAAGTAGGGTTTAGTCTTTTATTCTGAAGCATTACCACAGAGAAAATGCAGATGCTATGGCAATATTAAAACACTATCTCCAAGTGTTGAAATGAACAATCACATGAATGATCCATGAGAAAACGGTAATAATCCAGGACACAGTCACTTAATTCCAGAAAAATGAATGAACCAGAAAGAAGTTCTTAAACACTTCAGCAATGGTGTTTGCCATTCAGATACCAAGTAGTGAAGTCATATACATATCTACCTCTATCTGAATTTGCCAAGAGTTATTCAGCTTCCTGTGAAGCTACTCCAGATTAAAAATTCATTATTCTTCCGTAAGTGAAAGGCCAGGAGATCAATGTATAGTTTCCAGCGGCAAAGTAATTTTCAGCAGTCGCTATCTGGAACCAAGCATCACTCAACATTCTGACTACTATTAAGGGAATGCAAAGTGTAGATTCCTATCTTCCCAACAGCCAGAAGCCTGGCAGCTGGTAGTTACAAATAATTTTCCAACTTGTGCTGCAGATGTGGCCTTTTGCCAGCAAAGCACTTTAGAGTTTACTCTGTCTAATAAAACTAGAGGTAGTGCCACAAAAAAGGGAAATACTAGCTATCTCAATACAAATGCACTTTGAGCTTGCTGTAAAAGTGTTGCTTTTTGAACTGAATGCATTTAAATCTAAAATTAACATATTTATTGCTCTCATTTACCTATATAATCTTTAACAAAAAAAATGCAGAGATGATGAGACTGTTAATATGTCAGGGCATGACTTTTTTGTCAGTGCCTCAGAGATGAAGCATTTGCAAAAGTTGCTGCTTTCCTTCTGTTTGTTTTCCTGTGTGACTGCTAACAAGGAAGCAGAGTATCAGAAATGGTTGGAAATTATACTCCATTTCCACTACAAATCCTCTTATATTTGCAGAATCCCACTCAGTCCAAGCTGTTTCCACATGACATTTTCCAGCATTGTTATTTGCCACCAACCCTCCTGCCCTTTAGCTCCTCAGCAGCCCTCAATGAGATCAGGACATGGGCGCTGGTGGAAAGGTACCACAGAGCAAAAATGGCTCCACAGACCGTGATAGTGCCTTCAGTTGCCAAGTTTCCCTGCTCAAATATTATTTCATTCAATCACATGCTGTGTTTCACTGGAATGAGAATTTAAAATGAATTTTCAGAAGCAATGCTGACTGGATGCAGCCAATGAACTTCAAAGATGACTTATTAAGTGCTTTATTACTAATTACTACCAACTTATAAAAGGAAGATTCCTGCATAAAACTGTAAATCTCTCTAAACGGAGAAAACAAGCTGTGATTTTGTATTCTCAAATAAGTGTCTATTCTTCTGAAAGCTCATGCTACACAGAGAATTCAATTAATCTATTTTCTTCTCTACACCATTTTAGAAATGTCAGTATTCACGCAGTGACAGGACTTTGCTCTTTGCCATCTGTACAAGTGCATGACAATTCCACAATGTGCCAAGTACAGTGGAAAACAGTAAGGAAAAAAAGAAAGATTTGAAATGAGCTTTATTCTGTGTGTGCCAATTTAGCCAAAGTTTAATGCCAGCATTTGTAAAGGGTAAAGACAAAACTTCAATTTTTTTTTGGTACAAAACTTCAATTCTGATTTTGGAGAGGGCAGAAGAAGGAATCTAACAGTACAAATTACAACTGTACAATTGTAATTTGTCAGAGAACATTAAAAAGGGCAATCATGGATTACAGCATACAATACAGGAAAGATTTGCAATTTACTGCTACTGTCAGTGAAGTGATGCCGATATTGCTTTGTGCTTTTGTCTAACAGCACATTAGACAAATTTGGCAGATCTGTTCAGCCACGCTTGCTGAAACACTAGTGACTGATTTTCTTGTGAGAGACTTGAAGTCACCAGTTTTCCAAATGTGATGCATCATGCTATAAAGCTTTCTATTGCATCTACATATTACATGAAACAGGCATTAGAATGATTGTATTTATAAAAGTAGTATCTATTTTACAGTGTGAACAAGTGGCTGGTGATTCACCTGATGGATCAGCACAGCAGCATCAGCCACCAACAAGCATTTTAAGGACCAAGTCTTGAAGCATTCTAAAAAACTACAATGGAAAAAATTTAAGAGCTTTGGTATGAACTTCAGTGTAGACCCACTCCAAGAATCAGACAGGATTTCCAGAGGGAGCTTGGCATCAAGTTTTCCTAACTTTAAACCTTAAAAAAGAGACTGGTAACTAAGAGTTATATAATCCTTGTGCAAGATTAACTGAGCTCTCTTGCAGGAGGATTATTTCACTTTACATTGCTTCTATGCTGCTAACAACTGCCTGCCCATACAGATCAGGCCACATCAAAACTTAGGCCAGACTAAAAAAGTAAGGCAGATTCCAATTTATTTGCAAGACTACCGTTTCTTCTAAGATCAACACCAAAACCCAAGAGCCAAACACAGTGCAAGTGTTAAAAAACAAACAAAAGCCATTTAAATATAAGCTGGCCTTATTCTAAGCAGATTCAGAACATTAGGAGCTAAATGATGCCATGGTAAAGCATCACAAATCAAGTTTTGCTTATCTGCATGCCACTTCTTTTGTAGTGAAGTCTCACATAGCTCTGCCTGAAAAAGAAAAATCTCCAAAATGACAAATTCTGTGAAAAGTACCTATGAAGGTCTGTACAAACAGGCTAGGACCTAAAAGGCACAGACTGCACTATCATAATCACTGAAGAAAATATGAACAAGCACTGTTCAACATTATTAAAAAGTTATGGTAAATTGCCTATTTCTGCAAAATTAATACAGATTTCTGAAGACAGAAAAAAAATAATCAGAAAGACACAGGCTTGGCAAATAAAATTTATGAAAGGACCAGTAAAGAATCTCTGCAAAGCCAAGCAGAAAAGTATGAGCAATTCTACAAGAACAGTTCTTCAGATGTATGCCAAAACATGCAACTACTTCAGCTGTAATTGTCTTTATTTCTATATTTTCTTCAAGTCATTTGCACACAAGTTATTTATGCAATATTGAAAGAGAAAGCTATGTTACCACTGCACTCATGGCATTGTTTGCACAACCTCAGAACATCATGCGATGAAGAGAAAACATGCATTTAAAAAAATGAACAGCTCAAAGTCAGTGATTCACTTACAAAATATGTGCCTTTTTGATTATTTAACTATTATGTAAATGCTTCCTTTTCCTTTGTAATCCTATTGCCATGAGCATGAAACATACCAGCTGAATCCCATATGAGTACCTTCCTGAAAGAATAAGCTAAAGACCTCAGATCAAAATACTGCACAGATGAAAAAAGTTCTATTGAAGATAATGACTAATGCTCCCTCTGCTCCAGATGAAACCTATTTATGACACTCAGAGCATATCTGAAGGCACATCTGAAGGAAACTATCACCTGCATTCGTGAGGGACAATTAAATGTGATTCGCAGAGCAAAATTTAACTATAAAATATTTTGAGTACATGTGGAAGCCTGTTAAAACCTTGTCTAATTTCATTCACGTTAACAATAAGTATTACACACTTCATCATACTCAGCGAGCACAGGCATTGTGGGTTCAAACAGTCAGACAAGCTCACAAAATCTAAAATCCTGAGCTACAGAAGAAGGCAGCTGTGGGCAGCATGCACAGGCTTTGTGCTTTTTTCATTCTGACTCAAAGGCACAAAAATACTCTCTCCTCATTGACGAAAAACATATTGGCTTATTCTGAAAATACCATCTTGTGTTGCTACAACATCTTTCCCAGTAGTTTTTTTCTCAATGAGGGCTCATCTTCAATAGGAAAGTGTGTTCTTTAGGATTTAGATGAGCTGTAACAAAGGAATAAAACCCAGTAATCTGTTCTTGTCCTGGGTTCAGCAGTAGCAGTCAATTTTTCTCCTTCTTGGCAGCTGGTGCAGTGCTGTGTTTTTGACTTTTGGCCTGGGAACGGTGCTGATAGCACTGATGTTTTTAGTTACTGCTCAAATGTTTGGTCTGGCCAAGGCCTTTTGAGCCTCATGCTCTGCCAGGGAGGAAGGGAAGCCAGGAGGAAGCAGAGACAGGACACCTGACCCAAACTGACCAAAGAGGTATTCCATACCACAGCACATCATGCCCAGGATGTAACTGAGAGTTACCCGGAAGGACTGGGGGACTGCGGGGTTGGAGGAGGTATCGGTCAGTGCTTGGTCTGGTGGGGTAGGGCGAGTTATTGGTCAGCTGGTGCTGAGGTGGTGTAACCTCTTCCCTTGTTATTTCCTTTATCATTATTATTGGTGGCAGCAGTAGTGATTTGTGTTATACCTTAGTTACTAAACTGTTCTTATCTCAACCCATGGGAGTTGCATTCTTTTTGATTCTCCTCTCCGTCCCTCTGGGAATAGGGGGAGGGCAAGAAGGGGGGGAGTGAGTGAACAAGCTGTGTGGCTGGTTTTAAACCACAACAGTTCTTTAAAGATCAAAGACTCAAAAAGGTGCTCCTACTTAAAAGTAGAGATATAGAGCCTTGGTTTGAGAAGACATACTCTCAGAGTTACTGTATCTTATAATGTCAGAACAATCATCATCGCTAATATATCTCTTCGAGATATATGTAAAATAATAATAATAATAAAATCAAAACAAAATCCCCACCAAAAATCCACAATCCCCAAACAAAACAAACAACCCGAACCAAAACAACAACCAAATCAGACACACATAACAAAAAAAACCCAAGAAAAACAAATGACAACAAACCAAAATCAAGGTAGCCTGCCAAACCATCCTTTGGAAGAGGCTGATTAAAAAGACAAATCTGACTTTTTGCTTTCATGTCTCCAGCAAATACATGCACGTCTGCATGTGCATATGCCTTTCCTGTATAGTCCACAGCATTTTTTCCAATAGCCCATAGTATAAATGCCAAAAAGCACCGAAACTGAACAATGTAGAGACTGAGTTTCTGTGCAGACTTCTATAGTACTGTACAGTTCTTAGGAAACTGCATTGCTAGATTCAAGTACTTGGCAATGCTTCCTACGTAATTAGTGTTTATTCTTTGCATTCCTTGCAAATACAGTTATTTTCTAAGAGATAAATATATGACCCAGCTTGGAAAATCCCATCTGTAAACATGCTGTAGAATTCATGAATGGAAATGTGCCTGAGAAATCACATGAGCCTCATTCAAGGTGTAATCCACAATCCACAACACCTTTATTCAAAAGACAGCAACTCCTAATCATATAGGCAAATAAGGAACTACTTTGTAATCAAAGAATCTGTATATTAATATTTTACATTAAAAATTATGAGTTAGAATCTTTTGTACTTTATGGAGGAGAATTCATTGGTTATGACTGAATAAAAAGTATTTTCTAATTCAACTAAGACAACAATCTTTTGTAAAGAAAACCCTTTTACCTCTGACTTTTGTAATTTAGAACAAAATGACATTTAATTTACCTCTATCAAGCAGTTTCTTACCTCAGGTCCTGGAGGACCCAATGGCCCCTGGGATCCAGGATCTCCAATTTTCCCCTTGAAAAAATCCAAACAGTTGGAATTTTGGTGATAATTATTTTTTCAACAACAGATTGTTATGAAAATTTTAAAAACACCTATCAGAAAGAAACCCAGCAAGTGTTGAGACGACTTTTCCACTTAAGAGGAGGTCACAACTTAGCTTTAGACAAATAAATTGGGAGCTTTGGGATGGTCCAAGCCGTCATATAAAACTGCCTTTAAATATACAGCTGTTTTCAGAATAAAATTACATATTATTTAAGTCCAGAAAGCAACTGTTACAGGTATCGGTTTACATACCCACCTACATGGTTTAAGTATCCAATCATGGCCAAAGAAATGGCAGGTTTGGGATTAAGAATAGCAAAATTAGAACCTGTCCAGGTTATAGTGACTCCATTATATATAAATACTGACAAGCCAAAAAACTGACCAGAATAATTCTCTAAATTATCTGCTTTTCCAGTTTGCTGCTGCCATAACTGAGTGCTCCTTGAGCAAAATTAAAGCCTGACCTGGCAAATATGTTTAAAATTTTAAATGTAAATGATTTTCTTGTAAATGCATTCTGCAAAGTTAAACATTATATTACTTGCAGGACTGAGGTCTCATATTTTAATTTAACACAGGTCAAGAAGTTGGGCACATTCAGTTTGCGCTTAAAATCCACAACTGTTAAAGAAGAGGCTAATCCACATGCTTATCTTCAAATGAAAATGCTTATTTAAAGGCAAAAAGGCTGAGTTTTTCCACCTAAACCTAAGCAAAATTGTGTGAGTTTTTTTGCAGGATTAGTGTTGGTATTATAAATTCTCTGGGACAAAAAGTATTTTTTAAATTGAGTTTAAGTGTCTATGACATTCATGAAGTCTTAGTAGGTTTATCAGATAGTGGCTTGACTGTGCATAAGAAAATTGAGACTGGAGTGATTAATTTCTTAACAGCATTAAACATTGGCTGCTTCTAATTATACACCAAAAAGAGGCAGATAGCTGTGGCAGCTTCTAGGGGGATTACATGCAGTGTGGGTATAAGATACAAAGAAGTATCAAATATAACAACAAAATATAGTCATATATCGAGAACAAAAATTGATGTGCAAACTTACTGGGGGTCCTGCCTTTCCTCTGATCCCTGGGGGTCCTGGTAAACCAAGAGCACCCTGAAAATAGAAAGCTATTAAAGACACATGAAAGTGTATTGCTACATTATTTTGGAAATAAAAGATTGCTACACCTTACCACCTGAAACAGACTTTGAAATAATTATGTGGGATAAGAAATGCTTTCTAACATTCAACTCCCATCAAAAGAGTTCTCACAGGATGTGCTATTTCAGTGACTTCTGATGTACTAGCCAAAGATGAAAAAAGATATTTATACGAGTTTCATGATATGAAGGAGCATGCCAGACCACATGCTGCTGCTAACCACAGCTGGTCCAGGTGAGCTGCAGAAGGGAAAAATATCTTTTACAACAGTTTGTTAGCGGGTTTCAGAACATACCATAATTCTTTTCTTGTTTGATGCATCTCTGAGCACAGGGATAAGCTGCCTGAATTCTGCCCATACCCTTTACTTGTCTTTGTTCACTGCCTTCCATAGCCAAGTTTTAATTAGCACAACATTTCTTAAGAGATATTAATTCAGTGGTATCCAGTAACTTTTACTAGTGCATTCTGCTTTTATGCAACTCACCTGTTGCATTTTAAGAGACTCAGAAGCCTGACAAAGGTGCTGAAATTGGACAATTTTATAAAACAATGCAATTATAAATTACCTTGTCTCCTGGGTACCCCTGGTCTCCTGGCTCTCCTGAAAGGCCATGTTCACCCTAAATAACATATTATTTTATACATACACATGTATGTGGCTTAAAATGTGGTAGTTATCAGAACTAGAGAATGAGAAAGACTAATTCAATGTTTACTATTTAAAAGTAATGCATATCTTTGGATAAAAATGCAAGATGTTCCATTGAAGCACCCCCTCCAGGAAACCCTACAGACACAGTACTGGGTATTGTTATGCCCAGTAGTTAAGTGCTCTGTCCAGAAGTAAGTTTGACTAAAGTACCAGATCATGAGACTGAAGTAGTTTCAAAAAACAATAATTAGATGAGAAATCTAAAGGAAAAGGGAAGACTTTGTCAAATACATTCTTTTGCTCAAGATTTAATGAAAGTAGTCTGAAAGAATTATACTTCTCTAGGATAATGGAAATATTTAAATCACCTTATCACCTTTCATTCCAGGCTGTCCCACACTCCCTGGGAGACCCTATTAAAAGGAAGAAAACAAAAATCCAATGCTTGTCCATAATTTAGAAAGCAGAATAGCCATCAGGCTCTGCGATTGTTTAGCACCATACCATGGGCCCTGGAATTCCTGATGGTCCACTTGGTCCTGCTGGCCCAATGCCTCCCTATGAGACAGCAAAAAAAGTGACTACATTAAACATTTGATGAAATGGAGTAACTTGAAGACTGGTAACAAAATGTGACACTTTCTGCACCTCAGAGAGAAACTAAAATCATGTGCAGGCTAATTTCTCCGGGAAAAAAGTAGCTATATTATAAGCCTTCTACCTTTACAGTCCCCAACTATACCAGCAGAAACACAAGAAACCAAACTTCCTTCTTTTCCTGTAGATTATGTATTCAAGAGAAAATAGCAGTGCATTAGGGAATTCAGAACAAGGAAAGCTTTCTTTTGTACTGCAGCTGCACATTCAGTAGCTATTCCCTCTATCCTCAGGGTTACATGACATCGCTAACTCTGGAAGCATCAAATTATCTGGCTTAAAGGAATTATTCTACCATGAGTAGTGTCATAAAAAGTGATTTTTACTGGGATCTCAGTGACTTCTACAAGTTAAAAAAAAATATCCACTGTGCAACCTAAGTTCTAATAGGCACACTAAATTTTTCTGTTCTTGTATGTCTTCAAAGTCTTTCTCGCATTGCTCCTTTCTGGAATTTATATGAACAGAATTGAAAAAGAAACATGAACCAGAAATTGAGAAAATTAAGAACCTTATAAAAACAACACAGCAACAGAAATAATATTAATGGAAGATCATAGAATGGTTAGGGTTGGAAAGGACCTTAGGATCATCTAGTTCCAAATCCCTGCCATGGGCAGGGATGCCTCACACTAGACCATGTCACCCAAATATGATGAGCTAAACATAAAAAAATATTTAGCAATAGTTAAAACTATATTACAGTGAGAAAAATCTATCTACTTGCTGCCTATTTACCTCAGGGGAAAAAAAAAAAGAGGAAAAAAAAAAAAAGCAGCGTTATACCTCTATGGCTATGCAAGCATTTAGCAGCAAATATGAATACAGAAACCTTTTGCTTCTTGCCGAGAGCGACATGGAAAAGACAAGATGGAGACCTACTGATTTCCAGTTCAGCACACATTCCTTATTCTCTATAGGCTCTTTCAGCATGGTTAGCAAAAATATTCTTCTGCAGCCATCATAAGGCTCACTGAAGAAAAGGGAAGACTGATGACTTAGCATCTCAATGGTGCTTGGTAAAGCTCCCGAGAAACTTGCAAACCTACATTGCTTTAGCTTCCCATGACTGCTTAAATTATATATTCTGTCACTTTAGCTGATGCCAAGATAAATTGTTTACATTGCTGTCTCTTAATTGTGCTATATATTCTAGTTCTTAGTGTTTCTATATTAATGATACTGTATGCTGAAATGCATACTTATGGTAAAATTAGCATTGACTGAATGGAGGGATGCTGAACTGGGAAATACCGCTTACAAAAGCGGTGGGAAGAAGTTCCAAAACTGCTTTACAAAATTCAGGTTGATGAAACTACTGTCACAGTCTCTAGGGATATCAGCTACCAAATTAACAGCAAAGAACTGGAACTACACAAAAATAAAACTAAAAAAATCATCTCAGTGATAAGAAAAGGGATGAATTAATAAATCTGACAGATTTTTAAATCGTCCTGCCTACAACAGCCTTGCTATATGCTAGCACATGCTTATCAGGCTGGTTAAAACTTGCTGACAGATAGAAAAGAAAAACTTATTTCAGCTACATAAAACATACCTTTTCCATCATTTCTATGTGACAGGTGAAACTAAAACCAAATTGCTTTTACCTGTCAAAAACATAAGATACCAGAAAAGGAAAACCAATGCTTCTTAGAAATAGGGGGGTTTGGGTTTTGATTAATTAAAAAAAAAAAAAAAAAAAAAAAAAGCTATCTCTGGTAACTGTAGATGTAAATTTTCCTAAAGTCTTCATCTGATTAAAACTTATGGCCTCGCAAGTCTTAAGAGATTTACTGCTCACCCAGCCAAAACCCTGAACTTGGCAGCAGCTTTCTATACTGCAAAAAGTTGTGGAAGGAAGGAATTCTTGGCCTCAGCTTGCTGATGCTCCTCACTTTGCTGTTGTTCTCATGAACAAACACGAAAATATAATTAGCTCCTGACACTGCATACAGCTGGGCTGGACAAGCTACTTGAATTAATGCTTTTGGTTTCTGCCAGAGTAATATATTTAATCGCATATTCAATATTGTATTTTGTAATAGCATAATGTGTTATAATTGACTAAGTATTTTAGAACAAACATTGAGGCCTCCAGTTCTTTGCTCAGTTTTGGAAGACTGCTAACATCTAAATGAGGGCCATGTGAAAACAGAGGACAGGCTGCAAAAACCCATTTGGAGAGCAGGGGTGGTCAAAGAACAGGGCTGCACCACACACGCTGTACTTGGGGATTTTGGGGTCACCTGAAATACCCTGAAAGCCTTAGTGAAATTCTGCTATAATTTAAAGAACACAATGGTCTCCTGTAAAGAAACTCTGAAACATTAGCAAGCTCTTCCAATTATCTTACTGACTGGGAAAGTGGGAATCCGAGTAACTAATACGATGTAATACAGAGTCACAGAGGAATGTATGATAGTAAATTTTACTGATGATGCCTATACACTGTATTAGTTTCCACAAAAGACTCATGAACTAGATACTGAAGTCCTCCTTAGCCATGTTCTGACCTTATTTCAAAATCCCAGCTAGATTTGGCTATGCTTTGGAACCTCCCAAAGGGTATTCAGGAACATGGAGGAAATGTTGCTGGACCTTTTTTCTCAAATGCAAAATCTTACTGTACCAGAAAGGTCTTATCTGCCACAGAGAGTTAACTGCCCCATATAAGCAATGGTAATGTGTCTTGGCTAAATTAAAGAAGATAAGTTTAAAACCACCCTAATATATCTGTAAAGATATATTAAGCTGTCAGAAGGATGTACAACGATACTATCTTTATGGAGCCACATTTCTACATCATAAGAATTTTTCCATACCTATTCTTGTTCATGCATTTGTCACCCCAAGCACTAAATTATATTAAGACCAGAAGCTCATTTGCAAAATTATTTCTGCGTCCAAAAAGGTAACTGGTTTTCAGCATATATACATGCACCTCAGCTACAAACACACAAATTTTGGGATCAAAGGAGCTCTCCTCTCCATAAAAAGCCCCCACTTCCTTGCAGTCAAAAGTAGCTGTGGCAGATGATGTAAAGTTGCCAACAGGTCTGGGGGTCAAACTCCAATTTCAACAAAAGGTGTGAATATCAGCACACTTCCTGTCAAAGTCTGCTTCAAACTGTCACACTGCGAAACTAAAAACTATAGACAGGAAGAATCAGCTTAGTACTTGCACAAAACATCAGTTTCTATGTTTCACTTTTTTGTCTTTATTTTAGATACAAATTATGTAGAGCACATTGGCACATAATTTTTTTTACACAGCTGGAACTGTGCAAGAGTCTCACATATAAACAGGAGATGGACTTCACAGGCAAAACGTTTACTAATTTCATGTTGGTCAAAATCTAAATGTGCCATCAAATTTTCCTTTGAAGAAGTAGATCTCATTATGGTTATATTTCAATATATAGAAGTGGCAAAGGCTTTGGTGACTGAAAACGATTTCTATATTTCACAAGGAATTACTGACGTTCAATCTCTCTGTGTTAGTGACTGCAACTCAGCAACACAGCTATTGGAGCTTTGACCCTGCAGGGGCTAAACTGTTAAGTTTTAGTCAAAATAATCAGTAACAGAATCTCTTTAGAAGTGATAGGAGACTATTTTAAAAACCTCAGGTACATTTGTACAATTATTAAAGTCATTGAGATGAAATTCCAAAAATGGCCACATATAAAAGAAAAGCAAGCTATACTCCAAGGCAAATTCTCAAAAGTGCAACACCTACTCTCCTGAGTGGTTCAACTGGCTGACATACATCATCTGACAAGAACACAATGAGTCATGTTTGAGTGCTGAAGTCTGGAAGCCATAGAGGTTCCTTGACCAAGCTTGTGTGCCTTCACTATAGCAATGCCATAACAATCTCAAACAAGCAGCAAGGGGCAACTTATAGGAATAATTTTTGTTATGAATGCATCATTAAAAAGATTAATAATGGAATTCAGTTGTTACACTTCAAAGGAAAAGTTAGATGACCATCAGTGTAAGCTAACAAACTTACTAAAATGTTTCAGGTCTCCAGATATCAAAAAACCCACCACTAGAGACAGTCCTGGCTTTCTTAGTCCAAGTGTAAACATGCTATGTTCTCCCACATGTTATGAACTACGAACACAGCTGGGTAGCAAGCCTTAATAGAGCCAACATCAAGAATCAAATCCAGGCCTTCTATCAGTAAACACATGATTTACTTAAAATACGGGAGGAAGAATAGATGTTGTGATAGTATCAGTCTTTCCCACCTCATGTAGGACTCATTCCTGACACAGAGTTTCTCTGGTGTATTTATACAACTACAGCTTGCAACTACATAATGAGCATCACATTCCAAAAACAGCTATTAAAAAACCTGAATATGATACTGTACACAAGATAACATAACCCTGTTCAGGAATTGATTCTGCTTAGAATTTAGCAGCCATATACAGGAATGAATAAGGGCTGTGTTAAAATGCCCGAGTACTGCACTTTTTCAAAAAGTAATACTGGCTTTGGGGTTATAAAATGGCAAACTTGGTTACTGCAAATAAAAAACCCTGATGCACCAGATCAGAAATAAGTACACAAATCCAACCCAAGTTCAGAAATACTCCATACCAACAATATTACAGCAGCTTTGTAGAGTGGTTCAAATTAAAATCATTAAAACAAAATCTGTTAAAATCTCCAGATTTTTATATTTGTTTTTAATATTTCACAAACATACAAGACAAATACTCTAATGAAGCCACATCAAAGGAAGTAGTAAAGCGTACTCACTCTTAGTCCTGGAAATCCAGGAGGACCAACACCACCAACAATTCCCTTCAAATAAAAGGAATTTTAGATTATCTGAATTTTAGCATTTAAAACAATTCTCAGTGGTAAGATAAACAAAAGTGACCTACAAGGAAAGTCAGCTGGAATTTCTACACAGAGGTCCTGAAAAATGACAGCTTATCACTGTACAGGGGAACACGCTTATTAAAATCCCTGATTGTGGAATCAAATCTCAAGATATTTGCGTCATAAAATCATTCCTGCATTACCAAGGAATATGAGATTTTCTTTTACAATGACATTTAAAATGGAAAGAAGAAAAAGAAAGGTTTTTTTTTTGGGTGGTGGGAATTAAAAAAAAAAAACAAAACAACCAAGCAAAACACCACAAGAATTTATTAAGATTCCTTTGAAAGATAAATAGGAAACCAGCTCAGGTCACAGAAAAACCTTTGCAAATTAAAGGCTACATTCTCTTTATGGAAAAGTATTTCTTGATACAAACTACAGTGTTTGTACTTTATGTAGAAGTAACAAATTCAACAGTACTCTATTACTGCCTCTGCTGCACTCAAGTTTAATTCAGGTAAAACACTCTGGAAAACAGTTGCCAAGTCTATCTGCCCAGTGTGAAAGGGCTATTGCAGACCTCCAGGTCAGCATGCTTTGCCCAGGCTGTCCCAAAACCTGGGACCTAATACTCAATGGATATGATACAGAGGGTTCACTGCAGCACATCAGCACCCATAGTGAAGGGAATTTTCAGGCAAATAAATCTGAGCCTATTCTGAAGCTGTTCAACAGGGAGGGCATGGCTACTGAGCATGGCATGGAGGACACCTTTGTACTCTCCTTCCTCCTCTAGTGCCTAAGCACCTTCTTCAACCTGCTCCAAACTAACCACAGAGGAAAGTTGAATGCTCTATCAACATCCTCCAAGGCAGACTGACATCCTCAGAGAACCAAGAGGGTGATGTGGAAATGAAGGATGGCATTGCTCAGTTAAGCAGAAGAAATTAGGCATGAAGACAAATGTCATTAGTGTCAAGTCAGCACATGGGAAGAAATGTCTTCCCTTCGAGTTCCTGCCACCACAGGCCTCCCAGGCAGCCCCTGCTCTCCACTGCCAGCTCAGGAACAGGCTCTGTAAATATCCCATTAGCATTGCAGCCCCCTGCAGCTGCAGCTCTGGCCCCTTGCCTGAACAAGCCTTGCAGGGCGAGTTCTTGGGGAGGCAGGAGAAGGGTTGCTGCCTGTCAGAGAAGGCAGTAAGATCAGCAGCTGTCTTGGCAGATTAGAAGGAACTTGTCTGTAAGCGGTTGCATTAAAACAGGCTTCTATGTGAAGCGCCAGTCTGTAATTTCAGATCCAGGCTTTTTGAGCTTGTTTCTATTAAAGTACTGGTTTTCTGTGGATCTTGCGGAAAGACAATGTCTGCTTTATCAGGAATGGAGGGAGACTTGGAAGTACCAGGAGGGGAAGGAAGAACTAGCCTTTTTTTGTCATTTGCAAAGCAGCTGGTGACACTCACAATGTCTCAGAGGGCTTTCAAGATGAAAAACACCATACTGACATCACCTGAGAGTCCCACAAGGGGAACTTCGCCTCAGGGACCAAAAATGCAAAGTAGATATTTTCCTATCTTCCAAAATGCTGACACCAAATGTCGATAGTCAACCAGCAAGCTCTTGATGTAAGCTCTTCTACAGTAAAATGGGTGTCAGGAAAGGGCAGGCCTTCAGAAACAAGGCCATTTCTGCCTAGTTGCTGCCTCTGTTCTGTATCAGAACATCCTTTAAACAAAAACTGACAGCAGTTTCCAAAGGAGTATCCAAAAACAAAAGCAGATGCAAAACAGCCGCTCTTTTGTCCAGCACTTACTGCTGTTCCCTTATCTGTCCTGAAGCCCCTTCACTGATTTCTCATATCAAAGGAAACCTGAGTGTGGAGTCTGTAGCCCGTAGGCAAAGTCCCTACAAATACAGTAAGGCAGCAAAGCTCCTTTGAGGGCAGCCAGTGAAGTGACATGGACTGTGTCACAGTTTGAATACTGTACCACGAGAGCACTTTAGCCCGCACATGCTGCCAAGGACAAAGCTGTTATCATACTGATTATAATGCACTAAATGACATGCTAGTGTAATTGTATTCAGTAACAGTTCAAAGGATGAAATCAACTATCAAATGCACAAGCAACCAGTGTATGAAAGCTACGTTTTTGGTGTGCACACAGATTCCCATTTTGTTACGGTGGTCTTAGAATAAAGGTTTAAATAAACAAGGCAAAGGTATAGCCCATGCAAGAATTTCTGAAGACAAAACATTCATCAGTAATGCAATGAGCACAGCACAACATCCGATTCTCAAGGCAGTTAGCACATGCAGCAGTGGAAACTGTGTTCTCTCAGCAACTTTCTGGCTATTTTCTCTCTTTTTTATACCACTACCTACTTCAGTTCTACCCTAGCAATTTCCATGGAAAAGTAACGGTCCAAAATTTTTCTGTGGACTTCAAGACACTACTTTAGAGGCAAAAGTCACCTTTCCATTTGAGAGTGTTACAAATTTTACCATGCTAATCAACACATAATCTGATACTTACAGGATTCCCATCGAGACCAGGGGGGCCTCTATTTCCAAAGTCACCTGGAAAACCCTAAAGCAGACGAGAGAAAGATTGTTCTTTATTATCCAAGACATGAAGGGTGGTTTGAACACAAATTCCAACAGGTATTAGAAATTAGGACATCAGCAAGTGGATTCAGGGTGTGAGACTGAGGAAAGTGAGCAGCAGCTGCACAGTTCAGATGAACAGTAGCTTTTGTCTCCTGAAATCATAACCAAAAAAAGATAACTATACATAATGTAAGCATAAGACAAAATCAGATGACTGAAGTGCTTTAGAAGCAATATTGAACAAGTATTACTTGAATTTTTTTGCTAGGAGTCTCTTTTTCTATTCAGTATTTTTACTTCCATTTTTTCTGTTACCCACAGCATTCACTAAAGCATCTGTCTTTTGTTGTCGCCTTACTCTTTCCCAAATATTAATGGTTGCAGTCTCAGTGTAACACATGTTTATTAGAAATCAACTTTTTCATCTTTCTCACACAACACTGTCCCTAGCAATGTGAATATTTGCCTTACGCTGCACCTAAAGACTTAAACAACCACTTTACTGGCTCCAACTTTTCTTGCTTCCTCTTAGGTTTGTTTTTCTTCTTTCTGATGTTGTCCATTGTCAAGGCACAAGTTGCCTGGGAAAAGTGATTTAGGTTTTGCAGGATTTTTGTTTGGCTTTTAGAAAAAAAAATAAAAATTCTAATTTTAAATTAATGTTTATTGTTTAAGATTTTTATCAGTGTACTATTGCCAGGCAGATCTCACTATTTCCCTAGAAGAACCACATGAAGCTAATACCAAACTCATGCAATATGTTGGAACAACTTTATAGGGTCTTAGTTCCCATCACCATGCATGATACTGTGGATTAATCTGAGACATGCTTAATGCTCCCTGTACCCTCTGTTGGGTTGCTTTTGATTGAAGGTTTTTTTTCTGTATTTTCCTGCAAATACAGGAAAGCAAAAGATAGGAAGGTCTCTCACCACAATTCAATTTTTATTCAGGATTTGATCACGGAAGTCACAAAGAAGAATCTATAGCCACAATTGTAAGATATGACAGTACAGGTCTTTATATTTTTACTGCCTTATTTAGAAAGTAGAGGTTCATAGGTTAATGCTAATAAAGTAGATTTAATTGGTTCTTAATCTGTGCTCCCCGGGCAAATTTCTGCACAACCCTGAAAATGTACTGTAAAATTTCACACATGCAGAATGTATATTTGACAGTGCCTATGTTGTTTAAAGCTACCAGCTGATAAAGACGTAGGCAAAGATTGACTTGCTACCCTTTCTTTAATAGCACACTATTTTGGTTGTACTGCCTGCCATTGGTAGACATTGAAAGAGACAGAATAGCTGTAGCACACAAGAAGATCTTAAAAAAAAAACCAAACCCACAAAAACAACACACAAATGAGGCATCAGAAGTGAAATGGAGAATACAATGGGACAGTTTTACCAGGCACCTAATTATATAAGCAGTTCACATAACAGTTCAGTGTATATAACTGCAGAAGCCCAGCATAGCATGAGTTACGGAAGGGACAGATTACCCACAGTCTTCATAATCCCATTCTCAACAGCATGTTCTAACTAATGCTGACAAAACTTCTTAGTAGAAAAATTAAAGAAAAATGCAACACAGGAGAACAGTTGGAAAAGTCCAAAATTTGAAGTAATACTACTTTTGTGCAACAGGTATTTTATTACATCAACATTACCATTTAACATTACTATAAAGCATGCAAAGAATAACTATTCATAATTGTAATATAAAAGAGAATCTGTTTTTACAGTTAAAACAGACTTGATTAATAAATTTTTGGTATAATTTACAGGGTCTGTTCTGCCACATTGACCACTGGTTGTAACTAACCCCACACAGAAGTAAACAATGCATGTAAAAACATTCTCCCAAATGTGGTCAAACTATGTATGTAAAAACACGATGCATCATACTAACAAGACAGACAAGGCATTAAAAAATCCTTCAGAACTAGCCAAATTTTGTACTACAAGCATACAACGGAAAGAAACTGAATACATATGCATTTCTGTGAAATATTTTCTTTAAAGCATATTGATTGCAAACCTAATCTAAATTTCAAACAAACCCTCACTCTATAATCTTCACAATAAAGACTCTGGCAATTGAATATTTTGTTCCATTTCATATATGCCACAGATGTTACAAATATGAGTAACTACTCAATAAGCCTGCATTTTGAATTGTAAGTGTACAATTCCTTGTATGATCCTCTCATACTTCAATGCTACTTTCCAAAAATGAGCTTATATTTGGGATCTGTTTTATTTCAAAAGGATCTCTGCCAGTCAGGTTGTTTTCCCCCTTAAGTATTATTATTGACAGAAGTTTTGTCCAAAGAAATAAGTTGTATCCTAGAACACACAGTGAGGAGCCTGACTGCAGGCAATACACAATTCTCATTCCAAATTTCCATTAGGGACAGTGCTGGGCCTCAAAGCATCAGTGCTGTTCTCTCAGACATTGTGTCAAAAGATGTTGCCATCACAGCTATCGTCATTAGAGGTTAAAATAACAGACATTCTCTAAGCTTTCAATCCAAACAAAGTGCTTCAAGTCAGGTTCACATGCAATTGCTCCCCTGGTTTTGTTCCTATATTAGTAGCCTTTAGTCAAATGAGTACTTTATAGATCATAGAAAAGATCTGGGATTGAGGAAATAACACTGCACAGGAACCAGGACTGACTGAAGGTACCCACGGGCATTGTGCAGTGGTGCTTTTGGTGCTCTGTCACCTGTGTGAAACCTCTCCAAATTGATTTATATAAATAAAAGTCCTTATCAGAGCACAGCCTGGCACTAAAAGAAGTTGTGCTGTGATTGTAAATGAAAAATAACTGCTTACCACTGCATGCACAGCACCAGCTGTTACAGACTGAAACAAATTACTACACTGGGAATCAGAAGTCTCAGTGAAACCTTTTGATTCAAACTGTAAGTAAGCTACAATACGGTCAACAAGCACAGAAGTACTCTGCTCTGCTAGCTGAGTAATTAAAAAACAGATTCTCTGATTTTATAGCATTTATAGCAGCTTCAGAAAGAGGAGTCTAGCAACATAATGACACTTTGCTTGCCTTTTGTTATATCAGAAGGAACTCTCTCAAAGGTTAGTGCCTTTTTGTGACTGGTTTTAGAATTCTCTGCAATTTTCATAGCATACACAGGGGTCAAATGATGGTAGCCACACTATTACTGCTAAATAAGCCTGTTTAACGTTTTAGATAAGAATCATTTTTCTCAGCGCAAGTGAGTGCACAACTGCATATGGCTATTGCCATTTCCGATCTCAAACCACAAGCAAGTTAAAATTGGAAACTCCTGGGTAGCTTCAAAGACTTAAAATAATAAGGCTGCAGCAGAAAACAAGCACTCTGCATTGAAGATATACCACCGGAAATATGTAAACCTTGATAATGTATACTTGGCAGATTTGTGTTTATTCTCAGCTGTAGAAATGTATGTTGAGGACAGCTTTAATTTACCATTGTCCAGAAATACCAGACATCAGAAGCAGCTGATTTGCATTCAAACCAACACCAAAATCAGACTTACAAAACTTGCATCGTGTCTGCATCTTGCACTAACACTAATTATAGAGAATATATTTATGTGTTTTCTGTCATCTTTTAACCCTTAGGTAACTGGTACAAATAAGCAGCCACAAGGCTCATCATTTTAAGTCTTCCTCACTTCAGAACAGCTAGTACTTGTAATCTGCACAGAATTTTCGGTACTGCAAAGTACTAAATGAAACCAATGAAAAGTCACTTATGGAAAAAATAAAACTAAAACTTTTTGGCTGATTAAGTTACAGAGTGAATTACAGGTGCATTGGCAGCAGAAATTTTAACAAGCATCAAAAGCTGTACCTGTCTCCCTTTAGGACCTCTTTTCCCACGAAAGCCTGGGATGCCCTACGAAAGAAATAACCCATCATAAGTAGATTTTATTTTCTTCAGTAGTTTAAATTCAAGTAATGAACCTCCACTTGGTTGGAAAAGACAACGTGAGAATCATAGAGACAATGTCCTATAAACAGGGAGGCAGAAACACAAACTTTGCTTGTCTTCATTGTGGCCACATCAGAACAACTATAAAGAAGGGCCATGTCCTGATTCCATCAAATTACATGGCCAGACATCCTTTGTGCCCAAGAAAAGCAGGAAAAGGCTCAAGCAGATATTAAAATTTCCAGGACTGGGTTTATTACAAACATCATCTGTCAACTGACAAATAATTATTAATGACTGACTGAATGAAATTGCTTCAATGAAAAATACTCTTTATGGACCCTTGGTGATAAAAAAAAAAATAGCCTTACTCCTTTCAGCTCTAGATTAAATTAAAATAATAATTTAGAGCTGCTGATCCCCATTTAACTTTAGCACAAGTGCATTTAATTGATTAGACTAATTAGATATAACCTATTTATTTCATAGAATCACAAAATGGTTTGGGTTGGGAGGAATCTGAAAGCTCATCCACTTCCAAGACGCTTCCACTGGCAGGGACACCTTCCACTAGACCAGGTTGCTCTAGTCCCACGGATTTATGCACCTCCAGGTTTTTCCCACACCAGACATTTCTTCATTCTCTCAGTCCCTTCCCTTGCCTTCTATGACTTGGGAGGTGTGGCTGGAACATGCACTGGTGAAGCCTAAGGCAAAAGGAGTCATGGAGTACCTCAGCCTTCTCCATGTCCCAGGTGACCAGGTCTCCCATTTCCTTCCAGAGGGGCCCACATTCTCCCTTTTCTTCCTTTTATCCCCAATTTACCTACAGAAGTTTTTCTTGTTGCCCTAGTTTATTCCATATCAGTCTTGCTTTTAGAAAAAGATTCAAAAGAATGGTTATACCGTGTACATTTTTTCCCCCATTCTGGCATACCTTGCATTACCACCCAAACATCAATACTTCATTAATGTTCCAAATAAACCTACCCTTTCTCCTTCAGGTCCTGGTTGTCCTGCCACACCTGGAGGTCCTATGAAGCCCTAAAAAAACATAAGAACAATTCCTGATTACAAGACTGCTTCCCACCAACACTGCTTGTCCTTCAGTATTGGCCAGCTGTGAGTTCAATACCCAGAGATTACATTCAGGCTTATTTGAAAGTACCAGTGAAACTCAATCAACTTGAATTTGTGACTAGGATTTACTCTCCAAAACACAGAAAAAACAATTGCCTTTTACAAGGGTATAGAATCAATTAATAAAGAAGCACTAAGATAGTGTTCCAAAAAGATAAAGTTGCATTAGGGACCTTATTTATTAGAATAAATGAAATATAAAAAAGCTGCTGAAATTACTCTTATCGATGAAATACATCAGAAAACATGCTCTCATCTTTAACAACACTGTGATCACTACTATATGCCAGTCCCAGAAAGTTTACCCTGTCACAGGCAAAGTATTTTTCTTGAAGTTCACTCACAATGCATTTCTCTCCCATCTTCCCCTCAAAGGCAGAAACAGATTCTCTCAAATAATCAGTTGTATGGACACAGAAATATGCTGTTGAAACAGCAGAAATTATAGTACAATTCACAAAAATAATACTCGAGATGAACTCTAAAATACCCGATTCCAACTGAGATTGGAACAGAAATATTAGGTACTAAAAAAGAATCCCTTGCTTTCATATCTCTCTCTCTCTCCAGTCCTCCAACTGTAATGATTTGGGAGTTTTGGGTTGCCCTTTTGAGAGTAAGGAAAACAAAGGCACTTTTTTTTCACCTACAGTTTCTTGAAACAGCTCATAAGCAGAGTATTGTTTACAGGAATGTTCTAAACTTAAAGCTCCGAAGATACTCTCTATGATGTTGCTATACACCTCCACGGCACAGTAGCCTGCCTCAACAGCACTGCATCACCATTTTTCATCGGAAGTTGCTTGTAGAATTCATATACGGGACTTAACCTTAAGACCTGACAGGTGTTCTTCCCTAAAATTACTCATATGTTGGCCATTTTTAGCTTTGTGTAAACAGAGACGTAGTAACTTTTCAGGAAGCGAGTGGGATCACTTAATGTCTTGGTTGAGGGGAGAACGAGACAAATGCATTGAGAATCTAAGCAAAAATAAACTGAAGAAATGTAAAAGATACGATCCCTGAGGGTGTGATACCTGTTGGCACTTGATCCTGACAAACCAATTTTCCCCTTCACTGTAATGAAAACTGACATCAAAAAAACCCACCCCAGAAAACCAGACATATGTTTAAGAAGCTGCTGCAGGTAAAAGCTTCTACATTAAAGAAAGCAAACCAAAATGGGACAACAGCAAATCAAGCAACACAGTCAGATTATTTTAACAGATATTTGAGAACATGGCACACTGCTCAGCAACTTTCACGGCATGAGCTAAGCGCCTGAAAACACCTATCAAAAGGCTCCTTCAGATCCTAGGTGCAACCAGCAACATGCAGATTTCTGGAAACCCATGTCTACTGCCTGATGGTGAGAGTCAGCTGAAAAAACACCTATATACACACAAGCGTATGCAGGCAAGCCCATATGCGTATTAAAAAAAGAAAAAAGGCAAAAACAAAATGCAAAAAGCAAAATGCAAAAACAAAATACAAAACAATCAGACTTCCAAGAAAAAAGCCAACCTATTTTATCTCCAAGAATAATCAAAATCAAACCTTGACTCAGCATAGCATTTAAGAGCATTCAATCCCTGGGACACACATGACTACAATGGAACCATTCCAAAATCTCAAGACCACTTTTATGGCTTTAATGTGACAAGACACTTTCCTTTTATCAACTTCTGTGGCTGTTACAGATTGCAAATGCCAGATATGTCTCCCTTCTTGACAGCTTCCATTATGAAAATAATGCTTCAGGCAGGAAACGTCCACTCCTCTTCACTCCCAGCTCTCACACACCCACATTTAGTACTGCTTTCCTTCTCTTGTCTGCATGCATTCCAAGAGCAAGGGCAACAACGGAAGACTGCTCTATGCTGCTCAAGAAGGAAAAAAACCACTGAAATCCTTACAACATATATTTTGAAAGAAATGCTATGTTTTCTCATTTGTAGGCTCTCTAAAAACATAGTGATCAGCGGGCATACAACTGGCAGAGCTGAATGAAATTCCTCATCCCCCTTCTGATGTACTGTATGGGTAAAAATAGACACACATGCCAAAATTCTTAAAATGCTTACTTACTCTTACACCCTTAGGACCTGGGTTACCTTCTGGTCCAGCTAAGCCCTAATACAAAAAGACATGAGTTGCACTTCATCTTAAGGAACTAGATATACTGTATTTAAAAGAACTGTAACAGCATTTGTTAACTATAAACTGGCAATACAGTCTTAAATTTATTAAGGTTGAAGAGGGTGTCACCAAGCAGCCCCCTGGGACCATGTTCAGAAAGGTCTCCCATTAATTCATGGCTGAAACTTAGACAATGACTAAAAATTTCTTTATATTGAAATTATTTCTTCTGGGAGGAAATTTTTTTCCAGACCCAGTGATCTGGCATTTCAGTGACGGAATTACACAGGATTTGTCATAAGCTTTTATATTTGGACACATTTCCCATTATTTTCAAGCTAATGTCAGAATAGCATATGTAGTCCAAATGCACTAAACATTTTATATGATTCAATACAAACATGTTATCAATCGTTACTATATAAAATACCTGCAGTGGAATTTGAAAATATATTGCCATTACAAACCTTACCCAATAAAACACTGAATATTGGTCAAATTCACCCTTTAAGCAGATACAAAATCACAAAGTCAATTGCCGAATTTGGCCCATATATGGGGAAAGCAGTGATTGCTTCTACTTTATGTCTTATTTGTATTACTGGAGTGAGGTATCTGTTAGCTTACACGTAAACTAAAATAAATAAATAAATAAATCAGTATTTATATAATTGCCTTGTATTTATAGAAAGCTGCTTTCTGGTTTTAGTGATTCTCCTTCTCAAATATCTCAGTGGGGCAGGGGGAAAGAAAAATATCTTTTAATGTTCTGTTTCCCTAAAGGGCTGAACAAATAATTTCAGCAGTGAGGTAAATATACTGATGATCATCAGGAGGAAATACACTACAACAGGTGGCTTCCTATTGCTTTTGGACTTGAAATACGAAAATAAAACACATAGAACCACATGAAGTTTATGAAGGAGTGCAAAGTTTTCAGACATTCAGTGCTTTGGTAATGTCATTTATGTATTCCAGAAAGGTAGTTGTACTGTATCTAAACCATCCAAGTTTAAACGACATGAGACTCAACATTACCTCGTGGGCACTACCTCTGAAAGCGGTTTGTTTCAAGGATGACAGCATGCAAACAAATATATTTATACTATTAGTAGTTCTAAAAGAGTTAGATATGGTACTTTTGAAAAGAACAAATAAGACCACCCCCAAAACTGCAAAGACATTAGTATAGTTACTGCACCTGCCTGCCAGGGTAACCAATGACCCCAGTGTTGCCAGCCATTCCTGGAATTCCCTGAGGGGAAAATGAGGTGGGGGAAAAAAAATTAGAAGTTTTGAAGTTTATTTGTTTTAGGTTTTAGCATTTCTCTTTTAGCACCTAGTCATGTGACACAGTTTAAGCTCATTAAAAAAATGCTTTTAGAGCAGGCTACACAGCAACACCCTGCAATGAACTCATCACATATACGTAACTCCACCAATTTCAATTACATATCGTTTAAAGAGCATTACAAGAAGAGTAGTCTAAGATTTTGTGAAATACAAGAGTGTACCCCTTATTTCCATAATAAAACCACAAATGCTATTCACAAAGAGTAACTGAGGAGTACTACAAAAGACAGGTCCTTGTAATTAAGTAAATGCACTAGTCTCAGCAGCATTTGAACATTTCATTAAAGAATCCTTGTGTCCACCCTTACAAAGCCAGTTCTGTTTCTCCCAGAATCAGGTCATTATAGCACTGAATTAGTCACAAATGCATAGAACTTCTCTCCATCTTCTTTCTCCTAATCAAATCCAAATGCAATTTCTCTTGGTTTATTACTTAACCTACCTGTTTATTTCTGAGAAAATACACTTTTCTGAAATGGTGCCAAATGCCATGGGTCCATTACAGGTCCAGACACAGGAGGATCCCCCCACCACTGCTCAGTTCATTTTATTTTAAACAAGCCAAGTCCATAAACTGGACATTCTCCCAGCCTAACCCTTCCACTTACTGTCCTATGTCAGTGTTAACATAGCAATGGATCGAGACTTCCTGCCCGAGCTGTTCAGAGCAGATTTATGGTGGAACAGCAATCTCAGGAAGCAAACCCTCGAAGTGCAGATGAAAAAAAAAGGGGCTGCAATATTTTTTGTTTAAATAAGATGCCATTGAGATGATTCTATCACCTGCTTTCAACCAATAGTGATCCATCTTCTGACAGTTCATGGAACTGAGATTTCTGCTCCCCTATTTTGGCACAACTGTACCTCTAAATATGGGTATATGAAAACAAAAAACCAGAAAAACACCCCAAGCAGTAGAATCACTGCATTTTCAACTTATCTTTTAACACCTTTTCTTAGTTACCAGCTGTACAAGGAGTTCCACAATTCACAAATTCAGAGGAATGTCTGTCATCATTGTGCAAGCTTCTAAAATCTACAAAACAGGTAGGTGCTGCAGATGACAAGTAACTGGTCTAATTCATCACCTTCACCAGACAGGCCTGAAAATACCACCAGTAAGAACTAAGTGCAAAATAAAACTCTTGTATCCAAAGTGTTCTCTTAAAAGTTACATTAGAGTATTTTCTAAGTGATAATAATGAAGTAAACTATTTACAGCAGCATTTAAGAATGAACACTGAGATATCAAACATTTGCACATCACCAGTTTTCACATTCTTGACCATGAATTGCCTTCGAAGGAACTTACATGCTTTATTGTGTGCATACCAAGCAGAACTACTTTTCCATAAAAGCTTCACTTTTTTCCCCTCCATGGCAGCAACTGATTAGTTTTCACCTGCAACTTCTTCATAGATGGAGACACTCTTCTCCTAATGTTAAGAATGCCTTTATTTTTTTCCACTGGCTATCTCTTTATCTCACTACTATCTCATAGTCACCACAGAAAAATGCCTGTAGGCCTATAATAAAAATCACCATTCAGTGAAAATGTGTGTATAAAACTCACTGAAGTCATGGATGATGTTTACGAGTTTTCACCTTCCTTCAGGTGCCTATCATCTGTTATCATCACCATTTCCCTGTCAGTGTCATTCAAAAGGAGAGTCAGGCTTCCATCTACTCTGCCATTAGGACTCTCATTAATGTTAACAAGACACATCAGCAACTGGATGTCTTTGAAACTTACATTCAGACTGCTTCTTCAACTGACATGGAAATGAAAAAAAGCACTAAATAACAATTTTGTTTTCTAAATGCTACGGGATTTTAAATGCATTAAATCAGTTGTGGTTTTGAGAGATTCCAACCTGTGCCTCTAACAAGAATGTTACTTCAACCTCCACCAAGCTAGTGTAGTATTTGAAGAAAAACAAGCTGGTCTTTTTCCATTTCATTTAGACAATTTTTTACCACACTGGTCTCTAAATAATCTAAATTCTTGCCCAAGAACTATCAAATATTTCCTTATGCAGCCAGTAATTTAAACTGATTGTTTGTACTGAACACTTATTTTGGATTATGCCACCTTCTACCCTCAATTGTTCATCTGTAGAGTATAACGTACTAAGCTTTGAACACTTACCTGCTCACCCCGTGGCCCTTGCAGTCCCACATAACCCTTAAGACCCTGCAGGCAGAGAAACAGGTAAGTAATAAATACAGTTAAACACACAAAATGGACAATTTTTTTTCCTGCTCCAAACTCCCTTTATCAAGGAAAAGTTATCTTGACTTCTTTGCCTGCAGCATTAGTGTGGTTTACATTTAGCAGCTCATATGAAAGCTGAGTTAGAGAAAAGGAGTAAGAAATCTTCAATGCAGTCTAGAAAATTCCTAGGTATCAGCATGCTTAAAGACAGCTCCAGACTTCTACTCTTTTAAACAAATAAATACATGGGATGCTGTCTCCAGTTACTGATGAAACTGAAGAACTGGATTTGGTACACTGCATTCCCCCATTTTGAATCCTTGCCATGATGGCCTTTCGAACAAGGCAGCTCAGAAGGGGTGTAAGCAGAGGGTCATCCCAGCCTATATTAGGACACTCTCAAGACAAACAGACCTTCCAGAGCACATGATACCTCTTTTTAAAATTAACATAGAACAAATTCCAGCCCTTATATTACAGAATTTATACCAGTAGGGAGAATAGCCTGTTCCGCATCCCAGACCTCTTCCCTATGGTGCTGGAATCATGAAGCTGTCAAACTTCACTCCCTGTGCATTTCTCAGCTCTTAAACTAAAAATAGAATTAAAAATAGAGCTGGAATCTGCCATTTGCAACAGTACACTTGAAAGAGGAACTTTCTTCTTGGATGCCTTTTCACTAAACATACCCAGACAAGCTAGCCTAAAAGGGAGGCTGTTAGCAGTCGCACGATTGATGCAGAAGCCAAGTATCTGGTCTCCACGTCCCTTGCAAGAGGAACTGGGAATATGTAAGTTACAAAAGCTGCAGCTTGAAAGGGAAAGACCAAAATAATCCCTATTCTGGATAGAAATCCATCATAAAATTGGCCTTAAAGACATTGATTGAGTAGCGGGAGAGTCTTGGCTGATGTCAAACATCTGGCTGCCTTGTGGCATGATGACACTCATTAGTAGAGACTTGAGACCCACTGTAATAAGAAGGAATTCTGCAACTGATTTCAGCAGATCAGGTATCCCAAATTTTTAAATAAGCTTCTGCATGACCACAAGAGTATTTCTGCATGAAATCAATTTTATTATCATACAAAATTAAAAGATGGAATAATTTTGCTTGCTGATAGATAATTTTAGACAATAGAAGACCATATATGAAAGGCTTCAAAATTTGACCTTTGCTATTACAGGCTATTTGAGAAATCTTGATCCAGAACAGATGTACTCATTAAGAAACCTAAACGCCTCATTTTCTCAAAACCCAACAAAGCACGCGTGTCCTTTCATTTTGCTTATCATGCACAGAGCATTGCCAGTTTGCAAAACTGTAGTGCATTCTGGCTTCAATCCTTTCCTGTAGCTTAAGTAGTTTATACGTTGTCTTGTATGTAAGGAAGCAGGTCTGCACTGCTGTTGGGGCAAATGTGAGTGTGGTGGAACAAAATAGCTGTAACGCAGATAGCCAGGAGCTGAAATTCAACAAACTAGTTAATAACAATATATCCCAATTTACTACATTAATGCTTGTCTAAAATCAGATTTTTCTTATTGAATTGCTAAAGCAGAACTTAGATGCCAGCATAAGCCAGTAACACATCTTCAGCTTTCAAAATGTGCCTCAATGCCATATATTTTTTTATCTCCCAGCCCATTCTGCATTTCATGAGTTTTATCCATTTCAGAATTTTATCCTCTCTCTATGCTTAAACAATCAACTAAAGTAGGTGCTGCTTTAAGAGATCTCTCAGGTTTTTATTTCTGTACAAGGAGAAAAGGAAAACAAATGCTGCTATACACAGAAACAATCACCGAGAAGTTTATCACAATTTCTTTTCAAAGCGGATCAGTTTAACTGATTAACATCTGTATGGACAGTCTCAAAAGAAGGCACACAAGGAACTGTGAGCTTAAGAAGGATGACTGATAACTGGTGTGCATGTTTCTACACAACATCGTCTCACTTCTGCCAGAGAAAACTGCTCTGAAATCGTATTTTAGAATCACATGCCCATATTCTTAATCAGAGCTTAAACAGCCTTAATTCATTCTGACCTACTTAAGTTGGGAATGAAGTTAAACTATGCTAAAGTGAGTATCACCCCAAAGGAGAGAGTTTTCACTTAGGGGTTTCCCTTTCCTGTGATTTACTAATCCTTTCAAAATTCTTAGTTTTTTAGTAGCTTGGCTTTGTATTCTTAAGCTTACCCATTAAATAAGACCCAGTTTGCTCTGAACTATGATGAAAGTAAACAAGAATGCAGGTTCATATGTGCTTGTTTGATAAATGAAATACCTCCCAATTTCTAACGAAGATTAATGCTCTGATTTCAAAGCTCAATGTGGAAGAGAAAGGTTTGAGGCATCCAATTACAGCAATACAGACTTGAAGCACATCACAAAAATACAGCAAGTTGCAAGAATACTTAGGTCTGCGTGAGAGGAGAAAACTTTACCACCAATAAGACTCAGACGAAACTTAAGTGTCTGACTTCTACCATATGCCTAGCACAGTGAGACCCAGACTTAATGAAGTCCGTATATATTAAAATGTAGATATTAAACTGTAACAGCAAGGACTGTTAAGCCAAGTCTTTCCATCTTACTGGTGCCCACTGTGTTTTACCAGAATTTCTATGCATTTGTTATTAAAATACATCTGGCACAACACCAGCAACTTTGCTAGAAAGCCAAGAGGTTTTCTGCAACATTTAAAATTCAGTAAGTGAAGTCTTACACCCAACACTATAACACTATATACAGCCATCAGATATACAGAAATATTAATCTATGGAAAGTGACAGAAAAGGGGCTGCATTGCACAGGTACTACAGTCATTCTAATGTATTGGCATGATCCCAGGCAAATTAATGTTCAGGAGTACTGTCCTTTGGATGACAATCTATCAACCAGTACTCTGGCTAGCACAACCAAGGTGTCCTGGGTTCAGCAGTAGCAGTCATTTTTCTCCTTCTTGGTAGCTGGTGCAGTGCAGTGTTTTGACTTTCGGCCTGGGAACAGAGCTGATAGCGATGTTTTGGTTTGGCCAAGGACTTTGTGAGCCTCATGCTCTGCCAGGGAGGAGGGGAAGCCGGGAGGAAGCAGAGACAGGACACCTGACCCAAACTGACCAAAGAGGTATTCCATAGCACAGCACGTCATGCCCAGGATGTAACTGGGAGTTAGCCGGAAGGGCTGGGGGACTGCGGGGTTGGAGGAGGTATCGGTCGGTGCTTGGTCGGGCTGAGGGGGGGCAAGTTATCGGTCGGCTGGTGCTGAGGTGCTGTATTCTCTTCCCTTTTTATTTCCTTTATCATTATCATTATTGGTGGTAGCAGTAGTGATTTGTGTTATACCTTAGTTACTAAACTGTTCTTATCTCAACCCGTGGGAGTTGCATTCTTTTCGATTCTCCTCTCCGTCCCTCCGAGAGCAGGGGGAGGGCAAGAAAGGGGGTGAAGTGAGCGAACGAATTACCTGACTGGGTTTAAACCACGACACAAGGACTCACTTGTCTGTACAGTGAAGAAGGCCCTTTCTGGGGAGATGGGAAAGGAAGGGACTTCTGCTCTGTGAGGTCTCTGGACTGATAAAAGTTTTGAGTGCTGGTGTAGAGATGGTCCTGTCAAGACAGCTCCAGACAAGAGATCGCACAACTGCTCTGGAAATAGCACTCTCCTCAGACTATAACCCTCATCTCCTGCCATTGCTTCTCTGCTTCAAAAGATGCCTAAAAGAAACACAGCCACTAAACACTTCAAAACCATGCAATTTTGTGTTCTTATGCTAGAACAAATTTGGAGCCCTACCCTGAGCAAAACTTGGCTTTTTATAGTGTCTGTGACAGGCACGAGAAATATGGCATATCTTACATGCAACCCCAAGGACGCGTACTCCGACACATGGCATGTAATGAAAAATGAAGTCAATCACAATAATCTGTTACCAGAGTCCCGATTATTAACATGTTTGGTTTGCCATCTCACTAAAAACCCCCTGTAGCTTCTCAGCTTTTTATGGAGAAACACATCATTTTACAATTCTAATCCAAAACAGTAGTTTTCTAGTGCTGTTCTATTCCACTGAGGGCCTCAAAATCTCTCAAAAGTCATTTTTGTCAAAAAAGTGAAAACAATAAGCACATCTGCCTCAAATTTCCATAACACATAGTTTTGTATAAGCACCAAATAACGCTGCACAGGAAATTCAGCATCAGGCAAATTCTGATTAGAAAACTTGTTCAACACAGTTTCTTCCACAGCCACCCTGTAAGGGGGCAATCAGGCCCAGTGGAAGGCAGGAGGCATTGAAGTACACCCTCCACTTCAGCTCTCCACAGTCACCACTCCAGTTAATGAGATATGGAAGATTAATTCAATAAATAAAACCCATCAAATTTCTAGGTCTTACAGGAAAACACTGACAAAAGTCAGTATGACAACAAACAATTGCTGTGAAACAAACACAGATCTCTATTACACTATTAAAGATAACTGGAAGAACACTAGAGATTTTACTCATTATCAAATATCTCACTGCTTAGAAACTGCCCAGTTAACAGAACCCAACTGTCAAAATTGAGTAGAATTTGGGGCACCATTAACTCATATGTAGGATTTTTTTATCTCCCTTTTTGCCGGGATGAAAAAGAGTATCAGATATACGTTATTTATTCAATACTGCAGCAATTCCCTGGTAGTGCTGGGGTACAAAACAAAAATGGAAGTAGCTATTTTTCTGCAATTTATTTGTTGTAGCTGGTTTACTTCACAGCTACTCATGCTCACATTCCTTTGAAAATAACTTCTGAGATCACAATGAGCTAACAGTGTGAATTATTTATATATATTGAAACTGCATTATTTTATTGACAGACATTGAAAAGCAGTAACTAAAGATAATTACTTCAAACAAATTGTGGGCTTGTCATTAAAAAAACAAGTGTGAAATACTTCAAACTTTTTAAAGGTCTAGTGTGTTCAAAAGCTGGTATTCTTACAGTCCGGGTCAGGCAGAAGTTATCTTAAGCATGGATCTAAGTTAATGACTGATGTGTACAAAACAGAAACAGAGATTAACATTTTCACTGATCAAGTGAGCACTATTCTCCTGAGTCTCTAATCCTCAAAGGAGTGAATTCTTGTGGCAGGAAGAGAGCAGGATACCCATGAGATTTTATTTCCCCTGTCCCCAAATGTCAGCCCTGTCATCCAGAACAAGTGACAGCTGCTTCCCATCTAAAAACCCCTAGAACAAAACCTACTTTGTTTTCAGAGCAAAACTATAAACCTGCTGAAATAAGAAAGCATGGTATTTGGGAACCTCAAGGTGTTCCAAGATCAGCAGATACAAAAGCTATCAGCGAATAGGATTGTAGGTTAACCCTCAACAGAGGCAATGCAAGTTCTTGTCACAGCTATAAGTTTTCTCTATGAGAGAATGGGGCAAAATAAATGTAGCCCTCCTTCTGGTGTTAATATCAGTGATGCCTTCTTTTTCTGGTCACACTGGTTACCCTGTTTTGGTCAATTCTACAAATGAATTACTAGACTAATTAAAACCTGCCATACACTTTAAGCTCAAGACAATGTTGATTGAAGCCATCTTAAAATATAACACTGAATATAAATTGTGTTGCAGGGTCATTTTTCTTTTGTTTCAATAGCAGGCAAGAATTAAACAAACATTCCTTCTCTGTGTCAAAAATTAAGGCAAAAAATACCAGGGCCTCCATTTCTAACAATTCATCCCATCCTTCTGATGAACAGTTTACAATTGCCTTCAGTGTTAACACGCTCCTTCAAATTTCTGCTGGGCTGTTCTCCATATTTTTCTATTACATTTAACACCAAACTACCTTCTGCAAAGGCAGCATTTAATAGTACTTTCCCTCCAGCTTTCTTGCTGGTTTTTGCCACCTCACCACTTTGTCACCAGAGTAATCACAGCCTTGTTGACTGGATGAATTCTCATTCCAAATAAACTATATTCACTCCCTCTTCTTAAGGTTGTCTGATTTCCTTTATTGACATCCTTTGTGTTCCCTTCCAAAAACTATATGTATGCCTTATGCTTTCCTGTGTACATAAGACTACCATAATTTGGGTATATTTCTTAAATGCAGTGTGGCACCTGACATTTCTCATATTAAAACATGTCATGTTACATGGCATTCAAAATTGGAACTTATTCCACCCGAGTTCTATTTTAGCAATTCTGGCAGATGTGGAAAAAAGCAAATAAATCAGTGCAGAAAAACTGAGCACATGATCCCATGGACTTTATTCTATACTACAAAAAAGAGCAGACTTTGGCCTCTTCAGGAACCTGCTTCAGAAGGTTCCATGGGATACAGCCCTAGAGGGCAGAAGGGCCCAAGACTGTTGGTTGATATTCAAGGATCACCTGCTACAAGCTCACGAGTGTTGCATCCCAACCAGAAGGAAGTGCAGCAGGAGGATGCATGGATGGATAAGGAGCTCCTGAGGAAAATTCAATTGAAAAAAGAGGCTTATAATAAGTGGAAGCAAGGACAGGTGGCATGGGAAGAGTACAGGGATATTGTCTGAGAAGCTAGGGACCAGGTTAGGAAAGCTAAGGCTCAGTTAGAATTAAACTTAGCTAGAGGTATTAAAGATAACAGGAAGGGATTCTACAGGTACATAGCAAATAAAAAACAGACTAGGGACAATGTAGACCCCCTCAGAAAGCTCTCAGGAGAACTGGCTACACAGGATTTGGAGAAGGCTGAGGTTCTGAATGACTTCTTTGCTTCGGTCTTCACTGCCAAAGGCTCTGACTGCACCACCCAAGTCTTGGAAGGCAGATGCAGAGACTGTGAGAATGAAGACCTTGGGCCCACTGTAGGAGAGGAACTGGTTTGAGACCATCTTAAAAATCTGAACGTGCACAAGTCCATGGGTCCTGATGAGATCCATCCGCGGGTCCTGAAGGAGCTGGTGAATGAAGTTGCTAAGCCGCTGGCCATCATATTTGAGAAATCATGGCAGTCAGGTGAAGTTCCCGATGACTGGAAAAAAGGGAAATATAACCCCCATTTTCAAGAAGGGGAAAATGGCTGACCCGGGGAACTACAGACCAGTCAGTCTCACCTCTGTGCCTGGCAAAATCTTGGAGCAGATTCTCCTGGAAGGCATGCTAAGGCACATGAAAATCAACAAGGTGCTTGGTGACAGCCAGCATGGCTTCACTAAGGGGAAATCCTGCCTGACCAATTTGGTGGCCTTCTATGATGGGGCTACAGAACTGATGGACAGGGGTAGAGCAGTTGATGTCATCTACCCGGACTTGTGTAAAGCATTTGACACTGTCCCACACAACATCCTTGTCTCTAAATTGGAGTGATGACAATTTGATGGATGGACCGCTCGGTGGATAAAGAACTGGCTGGATGGCTGCACACAAAGAGTTGTGGTCAATGGCTCAATGTCCGGCTGGAGACCAGTAACAAGTGGTGTCCCTCAGGGATCGGTGTTGGGACCGGTCTTGTTCAACATCTTTGTCGCTGACATGGACAGTGGGATTGAGTGTGCCCTCAGCAAGTTTGCCGATGACACCAAGCTGTGTGGTTCGGTTGATACGCTGGAGGGAAGGAATGCCATCCAGAGGGACCTTGACACGCTCGTGAGGTGGGCTGATGCCAACCTCATGAAGTTTAACCATGCCAAGTGCAAGGTCCTACACCTGGGTCGGAGCAATCCCAGGCACAGCTACAGGTTGGGCAGAGAAGAGATTCAGAGCAGCCCTACGGAGAAGGACTTGGGGGTGCTGGTTGATGAGAAAATGAACATGGGCTGGCAGCATGCGCTTGCAGCCCAGAAAGCCAACCGTATCCTGGGCTGCATTAAAAGGAGCATGACCAGCAGGTCGAAGGAGGTGATCTTGCCCCTCTACTCTGCTCTTGTGAGACCTCACCTGAAGTATTGTGTGCAGTTCTGGTGTCCTCAACATAAAAAGGACATGGAACTGTTGGAACAAGTCCAGAGGAGGGCCACGAGGATGACCAGGGGACTGGAGCACCTCCTGTATGAAGACAGGCTGAGAAAGTTGGGGCTGTTCAGCCTGGAGAAGAGAAGGCTGCGTGGAGACCTCATAGCAGCCCTCCAGTATCTGAAGGGGGCCTATAGGGATGCTGGAGAGGGACTCTTCATTAGAGACTGTAGTGACAGGACAAGGGGTAACGGGTTCAAACTTAAACAGGGGAAGTTTAGATTGGATATAAGGAGGAAATTCTTTCCTGTTAGGGTGGTGAGGCACTGGAATAGGTTGCCCAAGGAGGTTGTGAATGCTCCATGCCTGGCAGTGTTCAAGACCAGGTTGGACGAGGCCTTGGGTGATATGATTTAGCGTAAGGTGTCCCTGCCCATGGCAGGGGGGTTGGAACTAGATGATCTTAAGGTCCTTTCCAACCCTAACGATTCTATGATTCTATGATTCTATTCTAAAATACGTAATACAGAAAAAAGAAATTAAAAACCTATTATTGAAGATTGAATAAAATTGATTTAAAAATGGCTGTATCTCGCAGGCAAGCCTATCTTCCGTACTACCTATTCTCTTTGAGCAGGGGCATGTCATACCTAAGCAACTTTGACTTTCATTCTATTGCAATCTCACTTAATTTAGTTGCAAAGGAAGGTTTTGTGCTGTTCGCTCTGGTGCCTGACAGAGCAGACAGGTCACTGTATCAACAGCAGGTCCAAAGCCCTTCTGTCACCTCATAATCAGCACACATCCACCTAATGCCCACTGATTTCTGCCACAGAGGGTTACACAATAATAGAAACAGAACCTTACCTTTTGGCCTTTGATCCCAGGTGGGCCTGGAAAGCCTATGGGGCCTGGATCACCCTGTACAACAAAAACATGCAGAATCACTATGTCTCACTGAAAGATGACACAGGGCTATAAACATGTAGGGCTTCATATCTTCCTTGCATTCTTGGACATTCAGTATGAAGTAACAGCTAATGTTGTTAGATCAGGCATAGATTTTTTTAAAATTTTACTGTTTTTTTAACAGGAATAAAATTGAAAAGACAACAGCTCCTCAACTGCGACCACCTGATGCAATGTGCATGCTCCTGCATCATACAACATGGCCAAATCATGGCTGGAATAGACTTAGTTCACAATCTTGCATTTACTTTTAGCCAACATAAACGGAATTGAAAAAGCTATACAATTCTTGAAATAACCCCTTCCTTAGAAGTGAGTGGTTTCACCTCAAATAAATAAATAAAAAAAAAATACTGTTTATTGTTTGTGTTCCTGTTATGCCAACAATCCTCAACCAGAAATCAGAGCACCGTTATGGTACATATACTGCCTAAAACATGGTGTAAATCTACTCTGTGTAAAAGACAACATAAAATACTCATATAGACAAAGGTGTTATGCTGGTATATGGCTTACAGTGGCATATAGCAATTCTCATTCAAGTTCTTTAAGCTTGCAACTACATAATGGCATGAATAAGAATTAGAGCATATTGAATGCTAGGGAGATGGAAAAAAAGGTGCATTTTTATCTGTTTTTTGCAGATGGGGGAGGAGAGAAGGTTGTTTTTGTTCTTTTTTCCTTGCTCAGGACTGACAGTGAAGAGACTCTTTCAGGATTAGTGCCCAAATTCAAATCCAGTGAGTCAAGGGACAGATCCTGAAAGTGAGTTAACATCAAAGTAAATTCAAGTCCATTTCTCAGAGTAAGCAAATTTGACTTGCATGAAAATTCAAGAACCTAAAATAGTGAGAACTGTAAAAATGCATATCAATCCCATAGCTTTTTGATTATACATGAATCTTACATGTACTTAGGTGTAGGTCATACATATACATGGGTGGGCTTTAGACTGTTCTATGACAGCTTGGCCATGCCAAAGAATATAGCTTGAGTTTCATTTAGACACACAGAGCTCCCAACACTATGATTAGATTGCCAAAAGCAAAAGCTGGCTAGATTAAAATAATGTTGCTATTTCTACTAAAGTTGCATTTAATTTTCTTATCAGTGTATCAACAGACGCATTTCTGAATTCTATTCAGTGGCTCTTTAACATCGAAAACATATTTGTGAATTTGAGGGTTTGACAAAACGTATGCATTAAAACCAAATAATTATGTGTACATCAGCAGCTAGTAAACAAAAGCTATTTGCTAATGCTTGCTTCATTATGGATATTGGTCCTTGATTCCTACAGTGCTTTCTACTTAGCACAAACATTCCACAATTGAACTACTAGCAAATGCTCTTAATAAAACCTAGCATAAATACAAGCTATTCTAAAAGATATAGCGTAGGTAACACACTACAATGAAAACACGCAAATACATTTTCAGTATTATCACATTCATTATAAAGTCTCATACATAGTCAGCAGATTTGTGATCTAAGAATGAAAGACACAAGCTTTCAAGCCCACAAGTTCTATGAAGAACCATTTTAAATATCTATACTCAGATATTTTTGGCAGAGAGAGCAAACACTAGTTTGGCTAAAGCACGAAATACCTGAAGTGAAAGGACAAATCTTAGCATCGAGAGTCTGTTAAGAAAGTGGTTAAATACAACACAACACGCAATAATGTGTGTCATCACCAGATTTTACCTTAAACAACTGTCTGAACTAATGCAACGTACTGAAGAAAACTGAAATCTGCACTTCGTTATACTAGGGTGAACTGAATTCAATTAAACTGTTCTAAAAGTACATCCTTTTAAATTGTTTTATTTTTATAAGTGAAATCAATATGTTATTTAAGTTTCAGCTTTGACTATAGTTTTCTATTTTCTCTGGCTCATTATATCACTTGTGCCTGCATTGGCCAGCCTCACATAATTGTCAAAATACACCAGCATCACAGTAAATACAAAGTATTGTGCTGCTATAGCTTGTCTGAATATTAACCAAGACTTCCACAAAAGAATGGGACAGACAAAACATTTCTCTATAACTAAGAAAATATTACCTTTTCTCCACGTTTCACCTGTCCTGGAGAGAATCCTGGGTCTCCTTTAGGGCCCTGTTGCAGAGAAGTTAAGCACATTAATATTATCGGGAAGACAGTTTTGAATAATATATGCAAAACAAGTATTTTCAACTACTACAGCAAGAGGAAGGAAAATGTTCATATAAAATGCACTCATTATTGCAGATTTTTTTCTCACAACTTTTTCAACTAAGAACAAAATATAATAGTGTGAGTTTGCATTAAAATACGATTTACATTTTCCAAATTTCATAATCATAGAATGGTTAGAGATGGAAGGAATCTTAAAGCTCATCTAGTTACAACCCACAACCAATGGCAGGAACACATTCCACTAGATCAGGTTTCTCCAAGGCCTGTCCAACCCAGCCTCGAACACTGCCAGGGATGGGGCAGCCACAGTTTCTTTGGGCAACCCATTCCAGAGCCTCACCACCCTTACAGCGAAGCCCTTACTGGTTAAGTTTTAACCTATTACCCTTTGTCCTATTGCTACAGTTCCTCTTCCTTATTTTTAATCTAAAAAACCAAACAGCCATTGTTATGCATGGCCTTCAGCAGTAAGATCGACAACACGTCACCACAGGTCAAGATGCGAGGATATAAAGCACTGCATTATTTAACCTATGTAACACTACAGTTTACTCAGAAGAGTGCCAGAATCCACAAACAAGATTTTTCTTAACTAAACCACTTTTCAGAAAGCCAGGAATGCATCTAACACTCATGAATACTTCTATATTACTTTAACAACACCCACCAACTGTTTATCAGGAATTAAATGCCAATTAAACATCAGCTATCGATTGGAACTACTAGATTATGCTCAGGGCTGGATACTATAATGTAAGGGCATTAGCCAATGTTGTTCCATGCTTCAAAAGCAAGTCCGTAAGTGATGGTTCAATACAGGAGGGAAAATGCATGCAACTCAAAGGCAGAATAAGATTCTACATTAATTTACTGCCAGAAAATAGTGGCAACTTGTCTGCTATGTTTTAAGATCAAACAGAAGTGTTCTGTCTCAGTTTACGCGGTTGGTGCTGGTCAACTGGATCTTCACAGTTACAGACTGGTTAGCACCTAACTATTTTTTTATTTAAAATGTTTCAGAATATACTTGTATTGAAAGGATAATTTACAGTCTAACAGAAATGAAAGAGATCACTAAGCACCTAGTAATATACACATGTATTTTTTATAAATATATAAAATACCTATAAGCACAAGCACACACACATATGATTCCTTCTAAAAATCATGGAGACAACTACAAAACTGACTGGAATTACGATCCAGCAGAGGAGAAAATACATTCTAAAACAAGCCCTAGGAGTAATTGATTACAATTATTTTCCCAGCAATGTATTCTACTACACAGCCAGCATAAATACAGTAAAAATTAATTATGAATCTCAAAGTTTAACTGTTCTTATATAACTAGATAATAACAAAGCACACACAAGAACCAGGGTGACATTGTTTTACAGTGTTTGACACTGAAATTAAATTTCTTTTTATGTCCTCAAGCAGTTTTTAACACCTGTCACTAAAGGTCAGATTCCTGCAATTAGGAATGGTACTAAAATCATGGTTACTGCTGTTTTTTTCCTAACATATCTATCAAATTGTTCAAACTAAATATGAGTTGAAGGCATTCTCCAACTGCACAAAACTGTCAAGTCTATTTAAAGGGCCTGTGTCACAAAAGTTGGAAGGGTTTTATCTGAGCTTTCAGTCTAGTATTTTGCCTTTGGTTTTATCTATCACATCCATAAATCTTCAGAATATTATTCTAACATATTAATCACATGAAAATGTCAGAAATATGAGAATATTTAAATATCAAAGCCTGGCTATTGACAAAAAAAAAAAAAAGGCAATGCAAAAAAGGTTATAGCAATTAAATATTTATTCTACTTAAATTCAAGTTTATCAAAGAGGCCAAGCTGATTTACAGGAACTCTTTTGGGAAGTACAGACTACTAGCACGGATAACAGTTTCCAAATCATCATTCTGCACACAAAAGGGTTTCCCCACCCTGAATAAACTGCTATTTTGTGTTGATTTGAGGTCCAATTTCATTGATTTAATTAAAATATATTTATACTAACAGTCTCTACCTGTAAACCAAAGAAGGCAAATTACTTCTATTACAGGCAACAGTTCTGGAGCTTCCAAAAAGCAATTAATAAGTTGTTTACATGGCAACATGGATAAATATTAACTCACCTTTGGACCTGGCAATCCTGGCAAACCTGGATTACCATGTGGTCCTGGAATACCCTGTAAAACAAACAAGCAAGCAGGAGTGGGATTATTCAATACTCCAGTGAACAAGTGTGAACAGTTTGCAGAGAACCATTTACTGCATCATTGATGCTTTTAGAAGTGCTGGTTAGAATTTTCAGAGGAATCTCGAGAAAATCTTGCTAAAAAATTTAAAGTTGATTTTTTTCCCTTTGTTTTAAAATCTCAGTTTCTATTGTCTTCTCAAATAATTCTTAATGGGTATTTGGCACGCAGTCACTGCAGTGCTGCTCTGCAGCTACAAAACTTGGAGGCTTGGGATAAAATCAGAAAAATAACATTCTGAGGTACCCAGCTATACACTGCAAAGAGAAAGAAGTGGACCAGTTCTCAGCGACTTAAAAAATGACTCAAAGCAGTGTATTCTGCTTCCTGTAAACAAATCACAAAAACCCTTCACCAACCTGATTCTCTCAGCCAGTGTAGAAAATGGCCTTGCTACTAAAAGAGTTGAATTTAAACCATTCCAGAAACAGATTGGACTACCAGGACTATCTATGTCTTCCAGGATTAAGTGTGTGATCCTGCAGTACACTCAGCAATCCTCACTCCTTGACAAACTACACATTAGGGAGTAACAGCTGTCAGCAGCTATTCATCTTCCAAACACTGAAGGACCAAGCTGGTGAAAACCTATTCTTGGAAAGTCAGCAACAACACTTTTATTGAATTTATCAAGGCCAAAATTCCACTCCAATAATTAATCCAAATACCAAAAATAATAAGAAGCCACTTTCTCATATATTCAGAGTTCTAACAACAGATAAACTCAGTGCATGTCTTTCCATCAGATGAGACTGAATTTACCAGTTGTATCTTAACAGATACAGCTTTCAGTGTTACTGTAAGTGTTCCCTTTCACTAATGACAATGTTAACATAACTTCACTAAAACACTAATCCCATGTGCTGTTTGAGAAATTAATTTGCACACTAGCAACTTTGAAGGCACTCTCGGGGATTTAGGAAAAGGAAACAAATAGGAAGTACCAATGTAGCTGCACTGATTAAGTGGTTCCTAGCTTTTGCAGCTTGCGATGTTACTATCTTGGAGCACAGTGCTGCAATGCAGCTGTTGCACAGCTGTGCAACAGAGGTGAAAATTAGGTTAAATGAGAGGTATTGGGGAATATCATCTCATTACTAATTCTGAAATTGCTGAAATTTCATTGAGAAACTCAGAACAAGCCAAGACATGTAGGAAACCTTAACTGTCAGATGTGGACTTCTCTACCCTTGATACTATGCCCACAGTATCCAACCCATGTGAATCTCTTTCAGGATCAGGTTAAACACACACCCAAGAACCCCAGAAGGTGGCCCAGGCAATGTGCCTCTGCACTCTGCTGCTTCCTTTCAACACCTTCAGTCTAATTTCAGGATCACAAATGACAGCTCATGTAAAGGAAGGCAGAAGTCACAGGGTAGACTGGTAGATACAGACATGAACTTTGCATCAACAAGGCTTTACGTGCTTTCAGGCTTGAATATCATACCATGTGTATTCATTGACTGTACTTACTTGAATTTACCAGTGTTGTACAAATTGAAAAGCACTGACATTTCAAAACCATTTATTTCTTTGCTCAAAAAATTCCATAGACTTTTTTGGCTTATATAAATATGTATTTTAAACTCAGAACTACTGGTAAATATTAGTCTCGGCCATTTCCATACTGTTCCAGGCACCTCACTGTACATTGTCTCTTCATATTTGAAAGCATATCCTACTCAACAGTTAATCCAGAAGAGTGACATAGTAGAGCACTGTGCTCTTAAGTATGTCATACCTGTAAGAGACCTAAAAAACCTCAAACTAAAACAAAAAACCCCACAAACAAATAAATCCACTCAAAGAAACAACTGAGCAAGAGGGATCTTGCAAACAAGTATGGCTTTAAACATATGGGTAGCCTCCTCTGAACCAGAAACAGATTACCAATTGTGAGGAACTACTTGGTATGTGGGATCCTGCCTCTGATGCCAGACATATACTCAACATAAGAACCTGAGGTGTTAGAATTGTCAGCTCTTGCATAGAAGTATAATTTGAAAAAAGGATCCAAGAAGTCAGGAAGATACGGATGTGAAGGAATGCTTTTCATTTTATACTTCTAAATGTCTCCTTACCTCCCTTCCCTCCAACTACCCTAAAAATCAGTTTGGTTTTTGGCCCTTTAACCAGTGTGTTTTCCCATCCACGCAGGCCACGTTTTGAAAGCCAGCAAAGCACAGGATGTTCAACACACTATTGAACAGCAGCTTGTTTAAACGTTCCTCAAAGGCTGAGTCAAAGCTCCTCCTACATGTCTGCTGAGCGTTCATATGAACTACTCCCTTATCTGCCACTTGCAATTTGCTTAGATGAGTGCACACCAGTGATAACCACTTAAATCTCCAAACACTATGGCCCGACATCACCTACACAGCAAATCCTTAGCTGTTACCTCCAGCTGCTCTTCGCCTGGAACCTCCAGAATCAACCATGACCGCAGGGACTCATCAACCATCTATTCAGGTTTTTTTGGTACACAGTTGTGCAAACACAGATTTACCCTCTTTTGTCCCATCAAATAGGCCTTGCAGGCTTCTCCCGTATTCTTGGCAGCTGGGGCACAGGTTTCTGCTCACTGTAGCAAATCTCATGCTCTGTCCTCTGGCACAAAGCACAGCTGCTGTCCCTGCTCATGTTGGGGTGTCACACAAAATGAATCCACATTTGCTACTGCAGCTCATTTCTTGGCCAAATTACCCACATATTTATCATCCCTTTTATCAAGCTGCTGTAACACAAGAGACTAAACCAAATCTTTTGTGTCTTTTCCCCCCTCATCTCTCTTGCAGTGGTTAAATCCGCATCCACAGCCCGCTCCTCTGTGGCCTGCTCACTCCCCCTCATTCCAAAAACACATGAACACGACCTTAGATGGGAGCAGCACGGAAAAATTAGAAGTTAATACTGCGAGCTGCAGAAGTTAGGTATAAATATAACAAAGATCTGTGTACGCATCCTTACATGGAACTAACTATGCTGGAGGCTCACAGCAGAAAAGCTGTTTGCTTTGCCTTACTTTGGTCTGTCTGCCAAATGTTCAGAATAATATACTTTCATAATCACCAAACATATAAATAAAGTTGACAAAACCAAAATGATGCAAACTCCAGTTCAATTACTGGTGAACTGCCTAGAGCTACAGAAGAACACATCCATCTTACTCACCCGAGGACCTCTCCTTCCTGATGGCCCAGGTAAACCTGGAGGACCTGGAGGACCCTGGTGATAGAAAATCAAAACAATTGAGGCTAAAACTTGATACAAGGACAGTATCACAAGTCGGAATCAGACCAGCTCTTCTAACTGCTGACTTTCTGCTCATGCAGACCTTCTCAAATTGAAAACCAATTCCCAAACTCCAAGCATGTGTTTTTTTAATCTGGCTCTAAATCAGATTTCTGTTTAGAAAGTATCTTATGTCAGAGGAACTGGAGCTAACAATAATACAAATACACTTAAGTGAAAGTTCCTCAAGAATGATCAGATCAGTTCTAGGATTAGAAACAAGCAAGTACAGTGTATTTCAAAACAAAGAGTAGAGAATAATTAAGACTTTTCATTAAGCATGCTGGCATGCCAAACATATTTTAGAAAAGTCAGGAGTGAGTGAAAAAATTAGATACCTCACAGAAAAGACAGACATGAAATAGAAGAAAATAAATGCAGACAAATGATTGTTCAGTTTCCTATTAAAGGCTTCTGATAAGAATAATTGGTAGCATGTTTGCCCTTGTACATAGCAAATGTGGTTCTCTTTAACGATAATGCAGGGGTTTCTTTTTTTAAATACTAGTGTATAACCAAATGTATCTTTTGCAAATAAATTAGGTTTTTAGTCACTCTATTAGACAGTGTACCACCCTATGTATATCTAGTTGTTTTGACCTTTCCTTTTCTGTTCACATTGAAAACCCGAGAATCTACTTCATTGTACTCAAATACTAATGAGAGCTCTACATTAACGTCTGCACTAATTTGTATTATATTTTGCCTGTCACACTTGAGTCTTAAGGAGGCATGGGCTATTCTTAAGGGTGAATTCAACTCCCATCCAAATGCCAGCATGGCAAGTCTCAGCTTTAACAGAAACCAAGTGCTCCCACTGCAAAGGAAGAGGGGCATCAAGAAAGCCAGATCTCACAAAGGTCAGTCAATGACAGAAGGAAGGGATTCAACTTGCTTTTTCACCCAGGCTTCCTAGCACTCCTGTGTTCTGTACACACAACAGCCTCTCACCTGAGGCACTAGGATAATGGCAGCTGAAATGGCCAGCTCACAGGCTTTGCAAAAAAAAGGGGCGTTGGGACAACAGAGAGAGAGAAAACGACTAAAGGAAAAACAAACACAAAAACCCTTTGCGGTTTTATTAGCAACCAATGAATCCTTTTATTATGACAACAGTTGCATTTTAAAAACCTGAAGTTTTGTGGAAGCGGTATTTCTTTTCCCTTGGAAAGGTAATGGCACTGGAAGAGAAGACTGCTGATTACAAGCTTTAGGCATTGTCAAGCCAATTACATTTATTTGGCAAAAACACAAACCACTCTGGACAATTCTGGGAAGAATATTGTTATTCTGAGGAAGGAAAAAAAAACCTCAAATATTTTCCTTTCCAATTAACAATAATAACCTTAGGAGTCTAAGTGTAGTACAACTGCCCGTTTACAATTGGGAATATCTGTACAGCCATACATACTATATTAAGTCACGATGAAACCCATACTCTGCACTTCCCTTTCTGTGTAATTTTGAAGACACAAGTCTGTGCAACAGTCCTAGTCTTTAGATCAAACCATAATATGTCATACTTTCAGCATAGGAGGTTTGCTATTCACCCTGACTGCATACATGCTCACTAGCATTCTCATATCTTTCTTAACTAAAAAGACCCTGTGTTTACTAAAAAAGTAGCAGACAGACACATGGAAAGCTCCTGACCTGGCATTTTTGTTCAGGCCCAAAAACCTACCTGAAAATGGCACAGAGAGCCCCCACCCTGCCACTGCTGAAGTAGCATGCTTCCTATTATGTCCTCTCAAATAGTAAGTTAAGAGATGCCCTTTGATTAGAAAATTATCCTGGGACTACAAAGGGAAACATATAATATTTTTAATTAAGTAGAATAGTTGCAACTAGTGTGTGCTCTTCTGTGATTTGCACTGCAAGGCTGATCTAGGTCCCTAGCTGCTTTTTGCTTATCTTTCAGAATACATTAATAGCCAAACCCCCATCATTTTCCTAATAGAAATTTTAATGACTATTTCTTAACATCCCTGATCTTTGCTGCCAATTTATCAAATGAAGGCAGTACAAATACTTTTTCCTATGTGACCTTTTCTTTTTTTTAAATAGCACCAAACCCCTGCCCCATTTTGATTGCACTAATTCATAAACAATTATCTCCATCTAAAGAACACAAACCCAAGATAACTTAATTGCAACGAAGCCTTCAGCAACCCCTAAAAGAAGCAGTAAAATGTATTTTGAATGAGGCATCCAGATCTTAATAATACTTTCTCAAGACTTTCTAAAACAAAGTCCATCACTGTAGAGGAAGTCTCTGGTCACCAATAATAAGCAATTAGCACCAGCAATCCAGGTGATTGATTAAAGGACTCTCCTTAACCAGAGTATGTTACTCCTTAATCTGCAGCTCCCTGCAACTTAGGCAACATTTCTTCTGAATGCATACTTAGTAGAGCACACGTAAGTCTTCCTGGAAGTGCTTTACTGACTAGTTTTAAGAAGTTATCCTATCCTATGCACTGCTTCAACCTGTGAAAGCAACTGCAACTTCAGATCAGCACGGCTGTTTTCGTACTAGCTAGGAAGCTATGCCTCTTAAGCATCCACGTAAGCCACAGAAGTCAACAATGACCACAGAATTAGTCATTTGTTTGAATAGCTTTTCCTCCAACTACTGAAAACAGTAATTCAACAAACCTGAAGCAATTAAGAATGTTAATGTGTATTTTTGCATTTGACATTTTAACCACCAACAATAAAATAGTGACTTTGTGTAAGTACTACTAAAATGCATTTAATAAGATCAGTTTACTCAAAACACTAAGTTGTACCCTAAACCAGGTTCAACTTACTGTCCTAAGGAATTGTAAAAATTTCATTTAGCGATTGAGAGGAGAAGCTCAAGTACCAAATAATTGTGGCTTAATCCTGAAACAATCAAGTAGATGCTACTCTTCCAGAAACTCTCACTACCTTTCAAATGGTCATTGGGATGAGCATAACTGTGAACTTTCACAGGCATTTTCTAGGCTACTGAAGCCTTTCTATGGATGCGTTTTAAACTTGCCCTACTTGCCAGCATTAATAAGAAGCATTTCACTTTATATATAACAAGCCCCTCAGATTTCAGATGCAAAGCAGTATATCCTGGATTAAATAAACACTCCTGCACTAACATATGCTGATCCTGCTGCCATTCAACACCTAACTCATATTCGCTGAAGTTCCTCTTGCAGAACTGTGAGGTTTCTCTTTAAAAGGCATTTGACCAGACCCAAATCACTCAACTTCAGCTCACCTCAAACACTTTTTTAAAAAAGACTAAATTTCAGAAACATGTGAGTTTAATGCTTGATCCATCATACACTAAAGCAGGTGGTCCTTCAGCAAAACACAAATCCCATGAACCTTTCTGCACATCATCACCCAATACCTGAAATACAGCAGGAAAGTAAACAAACAGCAGGTTCTGTGACTCTTAAACACCTCTACATGAAAGGAAAATTCAATTCTGACATTGCTAATTATCACTTATTCTACTGTTCAGGTACTACTCTGATTAGCTATGTTTTCCTTATGTGCCACCTAAAATTTCCTACTCTGTCTTCCCATACTTTCTGCGAACAGGCAAAAAAAAGTATCTTTATTAACTCACCCTTTGCAGAACTATTACATGTACTTACTTTCATTACTAAACACGCTTTTATTTTAACCTTTGCTCATGTTTTCTATAACGGTGGGGCCGTTACTGCAGCCTTCTAAAATCCTTCCAGTCTGTCTACATCTTTTTTAAAGCTCAACATCCAAAAACTCCAGCCTCAGCATACCCAGACCAGCAGAAAAACCACCTCTGATACTCACCACTTCTGGTAATGCATTAGGCGTAAGATGCATTTATTCTCTTGTGCACCATAACGTTACTCTATTACGCTCATCTGACTGCCTAGCCAATCACCTGTATCCTCTATTTGGACTTTTAATTTCTGTAATATTGCACTGTTTCATCCCATGAGTTTTAGACCATCTGGAATTCTGATTCTGTCAGTCAGAACTCTTCTACCTACTCCTAGCATGTTTTGTCTACCTTTTCAAAGCATATTACTTCATAAAGATATTAATTATTGAGCACAAGGATCCTACCAAATAATGAATATCTAACATCTATTTTTACTTCTTGCTTCATCTGCATTTCACTGGAAATGATAAAAAAAAACCCAACATGGTTTTCTTTCCAAATGTCTTAGAGCAGGCAGTCACCTGTGTATGATTTACCTCCCTTCTTTACAGCTGTGGAAGTCTTTCCTTTTCTCTGTCAAGAATTCCTATGACAGCTAAGGCAATGTCATCAACATCAGAGGAATTACAGCTTTCCAATAGTGTGGTGCAGAAGAGAGAGAAACTGCATCAGTTTCAGGTGAATTAAATGAAATGTTTAAATATTTAAGACTGTCTTTTTGCTACTAAAAATAAAACAGCAACAATCTCAAGTTTTTATCTGAATCAGCAGATACTGAGATAGACTTCTTTGCCTGGGCAGGGAAATGTGAGGCTTACCTACAGAGCTAAAAATGCATCAAAGTGATTAACTGCCCAATATATCCCCTGTAGCGAGGGAGAGCCTCAGCCAAGCAATTTTGTTCAACCGAGAAATAAGCTAAGAGTGAAATAAACTGAAGTGCAACAGGGTAGCTAAGGTCAAAATAAGTGGAATAAGCCAAGAGTGAAAGGCTGGATGACACTCCTGTTACTGCTGCTTATTTAGCACCACATTCAGAATCTCTGAACTGACCTCTCTCAAGGTTCTCGCTCTCAAGACTCTTGGCTGAAATAAGAGCATCTCATCTGGGACTCAGTTCTGCCTAATGCAGGGATTGCATTTCCAATTCCTCCTGGCAGTATCTCCAGACTACTTCTCCCTACCAACTATATAGCTTAAAGAACACCACCATCGGGTCTATCTACTATTTTCTCCTCCTGGTCAAGTGTCTTCATAATCCAGAAAGCTTTTCCAATAGAGGAAACTAACTCACAGAATCACAGAATTGTTTGGGTTGGAAGGGATCTTACAGCCCATCCAGTTCCCATGCCCTGCCACGGGCAGGGACACCTTCCACTAGACCAGGCTGCTCCAAGCCCTGTCCAACCTGGCCTTGAACACTGCCAGGGATGGGGCAGCCACAGCTTCTCTGGGCAACATCACAGGGAGAACTTCCTCCTTCTATCACATCTAAACCTGCCCCCTTTAAAGCCGTTACCCCTTGTCCTTGCACTAAGTCCTTCTCCAGCTTCTTGTAGGCCCTAGCTCATTTCTCAGGGGAAACCAAATCCTGTGCAAATAGGCCTGCAGGTGCAATCACCTACCAGCAAGTAACCTAAATCTACTCTTCAGCTCACATCAACCCCTCTTCCTACCAGCATGGGCTATGTATCATGTTACTGCAAGCTGCTTTAGGACTACGTAATGAAGAATATCTGCTTGAAAGTTAAACAATTAAAAACACACACCAGATTTATTTTCTTTTATACAGTGCCAAAACCCTAATACAAAAAGGAGTGGCTCACTCATGAATGGTGCAGCTTTCCCTCTAAACTAGTGGTTGAAGAGACCACACTGTTGCACTTTAAATTCACTCTGTATTTTTGTAGGGAATTTTGGTCATTGTAACTGCTAGAATTTTGATCAGGGTCTTAATAGTTTTGAAGAAATAGGTGCCTTTTTCCATATGCTATCCATAAATGAAAGCCTGAATTCTGGAGCACTGCTTTGCAGTGGTGGGTGAATTACACAGCTGTGGCATCATGGAATACAAGGGGCTTAGTTATTATACAAGGCAAGAATGAGTTCTGGTAGATTATTAAAAGCTAAACGGAAGCTAAGGAGTTCAAGAACCACAAAAGCTAGTTCTTGCCCATCAGTTCCAATAGTATGAATATTATTTCTGTGTTGAAATCTTGAAAGAAGATTCAAACCAACCACAACATAATGAAAAAGGAAAAATAAAAAAAGCTGGAGGGAACAGGTTTTCATGTCTCATCAGGATATTTTGCTGCAAGGGAAGTTTGCAAGCTCCTCATGTTGCTTTTTCAGGCTCCCTATTGATAAGACTGTGGGTACTTGTGTAGTAAAGTGTTAGAGCCACATACATAAAAGCTGGATTGTCTCTGTTAGACTAAGGCAGCAAAGGAAGACCACCCCTGCAAGTCTGAAGCCAACATCAGTGGCAGGTACTGCACCACGCAACATCCATGTAACACAATTCTTTACAAAAGCCTGTGTGGACAAGGCCAAGTCTCCTTCTACTATCAACCTCTGAGCAATGCTTCAGCTGCTTCTGTTCCAGTGGGTGCTGCTGGCCCATTCAGCCCAACTAGTGCTTACAAAGGTCTATATGAACTTCCCAGCTCTGCCACTGATCTCCAAGACTTCAGGCATGTTATTTGAATCCTGACCCAGCAAAACACTTCAGAACAAATGCACCATATTCATTGCTACAGACCATACTAAACACAAGGTCTGCTCCAACTGCCTTCCTAGACAAGGCAAACTTCTGCAACCCTGGTCCGTAAGACAGGCATACAAAATGGTAACACAGACACCTTCAAGCTCTCCAAATCAGCTATCATCTTTGACATTGTATGCATAGGGTCTGTGTGTAGAAAAAAAGCGGAGCATTCCCTTGAAGTTTCTTAGTAATGCGAACAGCCTACAGCATTATCAGCAGTCATTTCTGTGCCATGTAAAAAAGAATGGATTTCTCGGCTGTAGCTGACTTAAATCGCAACGTGTAAGCTACCTGCTAAATTGAAAAGCTTCCATTAGCAGTTACTAAACATCCTAAACTCCAAAACTGGAAATTAACATCATGTTGATGACAGATACATACTTACTGATATGTCCCTATAAATACTACTATAAGGGACAAAAGAGAAAAAACACCCAAAGCTGACTTTGCATTCAAAATGGATTAAGCAAGAGCATCCTTGACTAAACTGAATTATTTGTTAACACCTCTTTTAATTGCATAACAAGCCCTTTGCATCTGGATCCTGTGGAGAGTAAAAATTTAACTTTTAAAAAGGTTTTCAGTTGCTGACTACCTTAAGAAAAATATTATTTTGGTGTTGAAAGAACACAAACAATAAAATTATGGGCATAGTCAAATTTATATGAGGAGCTGCTTAACACACATCAAATTGCCTTCTAGTAATAACTACACAAATGCACACACACCACAAAAAAAAGAGAGCAAGTGGAATTATTTACTGCATGCTATGGTTTAAAAAATGTTAACCAACAACTCAAACAAGCACCATCATAACCCCCAGGCTAAGCAGGAGCTGCTGTTCTCTCTTGTCTGTACTAGATGATCTTAAGGTCCTTTCCAACCTGAACTATTTTATGATTCTATACCTTCATATATATTGCTCCCACTTTTATGTATTAAAATGGTTTGAGCCTTGTGCACACAGTAAGGACAAACGGTTTTCTATTAAAAGCACTACTGTGCATTTACAGTTGTTTCAGGGATCACTTACCCTGCAAATGGAAAAATATGCTAATAAAATATTCTAAGACTGTTCTAAAAATAATTTCACATGCAGGTTTGCATGACCCTATAACCTTGGGTTACAGATGGTTTTACCAGTCTAGATTCTGCAACTGGTCCCCTTCCACAATCAGAAGTTTTGATAGCATAGCTCAACTGAGGAAACTATGCCAGTCTTCCAAACAACCTGGTGGTTCTTTCCATCAGCCAATGTCTACATCTGTGTACTGCATGATTTTTTCCTGTAATTTTATTAAGTGAGCAGTCCTCATAACTAGCACCTATAAACATCTGGCTGCATTTCAAAATTTAAAGAAGCCTGGGTTGCCTATCACTTCACCAGAATGTGAACATCTTCGTATTCTTCCAGAAAATAAAAATACAACACTTACACCAAAATTACATGCGGTAAAGAGACATACTTAAGGCAGACAAACATTTGTACAGTACAGCCCAAAAAAGTTGCAGTCATGGCTTTGGCATGCTTTGCAAAATTTCTTTCAAAGCCTCTGTTAAATGTGTGGTGCTACATTATAGTAAAAAGAGGAGTAAAGATAACTTACAGGAGGTCCAGTTTCCCCCTTTGGACCTCTGACACTTCCCACTTCAAACATTTGCTCAAGATCTTCATAGTCATAATCATAATTATCAACATCAATTTCATGATTGTTTTCCATGTGGTAAGTCTCATCAGCACCAAAGGCACCTTCCTGCCCTGGACTGAGCTGATTATCCAAAGGGAGGTCCACAGGCAAACGGCACAGGCTTGCATTGAAGATTTGCTGCTCTCTGCTTGGTTCATCTAAAGGTTTTGCTTTGTCCATTCCACTGCTTTTAGTTTTACTCTGTTTTACAGGGGAAATCAGAGAAGGCTCACATTGTCTGCCTGCATCTTCTGTGGTATTATCTGAAGTATCTGGATATGATCCTTTGGGGGGTTTAGTGATGTTTCTCTTTGTGCCAGTCTCCTGCTGATGAAGAGGCAGACTGATGTACTCCTGGAGCTCTGTTTCAGGCAAAGCTTCCAGCAGCAGAGGTTCGGCCTCTTCAAACTCCAATGCAGAGACATTTCTTGACTCAAAGTCTTCTGGTAGAGAATGACTCTGAGCAACACTGGTAACAGGAATGTTTGGCGCTTCTTTCCTTCTATAAGCCGATATGCCTTCTGACTGCTTTTCCTCATCAGCCATCATCTTCAAAAAAACATCCAGCCCATCTGATGCATGCAGAATTCCTGGCAGAGATCGACAGGTTTCAGCTTGGCGACATTGCTGCTTCACATATTTACAATAGTTTGCAGATGCTTCTGCAGAGGCAATAATATCTAGCTGACATATAACTCCTTCAAAGCTGACAGAGTGAGAGTTCATCCTTCCCAGGGTAAATAAAGCATCCAAATCAAATGTCTCCACTTCAGAAAGTACTTCCCTGCTATAGTGCTTCTTTCCACACTCAGCAAATATCGAGACAGTCTTGTCTCTAATGTCAATGGCAAATGAATGCCATTTTTCATTATGAACACTATAATCAAAGTGTACGGACTGCTTCCCACCAGTGAACACTGCTACCTTTCTTGGTAGCAGCTGGACACCAAACTGCAGCCTACTTTTGTTCCTAATACTGAAAAGGAAAGCATTATTTATTTTGTATGAGTATAACCCAACCAATATGGTGAACTGATGCCCTAGACTTGATGGTAGGACTTGAATGATGGGGGACTCAATATGTGCATCACTAGTTAGTACAACTCCTGATACAGTTAGACGAACACCCTGAGGTAACAGAGATGATGTTGAGGGCACTGCCGTCTCTGAGGGCTGTTGAACATCTTTCACAAGGCCTAGTTGATGAAGAACATCTATTGCTGTAAAAAAGAAATAAAGGCATACTGTTGACTTCTTTTACAAGCTCATAAATTCAGATCCACATAAACAAATGTATGCACATTTTAAAAAAAAAAGATCAGTACTTCCCAGAGCATGTACACAGCACACAGCAAGGCCACCATATCCCTAGTGTAAGGCACACCCATATTTGGCATAAATCAAAGAAATAATTAAAGCCAGAACAAATTTTCTATCTTAAAAGAAAAACACACAGAAAAGCACAAATAATGCCCATTGTAGTTTAATTCATTTATAAAACTGAAAAAATCCCCATCTGGTCTTCAACCTCCGTACCAGTCAATGAACACACTATGTTGGTTCCTTATTTACTTGGCTAATCCTGCTTACTCTTTGAGGTTTGGTTTTGTTTTACTTAAATTTTTTCTTCTGCAAAACATTCTGCAGTAAAACCATAGTTTTCCTTTTTCTCTGAAAAGTTCAAATGAATTTGAGGGGATGGTTACTTGGTTTTAACAAGGCATGAGCTATTCATAACATAGTGACAGCTCAGTAGAGCATCTAAAGATAGTCACTGGTTCAAAGCGAAATATAAAGGTAAGCCTTGCCAAGCAGCTATTATGTGCTGCAGAGATAATTCCACTGGTACCTGGGAAGAATTGCTGTGCTTCCACAAGTGAGTTCTCCACCCACCATGCAAGGCCCTGTGCCATTACAGCCCTGGCTTCAAAGAGAACTGTTTTCCCAGTGGGATCACCCTTGACTGTATCTGTGCCAAACCTAGTCAGACTAAAAGAAAACAAAGATCTTTTCAGGGGGGTGCAACAGAGCATGCCACTGCCTCCTTTCCATCCACATGGTTTATTTGCTAGGACCAGGGACAAAGTGAACTCTGCAAAAACAAAAGTGGTGAGGAACAAGGAAAGAGGAAGAACACTGGGAGCCAAGGGGCGGCAATCCCATCTTCTGGCTCATCTGTCCTTTCATAGGATCTCAGTTTGCAGCTACACAGATGAGATACTGAAGAGTGCACTACTGTACAGCAGGAGATAGCAATGGACATTGAGACAGAGAAACCAGCTGTCCTACTGATTTATGTCCTGTAGATTTGGCTTTGGTGCATAGAAGTCTGGGTAGGAGATCTTCCTACAGGGTGGAATGAGAAGTGGCATTTTCACCGCTGGATTCTCTACTGCCTTACATAACGTGAACTTTGTGCTTTAACCCTTCCCTTAGCTTGGGCCTTTCAGTATCTCCACCTCACACCTGGCTAAATATTATCACCTAATGGGTAGAAACACAGTTATCTAGCCTCCTGATAAACTAAAATCATACCCAACCTGGGTAAGAAAAAAAAAAGAAAAAATCAGAGCCAGGGTAAATCAATGGTCAAAGATGACGAAATTCATTTGGTGTTCATTTGCTGCCTAAATCAGACTAAGGAATGTTGGAGCTGGCAGGCATAAGCACCTTCTTCCTTCAGGATGAATATAAAGACACTGTAAGATCCCTTATGATGCAGCTGAAACAGAAAGACTACAAAGGCTTGATAGGAGATAAACATCACGTCCCCAGCAGTCGTTCTGCAGGGTCACAAAATAAGACAGCACTTACGGCACTAAACTGCTGTTCTGGGTGTTTGTGGAATTGCTAAAGAAATACTGCAGAAACTGAGATAAAGGGCAATCATGAGACAAGAAGGTTGGGGGCTAAAATATATGACGTGAGAAAAGGCTTAAGGACATACACTTGCTTGGCCTGGAGATAGGAAGGTTTGGGGAAGACTAAAGACAATTGCCCATTATTTGAATTGGGCAAACAGGAAAACTGAGGAGTAACAGGCACAGGCTGCAACGCAAGAAATTCCATTCTCTTACAAAGAACAAGCATTCTCACCGCAAAAGTGGTTAAGTGCTGGAGCAGGAGGGCAGAGACACTGTGTAACCTCCATTCTTGGAGACTTTTAAAGCCCAACTGGACAGCACCCAGAAGTTTGAACTAACTTCAGCACTGACCCTGATCTCAGCAGGAGGCAGGACCAGATGACCTCAAGGTCCCCGTAGCCTATATTTTCCGATTTTCTGCACAATGGGAAACTGAGTGTTGTACTTCTCATACACAGCATCGCACAGAAGCACAGGGTATCATCTTTTTCTCCCCATAACTGGCTGGACCTAAGCTTCAGTGAACTGTCTATATAAAAAATAATTAGTAGTATCTAACAGTTGCACTGACCTAATAAGCCAAAAAGAAGTTAAGAATTCTCTGCTCTATTAAGAGAAAAAAGAAACTGAAACAAATGGATGTTCACTTTTAGTGGAAAAAAGTTCTCCTTTCCCAGTCTCCCCTTTCTCTGTTCACTGAATGTATTCATAGCAAACTCTAAGATTAGACAGATGCTGGCTTAGTTTCAGTGGTAAGTTATGAAAAGAGCCTGACATTTCCTTGGGAGCGATTTATAAACTGGAACCAAAAGCATCAACCTGAATGCACTGTACATCTTGAAAATTAATTACACACCTTGTAGTGTTTCTAGTCAAGTTTGAGATTCACAGATGTGCCAAGATTATCCTGGCAGGTAGCCAGCAGAGACAGAGGCATGGAGAAAGCATCTCTTTGCAGAACTTCATGTGTACACCGACTTCTCAAGATACTTTGCCTCAGAACAATTAATTTAGTATGGCTCTATTTTTATCTGTCAAACTGATAATGGAGGTCAGATTAAGCAGACCTTCAGAGCACAGTGTATCTGCTAATGAACCACCACACTTTCCCAGGACCCCAGTCCCGCATGGTCTACGTATAGTTACAGAGAAGAAAGCTGTACTTGTATTGCCTGTGCGAAAACTAGGAAGAAACACAGGTCATGTGCTCTGGGAAACACAGAGGTCTTATACATGCAAATAATATCGCACGGCTGGAGACACCATTGCATCACTTCTGTGCGCTGCCTGGGCTACCTAACTGCACATCTGATAGCCTAACCTCAAGTGCCTAAATATCGTAACCTAACAATAAATATTTGGCAATAAATATTTTATGCAATAAATATTTTAAAACATTTGCAATTATACATTTGTATTTTAAAAAATTATTGCATGTGATCTGCCCAAACTATCACAGATTGAAATACAAAACAAAAGCTTAAACCTAAACAGGCTTAAATCAGTCAATTTAAAAATTACATTCAAAAGTATCGCTACTAAGTCTCAAAATGCAAGCAAAATTGCCAAAATTTTGGCAGTTCTAATTTGAAAACAGCACATTGTTTAAAAGTTATTAATAAAAGGAGAGTTCTCTGAGAGCACAATAAGCAGTAAGACAGATACTCCACATCCTGGCAAAGAGACCTCTGCAAACAATGACAGGTCCTGAGAAAGCTAATCACAGATAAATGTGTGAAAAATTACAGCAAAAGATTAAGCATCAACTAATTATCCCTTGCTGATTTGCTGCCTGTTAACCCACCCTCAGGCCAAAAGGCTGTCCCAAACTTTTTTGGCCGGTCCGTTGCTTCATTTCTGGTCCAACATGTATTTTAGCTCAAGGCTTTCAGAAGCTCTTGGCAGCACACATGGTTTTGGGAGGAGGCAATTTGCTCAACTCCTCCTCCCAGCATGAATACCACAATTTTCTTCACCTATCAGGAGTCAGTTCTCTTTGTTTACCCATGTTTGCATGGCATCTGACTTCACTTACTGTTTACTCAACTCAGTAGTCCCAAAAATCTTAACACCTCATCTTCTTGAAGGAACAACTGTTTTGTGTTTCAGGTGTCAAGCGCTTTCCTTCCACTTTCTAGGAGGACTTGAAAAATTCACAACCTTACTGTGCCAAGAGGAGGGGAAACCTAACAGAGACTTTGGCAAACAAACAAGCAAAAAAACAACAAAAAAAAAACAACTTCTGACCCTCTCGTGTCATAGGAAAAAAGAAAAAAAGAAAAAAAAATCCCCAAAAGGAACTGGGGAGGGATGAGGGGATTTGGCTATTGGATCATTCCAAACCCCCATTCTGTTCAGTCTCTCCAGTTCACTTCCCACATTCCTCCAGACTCTGAAGGCAAAATATTTGGGGTGATCTCTCCATTTCAGCAATCCTAGTACACACATTACTCACTTTCCCTTTACCAGTATGCACCAAGGAAAGGCAAGGGTCATCCATCAGTCAGCTCCACCAGAACCAAGAGTAAGTATTCAGCAGGTGGCCCATTTCCTTGGTGATGCTGCATCTGCAACTGGGTAAAGTAAGATATCTGGCTGCAGCCAATGCTCTTGCAGACACCAAGATGAGCAACTAGCCTTGGAAATCCAACCAGATACATTGATTCTCTATGTCCTTGAGCCACACTCAAAGTACTATTCATAAAGGCTGAGGCTGTATCTTTGTATGTGTTTCACTGAACACAAAATACAGCTGCCTACTAAAATGAACATGGCATAGCTTCTCAGATGAAGCATGCATAGGCTGTCACATAAGCTCAGGGAAAAAAGGGATGTTAATTACTCTAGTAGCCTCTTCCTATTTGGCAGAATACTTTTTTTTCCAAAACACAGGTGCCACAGGTTTTAATAACAATGTGAGTTTTAACACACTCCAAATGGGCAGACAGTCCTATTCCTCTTCAGAGACCAAATTCTAAACGCTGCAAATGGCATAGTGCTAGCTCTGCAGGCTGCACACCGAGGCTGTTCTTTTTCTGAGGAGGTTTCCTCAGTCTGCTGTTCTCTGAACTGCCTTTCACAAACTTGCTCGCGCAGCATGCAAATAAAGTGCACGAGGGACCAAATTCACCCATGGGCAGAAAGATGCATCAAGGTTCCACGCATCATTTTGATCCCAAGCAACCACCTAAGGGAAATGAAGTTGGGATGGCATCTGTGCACAGGGGGTGGGGGAGAGTTTCCACTTGGTAGGGCTTCTTACACAGTTATCTACAAATGCTGCTTTATCTGCTGATGACCAAAGAAAAATTAATCATATATAGCCACATCAAGACTGGACGCTGCACTCCATTTCTGCAAAGGTCTGTGCACAGAGGTGCTCTGGGCTGAGAGGTGAATAAGCCTCTGACTGCACCCACTCCCCCATGTCGCTGCCAGCCCCTAGTCCTGTAGCCTTCACGGTCCTCTCCTGAAGTTTTGTTAGAAAAGCCCTTCTGAGGCTGAGGCACATGAAAAGTGAGAGAAACTGTTCACTTCTTTGCAAAGAGGAGGGTGGTCTGTAGGGATGAAGACAACTCAGACCATCACTGCACACCTGCCTCTGGCATCCTTCACCTCCTCCTGCTACACTGGGAAAGTGCAAACAGCCTCTTCTCTTTCCATCCCTGCAGGCCTGGAGTGGAGCAGGGCAGGCCACACACATCTATGAGTGCTGCCCCTCCTCTGATGAGAACTTGGCTCAGCTGCAAGAAAAATCCAGGAAAATCCCACCATCACAAAAGCACGTGTCTCCCATTGAGCTGAACACGAAAAAAAAAAAAAATCAACAACCAACCTTACCAGGCAAACAAGGAGCAATGAATGGAAAGCAAAAGTACAAAGAGAGCAGGGAGGTGAGGGGGGAACACAACTGAAGAAAAAAGAAAAAACAAGCTTCGCCAGTTGCAGGAAATTGTTAGAAGGTAAAAGACATTGGTGAGAATAACGGTGGGAGGCTGCCAAGATATCCCACGGGGCTCTAGCAAAACGTTATCAGGAATAAGTCTTGTCTTAACCATACAACCCAGCTGTTTGTATTCAGCTGAGTATCTGCAGTTAACATACTTACCAGCCAAGGTTGACCTATTTCTTGCTTCACCTGTATGGTGAAGGACCATGGCAGAGAACTGGCACTGCCGCTCTTCTGGCAGGTAAGAAATGACTATATGGCACATTAGCCTCCACCACTTCGGGATGCTAGTATTACCACAGGGGTCACTTGTGCAAGCTGCACATCTGGTACAGTTGGCAGATTAAAGAACAAACTGAAAACAAGACAACCCTATTTCCTTACTAACATCTGCATCTGAATGCAAAACCAAATGAATACACAATTTCACTTTTTGCTTTAATGATGCCAGCCTAGACTAAGCCCTTATTATATGCAGTGGTTTGCTTGCACAGCCCTAAGTGCAAAGGTAACTCAGTCATAGCTCGCCACCCCCAAAGACACCCACTTACAGTGAAGACACAATCAAAGCCTTTTCACTGTACAAGGCTTCCCTTTTATGAAGAGCTTGCTTAAATATGTAAGCAATTTCACAGACAGAAAATCTGAGTAATTTTTAAAAGGTCATCTTTTCCAAACTGGTTGCTTTAAAATTTACTCTCATTATGCTGTAGCTGGTATTTTCTTTAAGTCGCCATTAAGGAACTGAACCTAAGGTCAGTAGTAACAACAGACATTTACTCTTTTCATCTATTAACAATTATATAAATGTCCTGTTATTAAAAAAAAAAAAAGCATTCTCACCTTGTTTGGGTACTTGTGCAACACCCACAGCCATACATATTGCAATAAAAATGAGAGTTTTCCTAAAAGGGAAAGAAAGAAAAGAAGACGTGAGAAAACATCTATAGTTTCAGAACTCCAAGGATTTACAAGATTGATTCAACATCCAAAGTCAATGGCAGGATACCAGACTTCAGCAAGTCCTGGATAAAAGCCATCACATTGTACAACTTTCCACTAACGCCGAGAAGGCATTTTACGCAAAGATCAAGGATTATGTATGCCCTCATATATATTACATATATTTTACCCTAGCTTTTATTAATAAAGTGCATCTGGTTTATATTTCTTGCAGCAGCCTTCAAATATGTATGTTACTATGCAGTAAATCTCTTCCTGGAAAGAAAAAAAACAACCTACAAACCCACAACATTACTGTAAAGAAACTAGAAAATAAATGACAAGTTCATACCTGTAGAGATCATCAGATATTTCTGACCTGCTATCAGTCTTGTTACTATATTGCATCATTTTACTATAAATGAAAATGTTTCACAATTTTATTCCTGTATTATAAATTTTAGTCATGTTACAAACGCTCTTCACACAGAAAAAGCCATCAGATTTTTACTTAAAACTTCATGCTCAGATAGAAGAGTGCAGTCCTGACAGGTAGCACAGACTGATTGCAATGAATATATATAAGGTTGATACAGATTATGTGCTCAAAATTTGCTTTACATGAAAAATATTGGATATTGGGCAAACAATACATTTTTGCCATTATTAAAAAGAGACTGCCTGCTGGTTTTTTACTCAGTTATTATACCAGCCAGATTAGCACCCTATCACACTCTTGTGAGTGACTGAATCTTTTATTAAATGAGAAATACATTTTCTGTTAATGTTTGACATCCAGGCACAGAAACAGATGTACATAATGATTATAGTAAGCTGTATCTATTTAGTTCTAAGACCAGCTATTTCAAAATATTGCAAATATAGTTCCAATACTATCTATTCAACTCACACTTAAGGGTAAGCTCAACCCTCCTGCTCATTAATATATATAACCTTATTGATTTTTTCATAATATTAATTGTTAGATTGACTAAAAGTGTTTGCTGGACCATGGCAGAGAGCCCTTGAGTATCTGGAATAAACAGTATTTGAAAGTAACACAGCTGCAACTAAACACCTTCAATATCATAGGCCAAGGGGTAACAGGGGAAGTTTAGACTGGATATAAGGAAATACATAGGTATAAGGAAAACAACCAAAATGCAAAAATCACTGGTCTAGCAAAGGGTGGGTTTCATTATTTACTCACCTTCCTTGGGCAGTTTTACTGTGGGGTTTCACCCCAGTTTCCAAACCAAGTCCCCCTTAGGGGAATGGGGTACTTCAGAGACAGTGCCACTTCTTCTTGTGAGCCCCCTCCTCAAGTCCAGCCCTTGAGAGACACTTGTCAGCTAAAGCTGAGCCCTCCCCCAATTCCTGTTATGAGGAAAACCAGCTGTGGCAAATGCTGGGAGGAAAAAGGAAGCATTAGAGACCCATGTCCCATTCCTCACAGGTGTGTTGGTTCAAATGATAACTGAAGAACTGCACTATCCAACACCCCTGCTTTCCAGCTAGCAAACCTTCTCCACCTGATCAGCAGCCTGGGCTGCGGTGACAACCTGCCACACCGATTTTCAGGCAAAGCACTTACTTAAACAGGATTTCAAATTAAAGGGACAGGGAAGAAAACTTTATAAAATTCGACTAAGAATATTTACCCTGCTATCATAAATCTTAAAGAGTCTCCTGCACTGTTCTTCAAAACATTTGCTCAATTTTCAAAGCAAACAAGTGGGCTGAATCTTGGACAAAATTAGGTCCATTGGTTATACACCATGTGGATTTGCATATTGTGACACCTTAACTTTTGGCAGGAACAAATGAATAATTTAAGGAACAGTACAGCATGATAATGGTAATATGTTATTGGTATTGCCACTGTGAAACCGTAAATACATCACGTTTCCAGGAAAAAAATGCAGAGAATATACAGGATATTAGAAAATGTGCAGCACTGCTCCAGTTCTGATCAAAGAAGGAGACTGGGGTGGAAATTACACCTTGCAAATCCCAACATGCTTGTAAACACATGTGTTTTAATCAACCACTGCAGTCTTTCCTATTTCTCTCCTCATACTTTCTCCTGCTACAGCCATGAAATGTCTACTGGAACAGTTCTGCCAATCCTGCAAAAGACCTAACATTGACTGCTGTCCAAACAGCAGATCAGCTATGGGACACTCACTTCGGCTTTTTCAGCTCTGAAGACCAGAATTTAAGTTCACAGTTTGTGTCACACAATGATGATCTTTTGCTCTAATGAGCAGCTCAGTGACAGGAGACAGCTGTGTAAGGAAGAAAGTCCATGCATTGCACTGCATCAGCTAAAACTCACAACAACTCTTTATTTATTTGACTGTCATTAGCACAAAATGGATTTGCAAGTAAAAATAACATAAACACATTTTAGTTAACTCCAGAGTTGACATGCTTAAAGAACCCCAGAACCCAAAATGCAAAGATGATTCCTCATTACAATAGCCTCTTCCATAACATCAGCCAGGGACAAGCTATGTGTCAGGTTCTGACTGTCACCTCCCAGCAAATATTGTAGGAAGGCAAGAAATTCCAAAATGCTCCCAGGGCTGTAAATTACACAGATGTAACTGGATATACAGAAACATTTAGTGAGAGGTAAAGACAAATGTCTGGCTTACACAGGGCTCTCCAGCTAATGTCAAGAACAGACGAGTGATCAGCTAACAGAAAATACAGGGATCAGAAACAACCATAGGGCTAGAGGTCCTTTAATGCGTGGGAAAGTTAAGTCTTCCTTTTACCTATTTTTTTTTTTTTTTGCAGTAAGTAAACCTTTCTGTAAATGAAACCATGTGCAACCTCAAGTGAAGCTGTACAAGGGAGCCCTCCATGGCCAAAGATGAAAAAGGAAATTCTGTTTTTCTTCCTTCTTGGTCAAGATCACTATTCTTTGCATTTGCAGCTTTTAAGCTTCAGAGCAGCCACTTCTGTCTCCATTCTCTCACCAGAACTGCCCTAAAACACCAGGCTCCCTGCTGTGTTATGCATACATGGCTTGATCCATTGGCTGCCATGGCTGCAAGGAACAAAGCAAGCAGCTTCCAGAAACCCTGGACAGCATGCCCTAGCTGAGCCCACAGCTCCTGGGGAGGCTTGCCCCTCTGAGATGTGACAACAGAAAAATGCAAAAGCATATGGCAGGGAGGACTCCAAGCAACATATATGGTGGCTGGTGGCTGGTTTCCCCCATTTAACATCACACATGAAGCTGTTCCAACACCACTTGTCTATGTCCTGTCCTAGAGTTCAAGGTATCTCTTGAGCTTCCTCCCCTCCATGTACCTTTTCATCCTTTCTCCTATTTTACATGCAAACACCACCTGAGGGCAACTATATAATTGTTTGGAGGAAGGCACTACCAAATGTGGTTGATACCTTTTAAACTAGAGCTTATCTTTCTGATCTTTGACATCTTGTGGCTGCCTGCCTCTCCCTATGAGTGGACAGTGACCACTCATGCTTATGTTCTTCCATTATGGGTGATGGAAGAAGCAGGAGGTTGTGGCAAGCAGCGATGAAAAATTGCAACCTTGGAAGATGATTCAGCAACGGACAGAGCTCGGGTTTGGTCAGTGCAGAGCAGTATCCTCTTCATTCCAGGCTAGTTTCCTAAAGCTTAAGTTTAAAGGAAGAAATACCACTAGCTGGCTGCTAGAGAAGGCAGGAAAACCTATTCCCAGATTAACTGGCACAGATGCTTTCAACCCTGTGCTCATCAGTGATGATGGTTTAATTACTAGCACCTGCCCTATGTGCACTGATTCAGTGGATCTCCTCAGGACTGCTGAGGAGAATGGCCCAGCTTGTGTTCATCCAGCCTGAGGAGGACTTTGGGAAAGGTGATAGCACCCTGTGGACAGAAATGCCCTGGGCTTCTCAAAGATCCTAAGCTGCTAAAAACCTTTCAAGATCTAAAAGTAAAGGTATCTTCCTCCTTTGCTACTATAATGAGATTAGCCAGCAGCTCCAGTGCTGCTTATCAAATGAAGAGACCTACTACCAAGGTGGCTCAGGGGACACAACAGCCCCCAAAGCCTCTTGGGCAAGTGGCATGCCCTTTGGGCATGGATGCCCCTGTGCAGCTAACCAGTGAGGGGGAAGCACCTGAATCCTTTGACACAAGCTCACAAGATGGGAGAAAGGGAGAGACATAAGGCAAGAAGTAGAGAATCAAAACACATAGTGCTCTGAAAAGCAGAAGCCTAAGATGAGTCCTGCAACAGTGCTGTGTGTCAAAGGCAAGAAACTCCCTGTCTGGTGGCCCAGATGCTCTCTGGACAACCTTTGGCTTAAGATGAGAAACTACCACATCCAGAATAGTCAACTCTGTTTTTGTAAAAGGAGAAAAGTTAATCAAAAAGAAGTTACTTTAGAGCCATTTTATGAGTACCTCCCTAATTTCCTACACTAGTTCTCTTGTCTAGCTAGTGCACACTGTCTTCCTGTGTATTAAGGCAAAAGCACAAAGCTCAAATTCCCACTCCTGTGAAACGCTCCCTTCTGTTGTCTCTGTATACTTGTCTCTACACATTTTTCAGATTGGTTGAGTTTTACAACTCAGCTCTCGTAACTCATGTTTCAAAATTAACTATTCCATCAACAAATGTGGGGAGAGGTTTAGGAGTCATGCTGCTGTTTCATTTATCTAACCTGCAGAGACACCCCTACACAGGGAGCAGGTCTGACGTAACATCATTTCCACAAAAAGATGGTGTAGGTTGCAAGGGACTGACTGGCTTGATACATGCAAAGGGAACCAGAGCCTCCTGTGAGGAATTCTGGTTTCTTAACCCAGGCAAGCAAGCATGTTGCTTTCTCTCTAGTCAGGTAAATTAGGGAAACAAGATAGAAGCATAGAAATACATATTGCCGAGCTATCTCAAATTTTCAGCTTAGATAAACTGCACCTCTGCTACAATAC